TGTACCACCTCTCCGCGGTGATGGGGATCAACGACCATTTATGGCGGCAACGTCATAAATGGCGGCTAACGGTACACCGGTCACGCAGTTCGCCTTGCTTTATGCTAATAGAATGGGCGGTCCTCCCTAGCCCCTGGCAAGGCAACGAGGATAACCAGACCACAAAAAAAGCTAAACACGTTCAACAAGACGGCCCCAGTCCTCCGCCCGTCGGTCACGCGCCTCCGGTATCGGGGGCTGCCTCTGCCGACGAGGGGCGATCAAATCTCGGAGCAACAGGATACCATAGAAACGGACTACGGACGCGCCACGGTGACTGTCTACGTTTCGAACCCTCAACTGCCGCCTCGCCTCGCTTCCGATGCAGCAAAAGAGCAATTGCTCGCGGCAAACCGAAACGCACTCATCGACATAGTGGCGCTCCAGGAAACAAAATCTCAAGACACCAGCTGTAAGACTTGGCCAAACGGTGAACTTCTCATCCTCGGCCACAAAGTCCCTGGGAAGAACGTCGGCGGCGTCGGTTTCCTCGTCAATCGCTCGGTCCAACACCTCGTCGACTCGCACGAAATCGTCAACGCCCGCCTCGGCATCCTCCGACTCAACCTAGGAAAAACGAGGAAGACTCACCATCATCAACGTCTACTCGCCGACCTCACCAGAAGCCGAATCTAAGGCTAAAAAGGGAAGAGAAGGAAAAGGAACTTGACGATTTCTACCGGAAGCTCGAGGAAACGATCCAACGAGAGAAGGCGTACTACATCTCGTTCTGGGTGACTTCAACGCGAAGATGGGCAAGTGCGCCACTCCCTCGATTCGTCACGGGAAGCACGGACTCGGAATTCGGAACGACAACGGAGAACGCCTAGCCGAACTTCTCGACTCCAGAAGGCTCTACCACGGCAATTCTCTCTTCGAGAAGCCTGATCGGAGACGCTGGACCTGGAAATCGCCCAACGGAGACACCACCAACGAGATCGACCACATTCTGGCCAACCGGAAATGGTCTCTCCTCGACGTTGCCGTACTACCCAGTTTCGACGTTGGATCCGACCATCGACTCGTTCGCGCCAAGGTCCGTCTGAACCAGAAGTTCCTGAAGAAAGACTACCACCAGCCATCGAGACCGAGAAGACCAACCTACGACATCACCACGTTGGAGGAGAAGATCTCGAGCACGACTGGCAGCTTCTCGACGACCCGACAGCCGACTACGAATCCTCTGCGATGGCCTCATCAGATGTGCAGAACCTGCAGCTCGACCAACCTCGTCTCTACCGCCGCGACTCGACCAACGAGCGAAAGATCTGCTGCGAAGAAGAGGAGAAGTCAAACGAGACCCGCAGGCCACGCACCTAGAACGTCTGACGATCGACAAAGCCTGCAGAATGGCCGTGCAAGAGTCTCTAGCCAACCGACGCAGGAGTGCACTTCTTCAGACAGCTGAGAAACGTCAAAGCCTCAAGAAGAAGAAGTTCGAGCTCGTCGACGAGCGAACGGTGATGACAGCACTGAAGGACGAGAACGGCCAGCTGAAGACGTCAAGGAACGAGATGGAGCGCCTGACGGTCGACTTCTACACGAAACTCTTTCGAAGCGACGTTCCCGTCCCCAGAACACCAACGCCGCCACCAGAAGATGAACCCCTGATCCTTCCCGAAGAAGTCAAGTACGCCATCAGGAAGCTGAAGGTCGGAACGGCCGCAGGACCCGACAACATCTCATCCGAACTGCTGAAGGCTGGAGGAGACTCGCTGTACCGACTACTTGCCCGGCACTTCTCCAAGTACCTGAGCGAAGCCTCTATTCCTGAACAATGGAAAACATCCAAGACGATCCTCATTCCGAAGAAGGGCGACCTCACCGACCTGAACAACTTCAGACCGATCTCCTCTTATCGGTCGTCTACAAGTTGTTCACCAAGGTCATCGTCAACAGACTAGAGAAGCAACTCGACAACTTCCAACCGCCCTCGCAGGCTGGCTTCCGACGCAACTACTCTTGCCTCGACCACATCCACGCCTTGACCCAGGTGGTGGAACGGCACCGGGAGCACCAGATGCCACTTGCGTTGGCCTTCGTCGACTACTACAAGGCCTTCGACAGCGTGGAGATCAACGCCGTCTTGAATGCTCTTGCCTCCGCCGGAGTCGCCACGAAGTACGTCGAGCTGATCGCCAACAGCAACGAGGGAACGTCCACGACCATCCAGCTGTTCGACAAGAAGCTTTCGATCCCCATCAGGAAAGGTGTTCGCCAGGGAGATACCATCTCCCCCAAGTTGTTCTCCACGGCACTAGAAGACGCGATGCGCCAACTTGGATGGGACGAAGAGCACGACTGGGAAGACAGTACAGACATCAGAGGCATCAACATCGACGGCAAGGTCCTCACAAACCTCCGCTTCGCCGACGACATCGTACTCTTCTCAAGCTCCACCACCGAACTGTCCTCCATGCTGAACGATCTGGACGAAGTCGGCAAGAAGATCGGCCTTAAGATGAACGTCAAGAAGACGCAGTGGATGAAGAACCGCTTCTGCGACCAAGGCAAAGTCACCCTTGAGGGCCGCGACCTTCAGGAGGTCACATCCTACATCTACCTTGGCCGGGAAGTAAACATGGTGAACGACCTGCAAGCAGAGATCGGCAGACGCAAACGCGCTGGATGGGCCGCCTTCAACTCCATCAAAGAAGTCACCAGTCAGCTGAAAGACCCGAAACTGCGAGCTCACATCTTCGAAGCGTCGATAATCCCTGCCATCTCCTACGGTACCGAAGTTTGGCCTGACACGAAGAAAAAAATGCAACCGCCCTACGAACTTCCTACCGCGCACTGGAACGTGCTCTCATCGGCACCACTCGCTTCGAGCAGTGGAAAAAAGAACAGAGGAGCACAGACCTCCGTCAACTATCCCAAATCCGGGATCTAGAAGAGCACATACAACGCGGGAAACATCGCTGGGGCGGCCACGTCATCCGCAGACAAGACGACCGCTGGTCCACGAGATTAACACACTGGATTCCGAGAAACATCAAGCGCCCACTCGGGCGCCCACCGACCAGATGGACGGACTACTTCCGCAAGAACATCAGTCAGCCAGGCCGCCACTGGAGGACCGTCGCGCAAGACCGAGCCGCCTGGAGAACGTGTGGTCCACGCTGAGAACATCAGCGAAGATGGACCATCAAAGTATCAAAGTAAGTAAAGTGAAAAAGACAACAAAACTTTCGAGACTCAGAGAGATTTATGAAATTCGCGAAAAATAGGCACAAGAAAATTCAAAATATGAGTTCATTTTTACAAAAAAAAGATCGTCATTGACATTCTTGACTGATTTGAATAAAGAAGGAAAACGAGCCTCAAGAGAATAACTAGAAATAGCGTGGAAATAATAGAGATTCTGACAATTCCAGAATTTTTTTCCTAGACAGACTTTAATTGACTACACTAATTGAAAATTTCCAAGCTTTCAAAAAAATTTACGTCTTTTCTAGATCAATCTGCTGAATATTCAGACGGCTTAGAAAAAAAACCGTTAAGATACAAAACTCGACTCAATTTTAAATATCGACCGACCAAAAACTACTTTCGCTCTTTGGTACATTTAAACATAGGAGGAAACCCGCAAAAGGTCGGCTGCGGTAAAAATCAAAGATAGAACTCTCCTTTGGAGCCCGAAAAAGCTTTCAGCCAATCCAGACGTTTCAATCAGTTAAAAATCCACTTTTTTAAAAAGTTCCTCTTAATAGACCATAACTCACCGCTATTGATTCCTATCCTCAACTCGACGGTTTCTCCAGGCAAATGAGGGATCTTAAAAGACTTCATGTAAGCCATAAAGTCCAGGGACATCTCCACGATTACTCTAGGATTTTGTTTTAGAATTTTCTTCATTTATTTCCTCACTTTATATGGGCATAGCCATTTCTGACAGGAAGACCTGAAACGCACAGGTACCCGTCTCCAATCGATTCTACCTGAAAACTCCTAATTAATCGATTATTCTGAGGATGATCCACCTTGTAGACGCCATGTTCTTCGATGATGGCGTCAAAGTTGCTGTACATGTCGTTGAGAAGGTTCACAACCTGAAAACGAGATTGTAGATGATCCAACGTCTTGAAGGAGGACCTGGAAAGGCGAGCATTTCGTGGCGAGGATGGTGAACTTGACGACGTCGGAGAAGAAGACGGAGACCGAGTCGAAGCCTTCCGGCTCCACGGTTTGGCCCAGCTTCAGTCGTTCCGCCACTTGTCTGTTTTCATTTTATTTTGGGGAATTGGAAGATCGGGACTACTTCGGGAGCATTCTGCCCAGAAGGACGTCGGCTTTTTTCTTCTCTGCCGACAGTTCTTTGGTCCGTTCCTCGACTTCCAGTTCCAAGGTAGTCGTGTACTCCTCCAGCATGTTGAACACGTGGTCCATCAGATTTGAGTTCTTGCTTTAATTGGGAATATTTAGATTTGACACTTGGATATTTGAGTACTTTGGCATCATTCCACGAAGAAGGTTGCTGATGACGTCGATAACTGGCCGTTCTTCTGGGGTTTCACTCCAACAATCTCTCACCAGGTGAAGCTGGAAAAGTCTTCTATTTATTTTGATTGAAAGTTTCAAAAATCTGTTAGTTTAGTTAAGATGTTTTTTTGCTTTTTAAAGAAGTTTTGAAGCCTGGAAAAAGGAAAAAAAAGTCCTTTATTGCTAGACTTTAGTCTTGGACCTCGGTAACGAGAACGCGCTTCGGACATTTTTTGAACAGTTCTAGGGATCGCTTAAGGGTTCTGACTCTACTAAAGTGGCCCCTAAAAACCGCTCCGACAAGTCTGTAGTGGTGTAAAAAAAGTGTAAAAAAACACCTGAGATTTTTTCAAGGATAAATTCTTTGAAAAATTTCAATTGTGAAGTTTTATTTCACGCATTTCTAGCTGACCAATGCTTGAAATAGTTTCGAAACGTTGTCTTTTTTTTTAAATCAGAAAATCGAAACAAAAAAAAACAGTCATAAGCACTTTTGTCTTACTAACTACGGTTATTCTACTTTCAAACCAGAAAAAAAAAAATCAAAATACCCTTTAGGGACTACTTGGGCTTTAGGGGCCTAGGAGTCAAGCCATAAACCTCTGTAGGGGCCATCCAAATATTATCCCTCTAGGGGGCACTTTTTTGGTCTCTTGTAAAGGCTCTTTTTTCTCAGAGCCCTATAGGGACCCCTCCGGCCTTCCTAAGGAGTATACATGGGATGGATAGAGTTCTGAAAACTTACCAGGGTTCTAAATTCTTAAACTTATACAAATAACTGAATTCTCTTACACTATGAACAAAGGAAAAGCTTTTTCTTTTATTTCACGAATTTTTTGAACCTCTCCTTGATCAAACCATACATCGGCTGGATCCCACCCCAGCCTTTTGGGCGCAAAAAAAAATTTTAAAATGTACTGAAGTAGGCCGCACTTGGGGGGTAGGCCGCGCTTTTTAGGCGCACACCCCGGGGTGGGATCCAGCCGACGTATGGATCAAACTCACCACCGCCGGATTAATTTCCACGCCGTCCATGTCGAGATCTGGTCGAATTGGATTCACACCTCCTTTCTTGATCAAATAAACCAGCTCTTAACAACTAATAGAGGACTTTTTTGAGAAGTTATTTACCATCGACACTTTCTTTCCGGTTCGAAATGTCCCAGGCCGACTTTCTCGTCAGGATCTCCGAGCAAACGATGGCGAAGGAAAAAATATCGCCAGATTTTTCGATCTGACTCCGCGGCGTGTTATTTCGGAGGACTTCTGGCGCCAGCCAAAGTTGTCTTTTTTTCGTTGGAACCGCTTCTTCCAACAGTTGGTCCAGACCATAATCCGTGATTTTGGCCTGGAATGAACTATTTTTTACTTGAATAGTCCCTGGACTGGTTCAGAACTGCTATAGCCGATTCACGGCTTACTTAAGATCCTAAGGGGCGTGGCCTGTCTGCACTCTCCATTAGCCAGGCGCTATCTTGTTTTTGATCGTTTCAGGACCGTTTTTCGATGACTCAGTCAAGCAAAATATGAATCAGCTAACCAGACGCTTTTAAATCACAACCAAAACCAATTTTTCTTTTTCATATACTTTGAAAAATCGTCCTCTATAGTTCAAATAGTTTAGATATTTCGACAAGTCCAAAGTCTGATTTTTTTCTTTGCTCACATCTTCGAAATTGGTAAACCTACATAAAATTACAGTTTTATACCTATTTTTTTAAGAAAAATTTGAAAATTCAGAATGCTTCCAGGTTGGAAAGTGCAAAAATTAACTTTCTCGCTGATTTCTTTCGATATTTTCTGAGAACTTAAGAAACATGTCCAAAAACAAGATTCTAAGCTCGAACTAATTTTTAAGCATGATTACAGTTTCCAATCCGAGATTTGAGACAGAAATTTCAATGATAATGGTTTGAATACAGAATTTATTGCTGATTCAGGGCTAGCTTGGGACGCTATGGGGGCGTGGCCTGTCTGCGCTCTCCATTAGCCAGGCACTGTCTTGTTTTTTTGATCGTGTCAAGATCATTTTCCAATGAATCAAGCCACCCATGACTATACAGACTCTTTTAAATTGCGACCAATGTTTCGCTTTTTCATAGACTTTGCAAAAAAATCGACCTCTATAGTTCAGATAATTGATATATTTCGAAAAAAATTCAAAGTTTACTTTTTGTTTTTGCTTACATCTTCAAAATCAATAAGCGTAAAAAAATTTTTTTAGTTTCGAAAATGGAAAAAAATTTAAGAAAATTTAAGAATAAAATTACTTTTTAGGTGGAAAAATGAGTGGATCAAAAAGACTAAAATTAATTTCATCGCTGATTTTTTTCGATTCATTTCTTCGACCAACTCATAGAACATATCCAAAATCAAGATTCGAACTAATTTTTTTATTCTTGATTTCAGTTTCCAATCCCAGATTTAAGACACAAATTTTAATGGTAAAGTTTGATATATCGAAATCAAAAAGATTCACGAATGTTTCTACATATAAGACACTTCACTTGCTCTGAAGCTGTCATAAGTCAAATTTTGCCGAAAAAAATTCGGAAAAATCGGTTTTTAAAAGAAGTGTCAGTGAAAAGACAAAAATCAAACCGGTCGTACTTTAAAAGCGTCCGTCTTGAGTAATTATGATTTCTTAAAATGGCCAGGACCTTACTTAAAGCGGCTCGGCTCAAAAAAGCCAGCTACCTAATTTCCAATCAATTTCAACGCGACCGCGACGCTTTGAGCCATTCCAAATGCGACCAAACCCATCAAACCTGCCAACTGTCGTTGACCAGACAAGTGCCGGACCGCAAATTACCGTGATTTGGTAGAAAACTGTGATGCAAATACTTCAGGCCCTGAAAAATTTTTGATAAATTTTAAAAACCCTTTTTTTTACCTCTGCAATATCCCGAATGATACAGAACATGAAAAAAGGGTCCATTGAAAAGTTTCCTCGGGAAATTATGTCCTAAATAGGTAAATTTGGTACTTTAACTTCGTTTTCCAACTGGAACTTGGTAACGCGAATGTCGGGGCGTTTCTAGTGACCACTTTAGTAGCCTCAGAACTCTTAAGTGATCCCCAGAAACATCCGTTTCGCGTTACCAAAGTCCGAGTAGGTATTCTGTACCTGAAGACTGCCCCTGGCGCACATTTTCCACACGGCAATATATTCAGCGCCATCAATGGACATTCCAATGAACTTATTGATATTATCGTGGTCCAATTTTCGCATCTGAAAGAGAGAAAAATGTGACAAGGATGGTTATTTTACTTTTTGGCTGAAAAAATCCTGAAAATGGATGTTTTGAAACAGTTTTTCAAAGTGTCAATCTGCCAAAGTTCCTAGTTTTCGAGAAACAACGTCTCAAAGCCCAAGAATAGACTTTTTTACGGGTTTCGAAGGTTTTCTTTGACTTTGAGGTGTCCTTTCTCAAAAACTAAAAACTTGGGCGAGTTGGGACTTTCAGAATCGTCACCTGGGACATAAATGATCTTTCTGACCAATTTTCAAGAACAAAGTGAAACGACCTTCCTTGTGAGAGTGAATTTGAAAAAATCAAGGTTGAACCCATATTTCTTCGAATAAACTTGATTTCTCTGGCTGAATTTACCAAAAATAAAAAAATAGTCGAATATTCGAAAAAAATTTTGATTTTTTTAGAATATTATTAAGTTTGACCCAAATCGTTCATTTGAACAAAAAGTAACAAGATTTTTAGAAAGTATCTGCCGATGAAGAAGTAGAATCTCCGGAAATCAAATGAGCTTTTTTTGAAATAAGACAATTATAACAGCAAAATCGTTTAAAAAAAATGAACGAAGATCAATCTTGATGCGAAAAAAAGATTATACCATTTCGGAAGCTGTTCATTTGAAAAAAAGAAGCAGTTTCTGAATTACTAGGTTACAAAAAAAGGTTTTGTAAAAAAAATTCACTGACAAAGGCCATAAAAATAAGAGTTTTCGTCCTATTTTTTGGATTTCAATTACAAAAACTTTTTTCGAAGCATTTTAAAAAACTGGTGGATATTAAAAAATTGAAAGAAAGGACGCGAATTAGTGAAATGATTTTTTTCAAAAATAACCTAGAAAGGTATTTTTTTCAATTTTTCTTGGGCACTTGACCATAATTCACTTAAAATCGGAGTGGTGCCTAGAGAGACAACCTTAAGGGGCCCCTCTAGGGATCCCTTTACCTCCCTCTATGCTTGCAAACGTGGCCCCTAGAGAGGAGCATTTGTCTCATTTCGTAATGAACTCTATGAGATGCGAAAAAAAAAATCAATAAGTCCTCATGAAACTTTGAAAAAAACCTCTATAGGGGACAATCAAGCTTTACCTAAACTTTTCCCTATAGGGCTCTTTTTTTTTATGATTCAATTTTCGAAGTAAATCCGAAAAACCTTGACAAAACGCTCATAGTCCAGTTTAGTCAGAGTCGAAGCCGGATGTTTCGTAGCAATTACAGGTTCCCTGTCCAGGTAAAAGACCGTATAATGGCTGAATTCTCCATCATAGGTGAATTTGGTGTCTCCAGTCGTCGTGGAAGGTCCGGATTGGAGGGAACGTTTGCTCTGACGTTCACGTTCTTTCTGAAAATCCAAAAATCAAGCTGGAATCAAGTTTCTGAACCTTTGAAGGCGGTTTTTGAAGCCGAGCAAAGGCGATTTGCCACTCCGAGTTGATTCTCTCTTGTTCGAGTCGTTTCGATCTATGAGGGAATTTTTGAAAATTAATATTTCATGCATGTTTTGGATAATGGAAAGGCGGCTGGTGGCTGATCAGGAGCCAGAAAACTCGAAAAAAAATTTTTTTTTTCGAGCCAATTTTTCGGGGTAACAAGGTAAGAGAGGTTTCAAAAAAATACAAAAAAATTTTTATTTTATAACCGAAAAAAATTTTTTTAAACTATCGAAATACGACCGAAAAATTTCATCTAATTATGTTGAAAAAAATATTTTTCCAAGTTTTTTTAAATTCGCACTGATGACATCGTAGTATTTCTTTTTTTGCACTTATATTCCCGAATTTCTCCTGAAAAGCTTGAAAAAAATTGTTCATATTTGAATTAGTCACTCTAATTTTGGGAAAAACTTTTTGAGAAATTTTAAAATAAATTTTTTTATTGTTTTTAAAATGTCTACTGAAAGAATACTGTCTTTTCGTTTTTTTGCGCTTATTTTTCCTTAAATTTTTCCTGAAAAGCTTGAAAAAAATTCATTTATAACTTAATAATTCCCTTAGTTTTTGAAAAAAAAAACTTTTCGAAAAAAATTTTTCAAAACAAATTTTTTTGTTGTTTCAAAATTTCTACTGAAAACACCGGGTTTTTGCTTTCTTCTTTTTTTTCCCCTAACTAGAAAAAAATTGTTCACCTCTAATTCGAGATAAAAATTTTTTTAATTTTTAGTTTTTTTGATTTATTTTTTTCAAACTCCTACTGAGAACCCAGACCTTTTGCTTTTTGCCCTTATTTTCCCAAATTTTTCTTGAGAAGCTTGAAAAAATTGTTCGCATTTCAATAAATCACCTAATTTTGGGGACTTTTCGGAATTTTTCTTTTCAAAGAACTACCTTCTCGAACCTTTCCCAAATATGAGAGCAACATCATCTTTCTCGTTTACCTAATTATATAGACGATGAAAAACACGAAAGCGATCAAAATCAAGCCGAGGACGACGCCGACGACGATGACAAGGGTCGCGTACTGGTCCATGAAGTCCTTGGGACATTTGGTCCCAAGGAAACCGCAAATCGGGGTCGTCAGGGGCCGTTCCCCGCCTCGAGTCACCCAGATGACGGACTCGTCGGAGAAGGCCAAAGAGACCGTCTGAAACTGAAATCCGTAGTAGTACTGACGAGTTCTTTTCGGGCATTTTCGAAGGTATGTTACTCCCCACCGCCACGGAGGAGAAGTAGGTGACGTTCATGTAGGAAACTTGGTCGTATTTGCTGTTGAGGCCGTAGAATACAAATAGGGGCATCCGGGTGTTGTTCTGGTTTATTGTCACTTCTCCGCTGAGGCCTGGAGTTTCAATTGAGTTGGAATTCCATTTTTGGGAGGAACCAGGAAACGTCGTCTGCATGGCTTTCCCCACGGCGTCTGGATCCCGAATCGAAGTTCCATTGACCGCCAAATTCGACAGGGCCAATCCGTACAAGTACATGGCGTCGTGTAGATGACGCGCATACGCTCCCATCATCTACATTTTTTTTCATTGAATCAGAAAATCATGTTTTTTAAATACTTTTTTTAAAAACTTTGCTCATAATGACACCACGCAAGCCAACTGATGTAGAAAAACGCCATGCGACGCATACGCGCACTCGTCTCCATGGGGCGCGCTTGCATTTTTTGTGAATATTTGTTCTAAAATGAATTTTTTTATCTTCTTTTTAATTCTAGATGTGATTGTTTTAGAATATTTTTATTGTAGAATTTTCTTCCGGCGATTCCTGAATGAATGACAGCCAGAAAATTAATTTTATTCATAATAAACGTTCAATCTCACTTTTTGCGCGTCGCTTTTCATGCATCGTGTGCACTGCGTACAACACATTTTATTTTCCGCTTTTGCGGTGAATGTGGCGTCGATTTGGTGTCGCCGTGCAAACGAGCGCAATTTCCAGCTTTTGAAGCGTCTTTACTCGAAAAGGGCCGAAAATTTTCTTCTTTCACTGAATTCCGGAGGTTCTAACTTACACCGCAGGGAATTATCATCAAAAGGTCAACCATGGGCTAAAAAAAGTTCTCCAGTAGGCCTATTTTTTATCTGTGGAGTTTTAGACGATACTTCTATGTGTAACTCGCATTTTTTTAATTTATTTTTAAAACTAGGAAGCGGTCTTTGACTCCTAATTACTCTAGAAAAAAATGATGTAACTAAATTAAAAAAAGTTTGTTTTTTTGTTGCAAGCAAGCCATTAGAAAAAAATTTTAAATGTCTCGGACACGGACGTTTTTGAGAATTTCTAGTGGCCACTTTAGTGGCGTCAGCCCCTTGAGGGATTACTTCAAATGCTCAGAATTTGTTTTCGGTTTTTGTTAACGAGGTTCGAGACGTTATCGGAATCGCTGTTTTTTTTTGAGACTCAAAAAGATCCAGACAACAAAAACACATTTCAAAAATTCTGGATTTTCTGTTAATTCTCTTTAAAATTCCTCAATTTTCCTCTCTACAATCATTTCTGATCATTTCCTGACCGTAGTCGCATCAACGGCAAGACATTCCTGTGTCGCACAGGCGATCGGGGCCTTTTTCACGGCGTCCATCAAATTCGCTTGGAAATATTGCAGATAATTCTTGTCCTGGATGTCGTTGTTCAGATCGATCTGAAAACGGGTTGAAAAAGTATCACCAAAGATCCTGGAATCCCTGCAAAGTGGAAAAAATGAGCAGTGATTATTATTTTACGGAAGCCAGAAAAGGAAACGACACAAAAACGCGTGGAAAAATGAAAAACCAACGACAAAAGTGGCCGAGGCGGCTTCCCTGGCTACCGTATCCAGGCCATCTTTGTTGCCATTCGTGATGTCTTCCCAAAATGGTGACAGTCCGTTGGATACTGTAACTTGTAGTTTAGGTACTTGGAATAATATCGCAGAAAAATCGTCACAAGAAAACGATTGGTCAAGTGCGCTCCATGGATAATCAAATGTTTTTCGCTGCTTTTTTCCGATTTTTTTCTTTTTTTAGGTAATTCAAACTGAAAATGTTGTCTCCTTCAAAAAAAATTTAAAAAATGGAGGATACCGTTATTGTTAGGATTTTTTATAGAAAAATAAAAAGCGACTTTGGAAATCGAAATAAAGTTAAAAAAATAGAAAAAAATTTTTCATTTTTTTCCAATCATTTTTACAATGAAAATCAAGACGCTCTCCGCGTTAAAAAAAATTTTTTTGGAATTTTCGCGGTTTTTTCAAATTAGCGATAGAGCGCACTTGAGCATCGCCTTTTTTTCCGGCTATTTTTTTCCATGAACTATTGGTATTCCTATACAGGCAGCATTACAAGAAAAAAATCTAATAAAAAGTAAAAACTAAACAATTTTTTTAATCAGAAAAACGAATTAGCGATAGAGCGCACTTGAAGCATCGCATTTTTGCGGCTATTTTTTCATGAACTATTGGTATTCCTATACAGGCAGCATTACAAGATGAAAGTCTAATGAGAAAAAAAAACTTTTTTATCAGAAAAACGAATTATCAATAGAGCGCATTTGAAACATCGCATTTTTGCGGCCATTTTTCCTAGGACTATATGTATTTCTCTACAGGCAGCATTACAAGAAAAAAATCTAATAAGAAGTACAACTAAAAAAATTTTTTTTAAATCAAAAAAAAATGAATTATCGACAGAGCGCACTTGAAAAAGCGCATTTTCGCGGCTGTTTCTCTATGAACTATATGTAATCCTATACAGGCAGCATTACAAGAAAAATAAGTCTAATAAAAAGTGCAACTAAAAAAATCATAAAAAAATCAAAAACGAATTATCGATAGAGCGCACTTGAACTTTTCGCTTTTTTGCGGCCATTTTTCCATGAACTATATGTATTCCTATACAGGCAGCATTACAAGAAAAAAGACTTTAAAAAAGTGCAACTAAAAAAATCATAAAAATCAAAAAAAAAGTCGTCATCCATTCGGCGAAACTTACAAACAGTGCCGCTGACTCCGACTTGGCCTGAAAATTGGAAATCATTAAGAAATCTTCGGAAAAAGACCCGTGTCATTGCTCGGAACGCCTATAATCGGTATAGAGAAAGAGCGAATGGCCACGGGAAATCGCACTCACTTATCGACTGACCGTATCCCGAGCTGCGCAACGAGAGGAATATGTGCACGTATTCGTGGTTGGTCATTTCGAGTTTCGCGATTTTCGTGAGGTAACGCCGACGGTCCGTTGCACCGTAAGCACACACAAGGATTACTGAACTTACCATGGTGAGAAATGGAAAAATCATCAAGACTTTAACTTCAAGATTCTATTAGATTGGCCGGTTGTTAGAAAAGAGTGTTGCGTTTTCATATTTTTTTTTCATTGCCAAGGTATAGTTCAATGTAGTTTGGTAATAAATCATATAGCCTGTGTACCACGACTTGGAATTTCACGGAACGACATTCCGCTGTGCCGCTGCGCGCCTTTGCGAACCTTGGTCGCGCTTTTAATTTTTTTTTCTTTTATTAAGGTACTTTTTTTAATGTGCTCCCACAGCAATAAAAACCGATTGAAAGCGTGACCTAGACTCGAAAGACGCTTCGCGAACGCACGCAGCGGAACAGCGGAATGTCGTTCCGTGAAATTTCAAGTCGTGGCACACAGACTATAGAAAAAATAAGTTTTTCATTAATTGTATACTTTCATTCGTTTAACTAGTTTCTTTTAACTACAATATATTAATAATTATTAGAAAACTATATCAAAAAAAGTGGCTCGCATTTGACCTTGTTTTACCCGCCAAAAGCCGCGTCGCCTCCGCAACGCGTCACCTTTCTCAATCTACTCATTTCGGTTCTCAAGTCGGAAAGTACTGACTATAAGCGAAACTAGAAAAATCGATAAAAAATTATCAGGTCGGCCGGTTGTTAGTAAATAGCGTTGGGTTTATCTATTCAGATTTCGGCCCCAAAATTAGGATTTGAAGATTATTCTCGGCAGGAATTTAGCTGAAAAATCATATTTTCAGAACTATCTATCATTGAGAAAACGTACAAGGAAGGTAATTTGAAGTTATGATTTTTTTTTTAAATAGCCATAATTTTTCTCGAAGTACTAAAGGTAAGCTTCTGTGTTTCCAAAAAGGGCTCCAAGCCTGAAATTGACGGACTTTGAAGTCGTTGAGTTATTTTTACTCAAAAATTAGGAAGTTTTAGAGTTTGAGACTTTCAGGTTCTTCCTCTATTTTCCTCATTTCTCCCATTTTTTAATCAAGTATCAGCAAAACCCTCCAAAAAGTAAAATGACATTCCTAGGTAATTATCCTGAGTATGGTCTCATAGAGAAGCTCATAATGGTGTAAAATTTATATTTTTTGAAAAATGGCCATAATTTCCCTCGAACAACTTTTTTCAAAATCTGACCTTCTTCAAAGAAAAAAATTCATTCGAAAGGCTTCTCAAAAAAGATGACAGGCTGAAAAACTGGATAAAGTTAAAAAATTAAAAAAACTAATGCAAGAAACAGCAAACTAAACTAACTGACCAACAATTCCGCAATGAACTAACTATTTTTTTCTAACTATGTGAGTGCAAAGCGACTTTTGGGTGAAAATCAAATCGGTGCACAGTCAAAAAATAATTATTATTAAAATTTTTCGGTTTGCGTTTCAGGAAAGCGCTTGAAAAAGGGAACCTTGTTTAATTTTTTTTTCTCCTTCTTCAAAATAAATTGAAAATGAATTTCGGAAGATTTTGATTTTCTCTTCGGACGTTTCTTGACGATTCTAGGGATCACTTAAGAGGGCTGAGGCTACTAAAGTGGTCACTAGAAATGCCTCGACCCGTCCGAGTTATTACAGGTTTTCTTACGTTTTGCAATGAACTTAAAATTAATTTCTGGGCCCCTTACATGTTTTGTAAACCTCCAGCTAACGTTTAAAAGTTTTTTCAAGAGGTGAATCTTATAGTCTGTTCAGATTTTGAATGTCAAGTAGTCGTCCAAGCTCCGCCCCTAATTAAGCGATAAACCAATCACAGAGCGAGCCATCTACAGAGCGTTTTCAAATGACGTCATTGTAATTGAAATTAAAAATTTCAACGGGCTATGGTGCGTTTCGTCACGTTTTTAAAGCACGGCAGATAAAAAGTTACCGTAGAACAGTTTTTTTTTGTACATTTGCTTTACAGAACTGCAAAAAATGGTCTTGAAACGAAATTTGGCTTACTGTCTTTTGAGTAAAAAAAAAAAGAGGAAAAGCGCGGGATGGGTTATAACCTTTCTAACTATTCTAACAAGCACTAGAATATTCAAAGTATCAGGCAAAGTCGGAATAGTGGATAATGGCCGCTAAAAGTGAGAGGCTCAAAAAAGGCCACAGAAAAGCAGCAAAAAGGCAGCAAAAATGTAGCAAAAAGGTAGCGAAAGGGCAGCAAAAAGGCCGCAGTAAGGCAGCAAAAGGCTAAAAAAAAAGGCTGTAAAAAAGGTAGCAAAAGCCAACAAAAGGGCAGCAAAAAGGCACTAAAAAGAGCCCCTTTATCGAGCCTCCTACTTTTCTGGGATTTTAGAAGCTCAAGAAATGGTGAAAAGGGAGAGGCAGCAAAAATGGTTCATAAGGGCTGAGAAAAGGGCGCAGAAAGGCAGCAAAAAAGGAAAAATTCAATGGAGCCTTTTTCCACCCTTTCCGACTTTGCCTATGAAAAAAAATTCACGAAGAAAATTCCTCACTTCTCACACGACTTTTGGCTCTCGTCAGTGTACTTTCGTACAATTCGTCGTCGTCAGTAGGCAAAGTCAGTTTGAGACTGACATCGACCGGATAAGTCGCCGGGTCGCTCATCGCTGTCTATTTTATTTCCAAAAGGGTTGAGACTTTTGAATCCTCCCAGAAAACCTCGACGTCGTCAATGATCGTGGAGCAGAGGTTCATCTCATCGTCGACAGAAAACAAGGCCACTTTGTTCCATCGGAACGTCTCCAGAACTTTTATCGCGCAGTATCCTAATCTGAAGAAAAATTTTCGAAATTTTGGGAAAATTTTTAGTGGCCACTATAGGGTTTTGACGTTTTAGTGGCCAGTCAAGCTAGTGGCCACTTAAGGGCTTGAAAATTAGTGGCCACTATAGAGGTCTAAGTGCTACTACTAGACCAATAAAAGTTTTAGTGGCCACTTTGGGGTCAATGAATCAACATAACTAGTCCAATCTGATTGTTCTAAAATTATCAGAGTTACTGGAAGGAATACTGGATGAAAAACTACTGAAGAGGCCACTAAAACGGAAAATAGTGGCTCCTATAGAGGTGGTTTTAGTAGCCACTTTAGTGTCCTCTCCAAGTAATCCTTGGCGAGCCTCTAAAAATTTTCTTAGTTCGCTACAGAAAATCAGAGTAAATCTTAAAACGCAAATGTTGCAGGCTCGCAGTTGGAATCAGGCTTGCCCTAAAGAAATTTCTGATTTTTGAAATTCGTGTTAAACTCCGAGCCATTCTACGTGCAACCATAAACTGTTAAATCAGCACGACATTAAAAATACAGGACTATAAATAATCAATAATAGGCCCATGGAAATATGTATACAAATAAGTCTTTTTTGTACCCTGGAAGTCCTATGGTACCTTGAAGTTCTGAAAAAAGTGCAAAAAAGTTTTTTCCCGTGCTAGTTTTTTCTCAATTTCTTCAGAAAAATGACTATTTTACCGCCTTTTACTGGGAATACTTTTTAGTGACCCCTATAGGGGTTCCTCCAGGACTACTTGAAAAAGACACTTAAGTGGCCACTCAAACCTTCTCTATAGGGGGCACTAAAATTTTACACAGGTCCTACTCTTTTTGGAACTTGAAATCACCTTCTTCTTTTGGAAACCTTTTGATTTCCTTAAAAAGGACCTTTCCTAAAAAACTTTAGAAGACTTTTTTCTAGATCTGAAGGACAGGTCTCAAAGCAAAGGCAAAAATTTTGAAAATTAATATTTTTCCTACTTTTTGCGTAGAAACGAGAAAATTTTATAAAAAAGGACTTGCGAAAAGTTGAGATAAATTGGAGAAATAACGGAAAAAAAAAACTACTTTAGAAAGTTATTTTTGGCCCTTTTGGTCAATTATAAACCTCAAAAACAATTTTTTTTGCATCAACCTAACAAGTACAAGAAACTAACGACAAAGAATTCGGAATAACGTTGGTCAAGTAAGGAAATCGGGTGGCGTCGGTAAATTCATTGGCCGAAACGAATCCCCATCCCAACAATGGAACCCTGTAGAGACTCGACAGTGCTCCCATAACGACCAATGCTAAATTTGATTATGATTCTTTCGAAAAGTAAAACAGAAAAATTACGGCTTTGGCAAGGAGGTCCAATGACGACGTCCACATTCCGCATTTTCATGTACTCCAGGCCGACGGCGACCGTTGTGGCCCGATCGCATTCCGTATAGTTAATAAAAAATCTTGAAAACCATAGATAAAAATATGAAAACGGAAAAAAACTGTCCGATTAAAAAAAAGAAAATTCCAATACCGCGCATGTGCGCTCTATGGACATCTTGTAAAAATTTTTACTTTTTTTAAAAAGTAAAAAAATTTTTTTAATTTTTGTGATTTTTCTAATTTTTTTCTTTGTGATTTTCAATTAATTTTTTTGTGAAAAACAGCAAGGATAAAATTTAAAAACAAATGAAAAAAAATATATGAGGATTTCCTTGGATTTTGATCATTTTATCATAATTATTTTTTTAGAACTATTCTATTTTTGTTTCTTTGAAGCTAGATTGGGAGCTGCATGCAGCGAAAAAGGCTCAATCTCTGCCATTGGCCTTTGGAAAGCCGGCACCGTACTTCTTCCTACGACCTCTCTTGTACCTGATGTTCTACGAGCGAAATTCACAACTTCTCTGCCTAAGCCACAGCTCCTGCCGCCGTTTAAACACAGCCAAATCAATGAAAGTCGATTGCACATGTACTCTTACATTGAAGATGCAATAAACAGTTTTTAAACAGAAGCTAGATTATTAATTTAAATGATAATTTTTCTGGAGCAGATCCAGAAGAAAAAAATCTTTGGGAATACACGCGACTATTAAAACCACAAATATTCCAATTTCTGAAGCTCTGTTTGTGCAGCCAACATTATAAAATTTGATTTTTTTCTTTTTCTTTTTATTTTTCGTTTTTAACCCTCCGACTTGAAGTTTGATGAATAAATTCAAAAACCATTATATTTTTAGGCTCATTTTTGACATTTAACTAGACTTACTGAAACTCGAAATCTTTCGCATAACCATCTCTGTGAAGTCTTTCCACGGCCAACGCCAATGCACCTCCGCATTGTGCGAATCCTATGGAAAGCGGTTGGAATTGTTGAACTGCAGCCACTCCAACTTGTATCTTCCCAGAAGAAAATTGATAAATTGAATTAAGTATTCAGTTACCAATTTTCTATTTGCCGGAGAAATAGTTGTAGAAGGAGGATCGACAGGAGGAAATTGAGACGTCGCTCTGGCTACCAAGAGAACTAACAAAGAAAATAGTTCATTGAGCATCGATGTAGGTACAGTAGTTTTTTGGAGCTTTCGACGGAAATCGCAATAAAGGAAATGGCAAACTTCCTCTCAATAGGCGTTGCCAATAAGTTGAAGCCGCAAAAATTCGATTCACAAATTTTTTAGCAGGTTTCTGTCGGCTCTGTCAGTTTTTCTCGGAATCCTTACTAGGTGGGAATCCCAGCGGTTTGTATTTGATTAATCTGGTCTCGCAAAGTGTGAATCACGGCTGTTTTTTTTTCAATGTGACATTGGATTTACAAACATGCGGGCGGAAAGAGGACTTTAAGAAGAAAATTATATAAAATAAAGAAAGAATCAAAATTTGCAAGTTTCCCTTTCAAGAAAATTCGCGCATTTATAGTCCGTTCAGATTTTGAATGTCAAGTAGAATGACGTCATTCGAAAACGCTCTGTGGATAGCTCGCTGTCTGATTGGTTTATCGCGCCATTAGGGGGCGGAGCTTGAGCGAGGGCTTGACATTCAAAATTTGAACAGACCATATAGAGCAGATCATTGAAAAAAATCTTCAAAGTATTATTTGAGTACTCAGAAACAGCAAAATTTAAGAAAAGGAACAATTTTTTGAGAATCGGACTCGATTTGATCGGAACTTGAATACCGTAATCCAGATCAAAGCTCACGGGGCAAACTTGCCGCGCGCGAAAAATGTTGTTTTTTTCATTTTTAAGTTTCACATTTTCCGTTTTTGTTTTTTTAGTTGTACAAATCGTTGTAAGGCTGATATTCAACTCCAAATGTTGACCTAAAAAGCAGTTATCTTTCGAATAGTGACACTCAGCTTTTTCTGAACAGAGAAAGTTAATTTTAAAGATAATATCTTTTCTGGATTTTTTTGAAAATTTTCCGTAAAGTCCTTCGTTCATTTTTTTGTTATAATTTTTATTCTTTTTCAGTAAAATAATTTATCAAAAAAATTTTTGGCCTTTGTTATTACTTTTTGTCGCATTATTCTCATTCTCTTTATCTTTTTGAACAATCTCTATAAAAAAAACGTCAGGAACATGAAGTATCTGACGGCGCTGGCACTTTGCCTGGTCCTCGGCGTCTCTGCAAGGCCCGGACAATTCCAGCACCAAGACGCCGAGTTCAGCGAAGACGTCGAGCACCTCATCCAAAGGGCCAGACATCCGCCTCGCGCCAACGACGCTGTTGTCAGGTTTTTCAGCACCTTCCCGCGAATCTTTGGAATGAAAATTTGCAGCGATGAGGACATCGACATGATGTTAAAGGCGATTCTGGAAAGCCCGGTGCCAATTTTCGGCCGCGGCTCGCTCAAGGTGTTCCCGCCAAGAAAACCGTCTTCTTCGACGCCGAATACTGTAAACCCATCCACCGAGGCTCCGGTCGTCATTGTCGAGCCGAGTTAGTAGTATCGGGTGGTCGAAATATTTTTGCGGGGGTTTTTAAAGGCGCATAAGTCTTGGATAATTTCGAAAATGGTAGATTTTTGAAAAATCAGGCGGAGACGTCCCTTTTTTGGTAATCTGTGTCAATAAATTCGACTTACTGTGAATTTTTTTATCATGATTTTTTTATTTTTGAAAAAAATTTACTCAACAATATCCATTTTTTTCTTCAAAGATAGTCATAAATTGAACAAAAATGCTCAAAAAAAGTGAGCTAGGATACTAATAATTATTATAAAAATATACAACAAAAAAATTTAAAAAGAGGTTTTTTTACCCTTAAAAAGCAAAATTGATCCCCCGTGAAGCTATTCATAGTATTCATGTCTCTTTACCCTAAGGATTTTTTTGAACATATTTCAATTTATACTATAGTAATGGATTGGATTTTCAGCTTTCGTCGAACGGACCAAGAAGACTTTGGAAGAAGACGTCGAAATGTTGAAGGGCATGTATGCCAATGTCCGCACCGACATTGACACTTGGATGGTGGGAATTTCTATCAAGGAAGAAGAATAAATTTTTTGCCGATGATTCTTTTTACCGTCGGAATAGTTTTTCGCTCACTTTTAGGGAATAATGGCCGAGGAAATTATTTTTAGACAAGGTTTTTCAGCCTGTGTTCATTGTTTAAATAAGAAAATTAGCTCTAGATAGTCTTGTAAAAATTTTTTTCAATATTTTTGGCGAAAAAGTTCAGTCAAATCTTTATTGTTGTGAGAAAGTTTTCTATGTAAGTTGCTTATCAGGATTTTTTTACTTGATGTTTTGCAATTTTTTTAAATTTTTTTCACTGTTTTTGTATAACAAAAGAAGTCCAGTATCGTCATGAAAAAAATAGCGACTCCGACGAAATTTTCTAATTTTTCATGTCTTAAAAACTCTTTCTTGATGTATTTTTTTGAAAATTTTATTGGCTTGATAATACGTAATCCTCAAGGCGAAAAAAACTATTTTCATATAGTAAAGAAAAAGAATCAAGAATTTAAACCGATATCTCGCGATTAAAAAAATTATTTGTAAAGGTAAAACTTGCGCACGTTTTGACTATGTGTGTTCGAATCGAAGAATTTTCGAGCGAATTTACAGAAAATTTCATTCGGCTATGAAAAAATACTCGATTTACTTCTATTAGGCCATTTTCTCCCATTTTACTCCCCTTTTAAGCGACCCAGAAAATGTTTCATTTGCCAGGCCTACCCCCAGACGAAGGCCTACTACATGCCGATGTTGATCGGAAGCGTCTCCGCCCTTCTGATGCTCCTCGTCTTCTACACGTGCAAGAGCTTCTGCTCAGTCGCCCTCCGGTTTTTTTCTTCTTTTCAGAAATTTATTCCTCGTTTTCGAAGCAGTTTCTTGTAAGTCAAAATAGCCGTAGGAGAAAAAAAAATAACGGATTTGTCGAAAAAAGGTCCTGACACGATAAAAAAGAAGAGGTATTGCCTGGTTTGCGGAGAGCGCAGACAGGCCACCTCCCAAGCTGTGAATTAGCTATACAGTCTGTTCAAATTTTGAATCAATACATCCCTCAAGCTCCGCCCCTAATAAAGCAGTCAACCAATCAGAGAGCGAGCTCTCCAGAGAGATTTTTAATGACGTCATTGGCCTTAAAGTTAAAAATATAGCCTGGTGAGGTGGGAAATATCAAGTGCAATGACATCATTCGAAAACGCTATGGATGGCTCGATCTCTGATTGGTTTATGACGTCATTAGGGGCGGAGCTTGAGCGACGAATAGAAATAGGCCATTCCGCGCCAGCTTTTCACGACTTTTGTTTCCCTTCGAGCTAGAGAATCATTCCGTTCGAAGCGCGCGAGATGTTTCTCTGTGTCATTTATTTGGCCTAAAATTTCCGTTTTATTAAAGGCACAGGCAGAGATAAATATCGCGCGCTCCGAACGGAAGGGTTCTGTAGCTCAGAGGAAAACGAAAATCGTGACAAGCTGGCGCGGAATGGGCTATATTAAAAATCTGAACAGACTATAAACAGATTGAATGAATTGAATAATTATTTCTTTCCGACAAATCATAACGAAGAGAATATTTCCAGAAGACGTCGTATGCGTCGCGTCGCCGCCTTCGAAAACGAACTTTTCGACGGCGTCACCAAGGATCTCCTCAACAAGGGAAAGAACACTCCGCGCATTCCCCAGCGCCCTTCCAACAGCGACGAGGACATTTAATAATATCACTACTAACTCGATCGATTTATTGCACCATTCTTGTAAATATATATAATTGGCATGCTGTAAAGAAATGAAAGAATCGAAATAAAATGTACTTTCGTAACTTGTAAAATATTTATCATTGGCATGCCCTAAAGAAATGACAGAATCTAATAAATGTATCGCTCTTTTTGAATAAAAGAAAAGAAGGTTTTTCGTTTTTCTGGCCTTATCTCAAAGTACGATCAGAATGAACTTTTGCAGGTCCCGTGATATTTTCCTCCATTCAATTGATATCGGTACTCGATCTTTTGATGTACCTTGAACTATTTTGGGAAAAGCTTGAGAATGGCTGGGAAAAAGGGTTCGAAAGTATTTTCCAGGTTTTTAATAACTGTTCCAATACTTTTTAAAATCAACTTTCTAGTTAGCCTGATGATTTTTGAAAGGTTATTAATCCGAAATTCGATTTTCCTACACTTCCTTGAACTATTTCGAACTTCCTCATTGATAAAAAAAAATAAAAACCTTAAATTTCGGCTTAAATTCTCATAATAATGAAATAAATTAGAACAATTTATTGCCATTTAAAGCATTTTAGTGCAAAAATTAGCACAAGCTCGATTTCTGATGTTCCAAAACAGTTTCTTTAAAGGAGCATAGAGTCATTTTATCAGGGTCTCGAAGCGAATAGCCGCTTACAGTATGTTATAGGAAAACCATGATTTTTTTCTCCTTGTAGAGATCGGACAGAAGTTTTCATCGCATCAAACATGCTGAGGTTGTACGATTTCTAGAATATTTCTTCCCAAGAATCAATAATTTAATTCCTTTCTTCCCTACGAACGTATAAAATCAAGTTAACGGGGATCGATTTGACCGGTGTGGGAAAAAAAAATAAAAAGACGCCGCCAAACGAATGACGAACCATTCGTATGTGTCTTTCGGTGTGGCTCATTCGTTCCCGACGCGAAACCAATACTTTATTTCTATTTCTTCCTTCCCGTCGGCCACCTTTTTACGCTCTTTTGGCTATTTAAATTATACGCCAGTTCAAAAATGGTCGTATTTAAAGACTTCGTTCAAGTTTCGTTTGGGAAATCTTTTGACTTACAGAATGTAGAACAATTTTTTTTAGCATTTTTCCTGTTTTTCTTTATTTTGCGACAGTTCGAGCATTTTTTTTTCACAATAATTACCTAAAGTTCGCACAAAATCATTTTTAGCCTTATTTGGGCTCATTTTGGACACTAATTGGGCTGTAGATCACATGACAAACCTTTCGGCAGCTTTTCTAATTTTTTATCACGTTTTTCGGCAGTTCAAGTGTTTTTTTTTTCAAATTTAGCACCCAAATTACGAGCAGAGCAGTCTTTTAACCAAAAAAAATCGCTGAATTTCGCACAAAATCAAGTTTTTTTTGAACCTCTCTGAGCTCATTTTTGACGATTTTTGAACATTTCTGGGAAAAATTTTAATGGCCACTATACAGGCTTGCCAAGGACTACTTGGAGAGGACACTAAAGTGGCCACTAAACCCACCTCTATAGTGACCACTATTTTCCGTTTAAGTGGCCACTGTAGAGGTTTTCTATTGAAGGGCCACTAGAGGTTTTCTATTGAGTGGCCACTACCGGCCATTTTTTAACCCCTTGTGGCCAATAATTTAACTACTATAGTGGCCACTAAAACGTCAAAACTCTATAATGGCCACTAAAAATTTTCTTAGTTCTCTTTCGGTTTGAACACCCGTTCCTCATCCAAAAGCCGAGCAGTACGAATGGGCAGGACAGTCTCTTAATCAAAAAGGGCGAGTGTATCAAAAGAAGAGTCGCTGGGCCGAATGATAAGCGGCCTCCGGAGCGTCGCCGTTTCCATCGGGGTGCTATCTGCTCGAGGCTCAGATAAGATAAAACGGCATAAAAGCGGCCCAATCGTCTCCTCAGACGTCCTTCTTCTGACGTCTTCTAATCTGCCCAATTCTTCTGAATTACCACTTCACCCCCCGTCTTGGGCCAATTCCTGAGCTGGAGAATGTCATAAAATCCACATTTTGCGCGATATTATGCACATTTTCTAGTTCAAGAGACGGCCTCGTTTTTTTCTTCCAATTTTTTTTCTTCTTCGAAAAAGTTCGGAGTTTTCTGAATTTCTTCTTTGTCCGATAGAGACACAATTTCTGAAAAAGGAGCGTTTTAAGGTTGATAAAATGACTTTTTAGGTAATAAATTTAAATTAGGATAATTTTTGAGAAAAGATCAGAATTTGAAATCCATCAGAAGGCTCCTCAAGCTGTACTTTCAACGCAAACTGACTTTTTTTTTGTCTCAACCTGAAAGAATCCAGTTTTTTCGGTGTCTGTTTCAAGATTTCGTTGGAGATTTGTGATACGATTTAAAAAATTGGGAATTTTTCATACTTTAAAGATATTGGGTACCCTTCCTTTCCTAATGAATTTACGATTTTCAGGGATATTTTCATCATTATTTTTAGTCAGATCCAATCAGGTGATCTTGAATCAATTGGAAAGGTTTGAAATTGCATCACGATTTCGAAATTTTAGAATGAAACGTTTTCGGAGCCTTTTGAGTGAATAAAAAGTGTTTTTCCTTCAGAAAAGTAGGTCCAATAATTCAGTTGATCGATAATGAGCCAGCCAAGTTTGCTTCACGGTTACAAAATGCATTCATTTCAAGTTTGAATAAACTTAATAATTTTTTATATGATAGCCTTTTTTCAAAGATTATTAAAGATGTAAGAAAAGTTTTTATACTGGTAGGACTATTCAATTTCAAGTTATAATCTCTTCAACTCAGAAAAATCTTTGAAAAAAACTTCATAAATAAGTATTTTGACGATTTAAAAAGTTCCTATAACTCTTTAACTTCGTGGAAAATGATAAACTCCCTGGGAAATCAAAAATTTTTTTATTTTGTTATTAATTTTTCAAAAAGAAATTGACTTCTGAACTGCCAAACACTCGAAAAAAAATTCTTGTTGGGGCTTTTTTAAAAAAATCTTTTCTGAAAAAAAAAATAAAATTGAATCTTCTCGAAACCTCCATCAAGTTTGTTTATACTCCTTTAAAAACCTCACTAGGTCAGAGCTGGATTTTTGAAATATTTCTGAAAACTCGGTATTATTCCAGGACAGGATCGGGAAAAAAATCTCTTTTTGGAATTTTTCAAAGGTCATGCAAGTTGATTTTTTTTTCAAAAATCCGCTTCTGTGGTTTTTGAAGGCCCATAGACAACTTCAATCAATCTGAGAAAACCTTTATAATTAAAGAAGAATTTTTTTGATTAAAAATATAAATGAAGCTCTTCAAAGCTTCTCACAGTAAGCTTGACCAAAAATCTTATTTTTCTCGTCCAAATTGATGGAAAGATACTAAATCTATGTTTTCAACAAAAAAAATTTCTTCAGAAAATATTTTAATCTGAGAATTTCAAAGCTTCACGAAGTAGGCTTGTCCAAAAAAACCCATTTTTTTCTCGTTAAAATTAATTGATAAGTACTAATTCTGTGCTTTTAACCAAAAAAAAGACAATTTAAAAAAAATTGTGAGTTGAGATTTTTCGAAGTTTCTCACAGTAAGATTGACGAAAAAAATCCTATTTTTTTCTCATGAAAAAAAATAATATTTTTTTGAAGAAACTGGAGGTAGAATTCTTCAAAGATTCTTGTAGGACTTTGACTAAAAAAACCTTATTTTTCTCATTTAGATGAAAAAAATAATATTTTTTTGAATGAGTTGGGATCTTCCAAGTTTCTCACAGAAAACTTGACTAAAAAAACCCTATGTTCTCATTAAACTCAATCGAAAGATTCTAAATCTGTGAATATTTTTTTGAAGAAATTATAAGTTGAGATCTTCCAAGCTTCTCACATTGAGCTTGACCAAAATCTAATTTTCCCAATCAAAAGATACGAATCAGATTGCTCGTGACAACTGTATTCCGGCCCATATCAATCGAAACGATAAATTGGTAACATTTGTAATTAACATGTGTCTTTCTCTCTCGTCTTGCCTTGTTTGGAATGAATGATAGAGCTTCGGGGCACACAAGAAGAGAAGAAGCCAACGATAAGATACGGGGCTCCTCTGTTTGAACAGCCACAGTCCAACCGCACTTTACTACGGTTTTGCCTGGATTGGAATACACTTGCTCGTCAAATTTTGGACCATAAAATGGGAGAATTGAAAGTATGAAGATAGGTGGAAGCTTGAAGTACTAGAAAAAACCAAAAAAAAAACCAAGGTGACCTTTCCAACAAGGAGGTCGTTTTACGGTTGGAAATTTCTTGGAAAGTGGCCAGAACACTTCTTGATGTACTAGAAAAAGATTCTGAAAGTCTGAACCTTCACAAATTCCTAGTTTTCAAGAAAGGACTCCTTAAAGTTACAAAAACACTATAAATCCGTAAAATATGCCATTTTGGGGCTTTGAGCCCTCATTTCTCAAAAACTAAGATTTTTTTTCAGTTTGAGACTATGAGGATCTTTTTCTGGTATATCAAAAAGTGTTATGAGCAATTTTTGAGAAATTCCCAAACGAAAAGTGAAATGACATCTCTTAATAGGTGCTTGACGAACATTCAAAAAATCATAAACATCATAAAAGTTTTTTTTCTTTTTTTTTAAACTTGCGCTTCTAAAGGCCTCACCAAGATATTTTTAAAAAAGAAAAAAAGAAAAGAAAACCAAAAAAAAAAACAGCCCAAAAAGGTCTCCGTGACGGGGGATTTGCGCTCCACGGCTAACTTCAACATTTTTTTAAACTTTTTTCTGTTTTTAGGAACACTTTTTGTGGAAAATTTTCGTCTTAAGAGCAACAAATTTCAATGGGTATTGCACTTTTGAATTTAAAACTTCCCCAAAAAGTTAACCAACCTCTAATTCCAAAATCCCTTTTTGAAAGCCAGTAAATCTAGCATATATAGTCTGTGTGCCACGACTTAAAATCTCACCGAACGACATTCCGCTGTTCCGCTGCGTGCGTTCGCGAAGCGTTTTTCGTATTTAGGTCACGCTTTCAATTGATTGTCATTTTTGTGGGAGCACATGAAAGCAGAGTACCTTAATTTAAACAAAAAATTAAAAGTGCGACCAAGATTCGCGTACGCACGCAGCGGAACAGCGGAATGTCGTTCGGTGAAATTCCAAGTCGTGGTATCATAGATCAAACTCGGTTTCGAATTCAGCTTCTTTACGAAAAATGTATCAATCTGCCTTCTTTTCACGCACCTCTTCCATAATATTTTTACAAACGGAGAAAAAAAGATCACATCAAAAGGATGCTTTATGGGAGAAGAAGCCGAGACGATGTGGTCGCCTTCATTTCTTGCTCTTCTTGCCCTTCTTTTCCTTCTTCTCCTTGTCCTTTCCGCCTTTCTTGGCCTTCTTGCCCTTCTTCACCTTCACCTTACGCGCCTTGGGCATGTGCTTGAGTCGGTCTTTTACGAGTTTCCTCAAATAATTTGTCATTTTCGGGGCTTTGGGAAGAATTTACTTGACAAGGACAACATGGAGGATGAGAAGAAAGATTCCGAACAGAAATCCACCGCCCAAGCCGATTAAAAACGGCACAGGTGCCACCTGGCCCATCTGAAAAACAACATTTCTTCCATTTTCTTTCATTTGGAAAGTTCTGGAAAAGAAACGGAAAAGCTTCTTCCGAAAAAGACCTTTTAAGGGTCCCCAAGTACCTTATTCATTTTACTTTTGCACCTTTTTCACATACTTTAATTAAAAGACGCTGGAAAGGAGGTGCTACGAAAAGAGCGAGTTTTCCATTTGCGAGGAGTACGGTTAGGGACCGCAGACGAATTTTCAAAAAATTTTTCGAACTTCAATATCACTATGGTTGGATAGCTGCTCTAATTTACTATTCAAAAACTGTTTAGTTTTTTTCGAAAAAGGTTGAGAAAAAAAAAGTTATGGTCAAAACAGTAGTGAAAAAAAGTCGCGAAATTTAGTACTGAAAGTTTAGATTTTTACACTTTTTGGTCGTTCATTGTGTTTTCATATCGGATTTAAATTTTTTAGTAGTTTATTACGGTTTTCAAAGTCGTAATAAGTCATTAAAACAGTATAAAACCACAAGTTTGAAAAGAAAAGCTATTTTTTCTTGAAAAATAAAAAAAAATGGCCGCTGCGAGGATTGAACTCGCGATATCAAAACTGTATGCAAGCGCACTTGCGCTGCTCCACACACATCTCTCGGAGATAAGAGGCGTTCGCGCTATACACCACTTCACCTCAAAGTACAGCATTTACCGACTATCTTGTTTAAAAAAAGTTATGATAGTTGAACAATTATTAGTCATGTGTGTTTGGACCACTTAAAAAAATAATTTATTCATAAAGATTCAGTTCAAAAATACCTCCCTTTTTCGGCGTTTTTTTGTTATTTTTTTAACGTTGGCTCCAAATTAACAATAATTAAACTTTTTAGGCACCGCTAAAAATTTTTTTATTTTATTTTTTTAATTGGTTGAAAATTAAGATACGCTAATATTTAAGAAATAAAGAAAGGCGCCAACGACATCTAACCATGTTAAAAATAAATTTCGAAATTTTTCACTGTCTATTTTTTTCTCAGAAAACAAAGTTTTTCGGAATAAGTTTTACATTAATAAAATTTTAGTTACAATTTAATCCACAAGTTAAAATAAAAAAATTTTTTTACTTACATGCTCTGGAAAGCGAGTAGAACATTTTTCAACTTTGCGCGGCCTCACGAAGATTAGGCACCGTAAAAAAATTTTTAATTTTTTTGTCTTAAAAAGATTTGTTTTTTTCACTTAAAAAAATCGAATTCGAAAATAAAAAAAGGCGCCAACGACATGGAACTAGGTTAAAAACCCGAAGAAAAAAAGTAGTTTCGGTTTTTTGTACGACACTCCGCTAAAACGCTACGAAAATCGGGGGAAAAATATATCAGATTGAAGAGGAAGGTTTTCTCTATGTTTCTCCCAATTTTCTCTGTGTTTGGTTCAGTATTGTGCTTTTACGAAAACATCAAACACAAAATCTAAAAAATCAGTGCATTTCACCATCGCAAAAAGGGGCGTGGCTCTGCGGTCTCTAAGTACGGTATGCGGATATGCGCATTGCGTGCATACACTTTGCGTGTTTACACTTTCGTTGCGTGACGTCACCGGGTAGGATGTCTCCGGGTTTTTTTTAGAATATTGTTCAATTTTTTTTTTCTTGATACTGTTTTTCATCGTGTATATATATCGAGAAAAATGCATACCTTGAAAAAAACAAAAAAAAGTTTAAAAATATTCGCAAAAAAAAACTCGGAAACAAAAAACCCGGAGACCTGGTGACGTCACGCAACGAAAGTGTGAACAAGCAATGCGCATTTTTGCATACAGTACTCCGCGCAAATGGAAAACTCGCTCTTGTCGTGGCACCGGAAAGGATTCAAGAAAAAGCTAAAAGTATTTTCCCATCATTTTAGGACCTTCCAAGGCCCTCAAAGGAGCTTTTCCGTCTCGACTTCGTTTCAAACTCACGTTCGGTCCTCCTTTATTGTCCGACATTTTCCGTCCTGAAAAAAAAACTTTGATGCTTCTGATTTTTTGGATCATTTATTTTATCCGCTAGATTTCCAAAAGGTGCAGGATTTTTATTGAGTTTTTAACGTCTTTATTGTATATTTGGCAAAAATTAAGTTTTTTTTAACTTCGTAAAAGTCGAGCTCAAAGTCTCAAAATAGCCTATTTTTATGGGTTTTGAGGGGTTTGGAGTGTATTTTCTCCAAAACGAGGAAATCGTGCAGGTTGGGACTTTCAAAATCTTCTGATACATCAAGGAGTTTTCTGGCTAAATTTCAGGAAGTTCCCAACCGTAAAGTAAAATGATCTCCTTGTAAGATAAAATTAATATTTTTCCCATACGTTTTGAAAACGTAGGAAAAGCTCTACAAGTTGTTTTTTGCCTCAAATCTCGTTTTTTTCTTTTTTTTTAACGTCCTGGATTCCATATATAGACTGTTCAGGGCTGGTTCGGGCAAGACAATTTCTGCACTCTCCACAATCTAGACACTATTTCTTTTTTCTTCGTTTCAGGACCCTTTTCGATGGGTCAAGCCACCAGTTCCGTGAATACCCTTTAGGAGCCAACAACCTCCGAAAACTATTTTAACCCGAGAAAGCTTCGGAAATCCCAAGGAAATGGGATCCGTACCTGTTTTGGAATCAGGAGACGACTCTGCAAGAAGCGCGGCTCCGCGAAACTATCGTTGCCGAAATAACTCCCGACCGACGTCCATTCGTCCTTTTAATTTCGTTATCATCACGTCTGAAAAAAAAAGTGCGTTCATTTCTATTTTTCTGAAACTTTATCTTCACGTGAAAGTTCAAAAGTACCTAAAATGGAACTTTTTGAGTATTGTAGTTCCCCCACGTACCTTTTGGAAAAAAAATCTTTGAAGGGTCTTCTCAGCGCCTTTTTCGTGAATTTGGCCCGTTCCAAAGAGATAAAAAAAGACTTTTAGAAGAAAAAAATGAATAAAATATCATGAATGATTTTTTTCTCGAAAACAAAGCTCAGAAGAAGTGATTCGTTTGAAAACTGAAATAAGATATTTCGAACTTTTAAGATCCTTAAAAGGTTAGTAAGGATCGTCGTGAAAGCCTTTCTGTTATTCAGAAGTCTTGATTAAATTAATCTACGTTTTTAATAACTGTTTTTATTGATCTACTCAGAATATTCTAGAAACGGGCTATCGTCTTGAGACCTTCATAAAGTTTTTTTCTTCTTTTTCCAAGCGTCAAGCAAAGTTTTTCTTTCCTTTAAAGAGTTTTCAAAGCTTTTTCAAATCAAAATCATCGAAAAGGCCGAAATTTCGAGCTCCAGAGTAGTCTCTATAGGGGCAACCTTAGGGGCCCTTAAAAGGTCCCCTCTAGCGACCACGTTACCCCTATAGGGGCCATTCAAGCTTGCAAAAGTGGCCCCTATAGGGGACATGCTAGTCGATAGTTTTTATGAACTGTAAACGAAGAAGCATTTCCATGGTTTAAACTGAATAAATAAGCGTTTTTTGAATGATCTTGAATGAACCCTATGGGGTCTACTTGAGCTTTAGAGGCTAAGAAATCAGGTTAAAAATTAGTGGGCACTTTAGGGGTCAATGGACCATCATAACTGGTCCAATCTGTTTGTTTTAAAATCATCAGAGTTGCTGGAAGGAATACTGGATGAAATACTACTCAAGTGGCCACTAAATAAAGGACCTCTATAGTGGCTCACTAAAAATTTTTCCCAGTAAGTTTGTAAAATGGAAATTTTTTAAAAAGCCTTACAAGAAAAAAAGAACCTTTTTGTCGTAGTACCTCTTTTTTTGTTTTTTTGTATGTTTTTTTCTTATTATTGGCCTTTATTTTTTTACCGATTTTCAACTTTTTCAAAACGAAACACGAGAGTTTACTTTTTCAGATTCAAAATTTTTAGGGGTTTGGGTTGGCTTTTTTTATCATTTTTTTCATTCGTAAGTTTCAATAAATTTGAGTATAGCCCTCAAAAGAATGATTCACCGGCTCCAAATCACAAAGTGAGGAAATTTTCACGAGAAAAAAACACTTTTGAATAATTTTTTGGCTGTCAACTTTGTCGGAGTCATGTTTCCATGTGGAAAGCGTAAGGTTTCAACTTTATTTATGGCGTGATGATTTCAAATATTGTTGTTGTCGTGTATTGGGTGAGGTAAAAATAGACCTATTAATCCATTTTTGAATGAGTCAAATAAGCCTAAAATTTAAAGTTTTTTTGAATTTTCTGACGTCACAATTCCTTCGAACTATTTATGAAGAAGGTCAATTTATTTTTTTGATTGAAATTTTTCCTGAAAATGGCCACTTTACTTCTCGATATATAAGAAAAAAAGATAATAAAATAAATATTCAAAAAGATCCCCAAAGTCTCAATTTTCAAAACTTTTTTTAATTTAGAGAAACAAGGGCTCCTTATATGGCATATTTTAACGGACTTCGAAGGTTTTCTTCGATTTCGGGGTTTCCTTTTTCCAAATTTCAGGACCTTTTGCAGGATGAGACTTTTAGAATATTCTTTTTTTTTGAGATTTTGGCCCGTTTTCAGCGGATTTTCAACCATTAAGGAAAATGATCTTTCATGTCAGCTTTTCATAAATTTTGTGGAACCTAAAATTGCCCTTAATGCTCCTAAAATCAATCGAAAAAAATCAAAAAAATCTAAAAAAATTTGAAAATTTGAAAAATTTTCTGCAAACTTGATTATTTTTTTCGAGAAGCTGGAGGGGTCAATGTCATTGAAAAATGGTCAAAACATAAGATTTTAGCCGAAATTTGAAGTTTTTTTATTTAAAAAGGTTCCTAAAACCCCTAAAAATATAACTCTTCTTATCGTTTTTTTCAAGAAGTGTGCTGTGAAAAAAAATCAAAAAAACGCTTAATTTTTACTTTTTTCAGAATTTTAAATGGCTAGGATTAATATTGACACGAAAATGATGACTCAAAGGGGTCACTAAAGCAACTTTTCAACCCTGAATGTTCAAAATTCATCTTGAGACCTACTTTGAAGATCAAAAAAATCGCAACTTTCCCTCCAAAATATTTTTTTAAAAAAATATTTTCTTTGTCGATTCTCAAAACAAATCTTTTTTTAAAGCCATTTATTAACACTTTTCTCTCGGATATAAATACATAGAAACCCATGTTACAAGGATCGATATAACACATCGAATGGGAAAGATGCAATTAAATGCTCAAGATGAGCTACGGTGCAGGTAAATGAAAATAAGGTAAAGCTATGCTTGAGAATTGGGACTAAAGCTATGAAAAAATGCAGGGCAACGATATTTTTGTGAGTTTTTTAAAGCGAGACCAGAATTATACTTCATTCCTCAATTTTTGAACAGTCTGACTTCTCTGCGTCTCTTTTCTCTAACTGACAAGGTCAGAAACGTGAAAATAGCACTTGAACACTAGAGAGCGCAGAGAAACGGACTTTTTCAAAATTTGATGAATGAAGTATTGACTTTTGACGACTTGAACTTGGAATGGCTCAACGAGCTGCGTTTTGGGTACATCCTATGATGGAGGATGCAGCCGCGCGGAAGTCGTTTTCAGTCGGGTGCACTGAAAAACTGACCCGCTGAGCCATTCTTAGGGCATTTAAGACGTGAAAATAGTACAATAAATAAGGGACAGTTTTTCATGAGATTTTTTTTTACAGTAACAACGGATTACGGTAGTCCAATGGGTCACAATTTCTTGGAAGGCTCCGTGGTGTTCTTCTTCTTGTTCCCCTTGATCGACTTGATGAACGGGAAAGTCAGAAATGAGCAAGGCCTTTCCGAAGACGAATTCGAGCGGATTCCCCTGGAAAAAAGTAAAATGTTTCAAAGATTCTCATGGTTCTATTGACCCTTTTTTTCGGGAAAAAAAACGGCGTGATATCTATTTTATGCATTTATTCCGTGTTTGCCCAGCCAAAACTTGGCGATTTCGAAACTGATATGATTGTATAGAAAGTCGGGGAAAAACCAACTTTGGCTGGATCACTTCGAGGTCCTCGAAATCGGTACTTTCGACTCGGGCCGGCGAGACCAAAGAGTACGTCGAGCGGTAGAATGACTTGTCTGAAACCGGGAAAATGGGTAATTTTCGAGCAGGAAAAGTTGGAAAAACTTGATTTTTTTGGTCTTTTGGGTCAAGAACCGTGTTAGGTTCAAGTAAACTTTTAAAAATCGATTTTTAAATCATTTTAAAACTTAAGAAAAATTTTGAAGACAAAAGAAGTTGCTATAAATCAACTGAAAATCAGCTTTCATTCAACAAACTCAAAAAAAAAATCAGAAAACTTGTTTCCAAAACTCTCTTACTTCCCTCAGTGGTCACTTCAGGGGTTTCCTGTTTTCTTTTTTGCGCGATACAGAGGTCAGACCTCTGAAAGGAAAAAAAAACAGTTCAGGAAACTTTTTGATTCGATTAACTTGAGGCGCTGACGTCAAGAGTTTCAAAGAAATCGAAAAGAAATTGAAGTTGTTTGCGATGGAGCATAATTGCTGCGACTGGTTTTTTCGAAAAAAGCCTTGAACTACAGAAGAGTTTAGAACTTTGTTGAGAAGACTAAGAAACAGTAAGTATTTCTAAACGATTTGAAGTAAAAAAATAATATTTTTGAATTTCTGCTTAAAATAAATTTTTGCGGCAAAGTTGCTCCATGGACAGAATACCTTAAAACTTAGGGAGCGCTTTAAAAAAACTTCACAAAAAAACTCATAAATATCCTAAATATAAGAAGTATAAGTTTTCTAACGTACGGAAAAAGTACAGAAAAAAAGCTGCAAATGTCGATTTTTGAAAAAGTTTTTTTGTCAGGTAAAATTAAATTCGTTATTTTTAGACCTTTTTATAGCTTTTTTTCTCAACCTTCAATTGGTCATATTTAAAAAAAATTATTAAAATTGGCTTTTTTTCCAACCCCATTTCTATCAAAAGCTACACTAAAAACTCTATTTTCCCTATTTTAACAAGCTTTTATTCCTCATCTAGGCCCCAAACGTAAGAAATGTCCTCAAACGTCATTGTTCGAAAATCTCAAGCGGCTTAGTTGTGTCACTTTTTCTGATAGGGCGAAACGCGGGACAAAAGGTGCCCCTAAGGCGATTTTCCGTCGCCTTGGGAGCACAGATAATTGTGCAGCACACGTGAAAAGGCGTACCCGAACCTTGGATTCGCAGCTTTTCGAGCTCGTTCTCGAGGTTCTTGTGGGCTTCCATCGGCGAGGGCGACTGGATCTCCGATTCGATCCGATGGGCGAATGAACGGAGGAAAAGTTCTTCCCACAGCTTGTTGGGCTGGAATTTCGAAATTGTTGATTGAGTTTAGATATTTTATGAATCAAAAAAGATGTTAAAAGGGTTTTCCTTTGCAAAAAGAGCTTCTCAGTCTAAAAAATCATCAAAACTTGCCTAAGGCTCAAGATGTCGTTACAGTTGCGCTCTATTGACAAATCTACATTTTTTTCGACCAAAAATCGAGTTTTTTTCCGAACAGAAATTAAAAAAAGTTATTATCAATATTACACTATATAAACGTTACGAAACGTAAAAAAAGAGCTTTTTCTAAAAAAAAACGGTTCAAAAGCCCAAATTCCCGCACATGTGCGCTCTATTGACAAATTTACATTTTCTCGACCAAATCTAGGTTTTCAAACAGAAATTTGAAATTTATTATCAATATTCTACTATAGTAAAGTTACGAACTGGAAAAAAGACAAAAAAAGTTCAGAAGCTCGAAATTCCCGCACATCTGCGCTTTATTGAGAAAAACTACAATTTTTCGACAAAATCTAGGTTTTCAACATAAATCAGAACTTTATCATCTATTTATTATAATAACGTTACGAAGTGGAAAAACAAATTTTTTTCACCAAAAAAATTTTTTTCAGAAGCTTAAAAAAATCTTGCCCATCTGCGCTCTGTTGAGAAAAACTAAAGATTTCATCAAAAGTGAGCCTACTTCAATATATATTTTTTTATAACCTCTAGCAGGCTTGAAAACCGTATGAATCTGCGCCCCAATGACAAATTGATCTTTTTTTTTTCAAAAATATCAATTCTTTAAAAAAAAAAAAGAATTCTCAATGGAGCACACTTTTCACCCATTATCAAAACATCAAGAACAAATTTGCCTCTCGGGGGGAAATTTTCCTTAAACTCTCCGAGTTCATTGATGTCACGGCCGATTAAGGGAAAGACCACGTGAGTGATTATCTTATCACTTTTTTCTCAAGACTTCCTTTTATGGGAATTCCCAGAGTTATCTCCTTTTTTAAATCCTGAAACAGGTACCTCTTCGTTGTTGGAGCGGCCGTCGACGATTTTCCGGCCGTCGTCAAGATATCGGGTCTGGGCTTTTTTCGACTTGGCCTGACCCGTGAAAAGTGGCCTCCATGATGGAGTTCTTTTCGCTACCGAGGGGGTTCGGACTGAAAAAAGGGATTTTCGAAAAAACCTCGTGAGAAAGAAGCTGAAAATAAGCTTATAAAAATATTGTTTTTTTGAGCAAGATCGCTCCAATGAAGTCTTACTCGTTCTACCGAGTTACTTCCAGTAAAATTAAGATTTTCCGTTTTTGAAAATTCGAAAAAAGCTCTTGGAAAAAATCATGAGATAATTCGCTCTACTGATAAAAATTTTTTAAAAGAATTCTCTTCCCATTCTGACTCCCAAAATAAAGAAATAAATGAAAAACTGAGCCAAACATTGAATTTTTTTAAAGAAAAAAATTCTAAAAAAAATAGCGAAATTGAGCAAATTCGCTCCAGTCAACCCATTATTTCAATGTTTCAAACAAATTGTAAATTAATTAAAATTGAAATCAACGTAATGGAAACTCGGCAAGTTATGCAAAAATTGTATATTCAAAGCTTTCAACCAAAAAAAAAGCTGCTTCTTTGGTAATATTCGATTAGAAGCTTCGAGAATTTTACGTTACCGTATCCCTACAGTATGCTAGATCTCTCTGAAAGCTGTAAAACCTACGCTGAGAACCATAAAAGGACATTGAAGCAACTTTCTACAAAGTGACAAAAACTGCGAAAAATTGACATTTTCCTAACCGATTCCTACAATAACCCTACCGTATCCTATACCATTTTGAAGCTCAAAAAATCGCCAAAAACCCACCATGAGTAGTGTCGCTCTCATTCCTCACACGGACCGACTCTTTGCGGGACGGCGCCGAGGCATAATAATCAAGGGGAGTGTCACACTGGACATTGACCATTCCAATCATTTCGGACTGAAATAAAAATTGTAAAAATGACGATTTGTTTCAGAAAACGGACAGGTATAGGTTATAAAACGGTCAGTAATGTTCTAAATTTAAAGAATCGGAGCAAAAACAAACGATAAGCGGACCCAGACGTCGCACAAAAAGCGACTCTTTTCAGCTTTTATGTCCGAAAATGATAAGGAGAGGAATTATATCACCTTTCGTTTTTCTTTCCGTCTTCTCAACACGAATCAATGGAATTCCTCGGGGTGAGGATTTTGGAATTCTCGATAAAAAATGGCGCTTCTGGCCCTTGACTTTTATAGGTCTTAGGGGAGTGATAAGGTTAAGAATTTTGGTAAAATGATGAAAATTGAGTTTGATGATGAAATAGGTACAGGTAGAGTATGAAGGAATGTGAATATAACCATTAAGGAAATGATAAAGAAAATAAAACTGGATTTCATCGAGATAAGCCTATGGAAAGTTCATCATTACCAAATCGATGAAAATCAAAGAAAGGTTGAGAATTTTTTGGGAAATCTGAGAAAGAAAGAAATAAATATGATAAAAAGTTGATTAAATTTACAAAGTTATAGTAAAATCCAAAAATCTCAACAAAAAGGTTAGAAAAACTCTTGAAAATCTCCCTCTTGGGTTCCAGAAAAATGATGTGAATTTAAAGAAAAAACAATAAATTGCATTGAAACTGAAAAAAAAGGAAAAGTATTTCTAAATTTAGGTGAAAATCAAGAAAAGTGATGCAAATGAAAAAATAAACGATTTTGACGAAAAACGCTTAAAAAAACACATAAACTATCAAATCACTATAGCATTCCTTCGGAAAAAAAAAACACTCAAGTGGTCACTTGCAATTTAAAAACGTTAAAAGCGATTGAAAAAAGCAAAACTTTGAAAAAACCACTTTTTGAGAAGGAAGAAAAAAGTTCTGGCCGAAAATGTTAAATCACTAAAGCAGCCCCTTCAATCTGCAAAATCGAAACCACTTTAGGGGTCCCTTGAGTTTTTGAAAATAGAACTAGCCTTTCTCAAAACTAAAAAACCGAAAAAGTAATTTCTCCAGTAAAAAAAGAACAGAAAAGTCACAAGAAAATAAAAAAAAAATTAATCAATAAATGAAAAACCCTGAAGTAGTCCCTTCCATCTTCAAGGAGAAAACCCTAGAGGGGTCCCTTTAACTTTCAAAAATCGAATCCCTCAAGTAGTCCCTCTCAAAACTAAAAAGGAACACAGTAAAAAACATGAAAAAAGTCAGAAGAAAACGATGAGTTATAGGCGAGAACCCTTAAAGCAACCCCTTGCATCTCCAAAATGAAAGCCCTTTAGCAGTCACTCTGCAAAACTGAACAGCCGAGTGGAAGTAGCGTAGCTGATAGGTTGGTTTGTCGGGAGGTGCTCGCTTAAATAGCGGGGCTCCGCCCCTTCTAAGGTGGCCTCTCCGACGGACGTCATCCCATTGACCGATTTCCACGACACACACGCAAAAAAAAGGTGACAAAAATGGGCGGAGCTTCGAGGTTTGATGACGTCAGAGGGCCGATTGGTTTTCCCACGCAAATTCGTATCGATATTTTGATTTCTCGACCATCAAAACGAGGGTGGAGTTTTATTGGCACGACGCCAAAAATATTTGACATTCCTTTTTGAGTCATGCTCGAAATAGTTGAACCGTGAAAGTGCGCTCCAACGAAATCAATTCTTGATTGGCTGATTAATCATGTTACACGGTGTAAGATCGAAAAAAGGTTGTGTCGCTTCAAATTGTCCATGGAGCGCAAAAGCTGGTTTCCAGGAATTATTTTTTTGAGTCGTTTGCAGTAAAGTTTCTCGAAAAATTCAAGGGAATTTTTATATTTTCACTCAAATTTAGTGTTAGAAGGATCTAGGAACTAAAATATAAAAAAAATATCAACGATGGAGCACTCTTTCCGGTGTGAGTCAACCGGAAAACTGTAAAAACTGAAAAAATGGCGCTGGAAGTTTAAAATTTGGGATTATTTTCCAAAAATAGGGTTCAATTTTATTCTTTTTTTAAGGTACTGGTTTTTTATAATAAGGGTTTTACCGTTAAAGTTTGCAACATTAGTTTAAAAAAATTTCAAATTTGAAAAACCCTTAGAATCTAAAATTCTCTATGGACATCATGACTTAGAAAAAACAAAAAGTTCGTTTTAAATTTCACGTTTTAGCGGCATCAGAACTCTTAAGTGATCCCTAGAGCTCATCGGGGCTCTTCCGGCCTCCCTATTCTCCATGGAGCGCACAAGACACAAACCCCGAGGCTTTTTTTCCTGGCACTGTTTTCGCCTTATTTTCTTTCATTTTCTCAAGTGCACTTGATCTTTGTCGTCTGTTGCTGCCATTTTCTATTTCAAAAAAGTTCTTAAAAAAGGAAATTCCGTACAAACAATGATAAATATGGCAAAAACTGTTCTTTCCATACAAAAAGGAGACAAAAAAGGCCCACGCAAACGTCCTCCCATCCCAAAATGTTCGCTTTTTTCTATGCTTGTCAACGTTGACCCAATGACTAAAGGCGAGGAGACTTTACGGCGTGGAAAAATAGGTGTCAGAGCAAACAAAAACAGTGTTAATTCCGTGTTTTCACCCGTTTTTCCAGTGTTTTCCAGAATATTCTTGTAGTCCGGGGCAAGCTTGGGCGAGGGCTGACCCCGACCATTTATAAAGCCCAGCCTGACCCGGCCTTAGTGATACCTCAAGCAGAAACGGCCGGGCTGACCCGGAAAGCTCAAATGTTCATCTTAAATTCAAAAATCACGCTTTAGGTTCATTTTCGACCTAACGATCCAAGAAAAACTATTAAATTCTCAGCTCGTGTGGAAACTTAATCTTGAAGTCCCGCCTGGCCCAAGCTTGCGCAGATTCCTTCGCCTAAAGCCCGCTTCAGTATCCCCCTCCAGCCTGATGCAACACATGGTCCAGAAGCTATTTCAAAATTTCCAGACTTTACGTGACAATTGCCAATTTTCGAGAAGCGTACCTAAAAAATCTTATCAATGATAATTTCTTTGATGATTTTTGTGATCTTGATAATGAAATGAGGCTGGGATGTTTGCTCTAAGCTTCCAATTGAGCTGAATATTTAGTAAAATGTTCTTTTTTTCCCATTAGAAAAAAATTTTTTTAATCACGCCCAAAGGTCCATGAAGCCTTGAGAAAAATTTTTTTCTAACATGAAAAAAATTTATGACTTTGAAAAAGGTAAAAAGAAGGAGATGTTCCAAGGAACTCAAATTGATAAAATTCGAGAAAAAAAGCTTGACATTTGTCCGAAAAATGATACTTTCTAGGAATAAAAAGCCTTTTTTTATTCAAATTGAAAATTTTTCAAAAAAATCAAAAAAATGAAATTATTCATATGATACCGATAGATGTAAAAAAATGTTATATTTGATTTTTTTCTAGGTAGAAAAAAAGTTTAAAATTAACTGAAATTGAGAAAATTTAGGAACTGATGAAAAAAAGTTGATAATTTCGATATCATTCTTCTCAAATGATCACTTGAAACTATACTCTAACGTTTATCAAAAATCATCATTTTTTTCTGATCTTTCAAAATTACTTAATTCGATTCTTGAAAAATTACTCAAGAAAAAAATCTTCATTATTGAAAGAGGTAGAAAAAAATTCATCAAAACAAAATTTTGGAGCGAAATTCAAAAAAAAAGCTCTAATCTCTCGAGATGACGTGTTTCGAGTCATTTCACGTCATTTCCAAACTCTTTGACCCTAATTCTCGTCTTTAATCTTTCCACCAGGTTTTTTTCCCTTTTGACCATTGAATTTGCACACAAAAATGATCGGAAACCGCCGATTTTCACTCACAAAGCACAGGGAACACATTTCTCACCGTGTGATTCGTGAATTTCGAAACATTTCGTGTCAATCTCCAATTATGGTTACGTTGTAGTGAAGCTATTAGAGTTCAATTGACTAGAAAAAGAAGTTTTGATCGGAGAATTATCGGAAACCGGAAACGGCTTTTCGGGAAGATGGCGTAATCAATTTCGCGTCAGGAAAATGATAGTGACCTTTGATTGATAAGAGTCTTTGGAAATTTATTTATTTATATTCTGCAAAAATTCTTTTCGTAAAGCGATGGTTGCATCTGGGATGGCTTTGGTTCAAGATTCAGCCGACCAAAAATGACTTCAAAAAAATCAAAACGAGCTTTTTAAAGAAATTGGCAGGTCCCCACGCGACCGCAACGCTTCCGAGCCATTCCAAATGCGACCTCAGGGTTTCAATTTGCTCCAGAAGGACAAAAAAACTTTTTTTAAAACGAACTTTGATTTTTTTCTTTTTTTCCTTTCATTATAATTTTTTTATAATTCTGCAAAAATCGCCTTATTTTTTAAATGGTCGCATTGGGGATGGTCTTGCTTCAAAATGCAGCCGACCAGAAACGACTTGCGAAAAATGGCAAAAACGAGCTTTTTGATAAGAATTCGACTGCAGGTCCAACTCAAACCGCCACGCGGCCGCAACGCCCTCGAGCCATTCCAAATGCGACTCAGTGGCACTTGGAATGGCTCGATGCGTAGACGTTGCTGAGATGCGGCCGACCAGAAACGATTTTTGAAAAACGAGCTTTGTGATAAGAATTCGACTGCAGGTCCAACTCAAACCGCCACGCAACCGCGACGCTTTCGAGCCATTCCAAATGCGACCTAGTGGTTTAGAAACGGGCGCAAAAGGTGGTTGGAACTGTTTTTGCAAAAATTTTGTCACAGAAGGACAATGAAAAAAAGAAAAAAATGTCCTGAACAAAGTTTAATACTTTTTTTTTCAACGCTACCTCTGCTTAACATTTTCAAAGAATGGGAAAAACCGCTCAAAGTTCAAAAAGGGTTTGCTTTTCGGCTCTCTCTGTACGCAATCGAGCTTGTTCTGTATCAGCAGCTCCGGAGGAAAAATAATCAAAAAGAGCATCAAAAATTTTTTTGAATTTTTAAAAAAATTCAGCTCAAAATCCGACTTTAAAAAAAATTATTTTATTATTTTTTATGAATAGACCAGTTCAAGAAGAAGTACCCGAAAAGTCTTTGAAATGAAAAAACTTTCAGCTTTTGCTCAAGTGATCACTATAGGGGCGAAAAAGGATTTCTGTGAAGCTTTTTTTCTGAAAAAAAACCAAGTTCAAAACCGTGACGTGATTTTCAGAAAAAAAAATTTCTCTCCAAGTGATCCCTTAAGAGAAAAAGCTCCATTTTAATGACAATTCACTCCTTTTCTAGTGGCCACTTAAGTGAAAAGCTCCATTTTAATGACTTCTCATTCCTTTTCAAGTGGCCACTTAAGTGAAAAGCTCCATTTTAATGACTTCTCATTCCTTTTCAAGTGGCCACTTAAGTGAAAAGCTCCATTTTAATGACTTCTCATTCCTTTTCAAGTGGTCACTTAAGTAAATAGCTACACTTTAATGATCACTCGCTCCTTTTCTAGTGGCCGCTTAAGGGAATAGCTCCATTTTAATGACTTCTCATTTCTCTCCAAGTGATCCCTTAAGAGAAAAAGCTCCATTCTAATGACTTCTCATTCCTTTTCAAGTGGCCACTTAAGTTAAAAGCTCCATTTTAATGACTTCTCATCCTTTTCAAGTGGTCACTTAAGGGAATAGCTCCACTTTAGTGACCACTCGCTCCTTTTCTAGTGGCCGCTTAAGGGAATAGCTCCATTTTAATGACAACTCACTCCTTTTAAAGCGGCCCCTTAAGGAAAAAGCTCCATTTTAATGACAACTCACTCCTTTTCTAGTGGCCACTTAAGTGAAAAGCTCCATTTTTATGACAACTCATTTCTTTTCAAGTGGTCACTTGAGCAATATTTCGATGTCTCTTGTTCTAGCTAGTACTTTCGTCAATTGAAACCTTTCCACATTTTAAAAATTTTGAGCTCTGAACCACCTTTTTCTCAAAAAAGCCTTTCTGCCCAATTAAAAGTCGAAAATGGGGACAACCTTGAGCCTCCGAAAAGGATGATTTTGGTGGTCTTAACCCCCTAGTTTCCATAATTACTGTCTCTTTTCAGATGATACAAACCACAACTACCCCTTTTTCCAGTTCAAATGATTCACTTTGAACCGTTTGAGACCAGAAAATGCCAAAAAGAGTCGTGTTGACCGTTGAGATTGAGCTACGGGGAGTGAATCATTCCGTTTTTTTCTCAACGGGTGCTGCTTTTCCTTGTTTTCTCACGAAACAATCGCATACCCAACTGTTGCGTCAATACTTTTCCCTTTTGCAACCGAAAATAAATAAAAAAAAGGGGAAAATTCTTTGGGAAGTTTGCGAGTGTACTGATATTGTGAGTCACGTGGGGATCTTGCAAAAAAATGATTTTTGTTGAAAAAAATTCGAATAGTTGAAAATGAAAAAAAAAGCTCCAAAAACCCAGGAAAACGTGAGATTTTCTTGAATGATTGAGGTCGATAGACTTCAAAAAATCAAAAAACTGAAAAAAATGTTTTTTGGAAAATTAATCTATCTCTACAAGAGTTCAAAAATTCCACACAAAATCAGTTTTTCGATCTCAAATTTCAATTTTCTAAAGGAGGACTTGCAAAATTTCAAAAAACGTCTAAAAAAGTTTAAATTCCGTCTCTTTTTATCGATAGTGGAAGTGAACTAAAAAATTTTTTTAATATTAAAAAATTAACGATAATTTATTCTTCTTTCTACGAAGAGAATATATATATTTTTGGTTTTTTTGCGCCGAAAAATCAGCTCGAAAATCTTTTCTGAAGCTTTTAAAGGAGCATAGTCCATTTTTGTAAAGGTCTTGAAGCGATGGGCCGATTTCATTATTATTCGGAATTATACAATAATCCTTTGTTTTTTAAAACTTCATTAAGAAATTTTGAGCTTCCTAAATTTATTTCAAACATAGTCTATGTTACATAGATTTCTGAAAAATTCATAGTATGGTAAACTTTTTTCAAAAAAATTATTCTGATTTTTCTTTTTTCTTTAAATTTGCTACTAAAAAATCAGAAACTTAGCCATTTTTGTCTCAATCACGAGCCTTTGCTCATGAATATCAAGTTGAGAAAGTTGTTAGTGGTCACTTTAGGGATTTGACGGCTTAGCGACCCCCTAAGGGGCAAAAAGGAAGTTTAAATGGTACTATGAGACCAAGAAGCTACTAAACTGGCCACTATGACGGAAACTTTTATGGAGGTATATTTAATGGTCCCTTTGGTGTCCTCTCCAAGTAGTCCTTTAGGAACCTCTTAAGTGGCCACTAGAGTATTTTCCCAGAGAGAAAGAAGTCATCTGAGCAAATCACCTAACCATTTTTTTCCTCATAAAGAGCAAACAGAAACCCAAAACCACGATATAAGTCGGCGTCGGATTAGCGGCTTACAATGTCATCATCTCACCTTGAAAAAGTATTTCGACACGAAAACTCGCGTCACTCTTTGCAACTATTCTCGTTTCCGCCGAAAAAATTGCAGCCTATCGCAAGAAAAAGAGTGCGCGGTTGCAAGATTTTCAAACAGAAATGATGATTTTACGGTTTGGAACCTTCAAATTCAGAAGAAATAAAAAAGGAACTAGCTTCTTTTTGGAAAAAGTTGGAAAGTTCGCACCGCTTTGGCAAGAAATTTAAAATTTTTCAGCGACGGGGGGGTTCAAAAACTTCAAACAGAAATGATGATTTTAGATTTTTCAAAGCTTCCAATACAAAAAAATACAGTGGGAATATGCTTCTTTTTGAAAAAAATCAAAAATTTCGCTCCCGTCGGAAAAAAAGAAAGTTTACAGCGGGGGTGTTCATCTAAAGAAAAAAACTAGAAATTTTAAATTTTTTTATTATGAAGGTATGTTTACTAAAAATTTGAAACTCTTCCGAAAAATTTAAAAAAATGGGGGGTTTAGAAATTTTTTTCATGAGCGGGGGTTTCTCGAAATTAAGCTGTTCCGTATAAAGGTTTTTTTCCAAGGGTTTAAAAATTAGAAATCATTACCAAAAAGCCACAACAAGGAAAGAAAAAAACAATAAAAACATGAGTCAACGGAATTTGAACTATGCAAATTGATCAGCTACGTATTTCCTGTCCGTTTATCAATGCAAAATAGGTTTTACGGCCTCTTTTTCACATCAAAATGTTGCACGTGCCGTCCGGCAGGAAAAAATAAATAATATGTTTTGGGGCGGTTTCGAACCATTCAAAACAGGCAATTTGAGTCATTTGACAATTGATCAAGCAACGCATTTATTATTGAAAGAAAGAAGAACAAGGTCAACAATATACAAACAAAAAAACTGCTTGAAGAATATGAAAAATGGTACAAGAGTATTTTCAAGGGGTTCCTATGGAAGGAAAGGCAATAAAATGTTGAGAAATCTAAAGATCCATTTCAGACTGATCCAAGTCGCCGTCGTCGTTGATAAGAGAGTTGTCGGCGTCCTAAAGATGAGCAATCATGAGGAAGTTCTTGAGTCATTACATCGGAAAGGTCGCTGAGGAACAACGGAGCGCCGTCGTCGATGCTCGCGTCGGAAGACAGGGCGATCGAGACGTTCGACGTGTCCGATGGCATTTCTTAAAGGCATAGGGGCAGTAAAAAACGGTGTTTCAGTTCGAAGCAGTATTTTGTAGAGCTTTTCATTGCGAATCGAACGGTGAACTTGAAAACGTACCGAACTTCCTATTTTTGGAGAAAAAATAGTTCAAAGTCGGAGAGAGGAACGTTTGAGTTTCCGCAAAAAGGGCACTTTGCAGTAAAGTTGCTCTATGGACAACAGGCTTCGCCATCTTCCGGATTTTCGCTTTTTTCTTCGTTTCTTTCAATTTTCAATTTTTTCTGTTGTCACCAAAGTTCTTTTCGTCACAAAAGCTTTCTATTCATGTATAATTTGCAAACTTTAATCGCAAAAATGCTTCTCTGGGGAAAAATGATGATTTTACACAGGTTTCGATGGGGATAGCAATATTTTGTGTTTTCTTTATTATCGGTGTGTGTTTTTTGTTTTCTTAATCAATTTTTCAGAAAAGAAACTCTTAATTTGAAGCAGATAACCGGTTATTTCACACAAAATGCGAGTCTAATGAGATGTCCGCAACATCGCGTGCACGGCTACTGTAAACATGTGTCCGTATGCCGATCCAAAGCATTTTTCAAAAATAAAGGCGGGAAAGTAAAATCGCGTTTTTATTCTAAAGTTGTCACATCTTTAATTTTTTCGAGTACACCATTCGATTCGCAAAGAAAAACTATATAAGATAATGCATTCACCTGAAACCCCATTTTTTACTGCCCCTATGCCTTTAACCATTCAGAATTTTTCTTTATTTCAACCTCAAATAGCCCTTCTTGACGTAAATCCAGTTGTCTTTCTTTGAGGGATTCTTTCCCGAAAACTAGAAAGTTGAGACTTTCAAAATCTTTTTTCTGATACATCTAGAAGTGTTCTGGCTAATTTTCAGGAAGTACCTAAAAGCACCTTCTTGGTTAGAAAACGTCAAAATCTCCTATTTTCGCACACTTTTTCGCTGTTAGGATCCTCATCATCAATATACTCAAAAAGAGTCATTTGGAATCATTTTCAATTTTGTAGTCTCCATGCAAAAATATAGCCTTTAACCAAGTTTAATGACAAAAAGGGCTCAAAACAGCTTTTTAAAAGAATTCTTCTCAGGAAAATTAAAAAAAAAGTCGGTTCATACGCCTTGTGTTCCATTAAAATTTCGATAAAGTCTTAAGATTTGCTTCGGAATAAAAAAAGTTGAAGGGTTGATTAAAATATGCTCCATAGATAATCACGAATGGCAAAAAACCATCCATCAAAAAAAAAAAAATAAATAAGCGTCTCAAATAGAAAATGTTTTTCATAATTAGCCGTGGAGCGCGATTCAATCTCTATAAACTTTTGTAGCGGCCATTTTTTTTTTTCAACTTTTCACCTCTAAAATATCTGAACTTTTACCAGAACTTCCATCAGCATTGAGAAAAATATCCGAAGAAAATCTTCGACTGATGCGGTCCCGAGGATTGCTGCCACTGTCGGTCAACTGCTTGGCCGATTCCATCGACGTCTCCGATTCTGGAGACGTCACCACCTTCTTCTTATTCATTTTCTTCGGCTTCTTGGCCTTCTTCTCGTAGACAGCAAAGTGATCCATCATTGAGAAGTTGGCTTCCTGAAAGACATACATGGATCTCCTCCAGAGTCTTCCGATTACCTCATGAGATGAAAAAAATTATTTCAATTTTTGTCAAAACTCTTCCTGAAGTTGAAAAAAATTATCTTTATTTCTTTATTTTTCAAAAATTTCTATAAACCAACCCGTCCTTGATTTCTGTACTTTTCCACTTTTTCTCAAAAAGTTTTAATCGATTGGCGTATAGATGACCGCGTTTGGAATGGCTCAATATGGCTCAATAATGAAACATAGGATTTTTCAAGATATAAATGACGTTTTTGTAAATGTTAACGTTGCATATACTAAAATAAATTTGAAATAGCACAAGATTTTTGGAAAAAAAAGCCTCGATTTAACCTCACGCCATGAAAACAAAGGATGTGTATACACACGATATCTTACCGTAATCCGTTTTTCGAAAAAATTCGCGGAAAATAGTTAAAGATCTTAATCGGAAGTTTCCGTGACGGAAAATTTCATTAGAGGAAACAGAAAAAATCAAAATTGCAAAATTCACTTTTGGGAGAAATTAAAAATGTTTCTTTTTTTTTTTCAAAATCATATTAAACGTTTCATATTCAAACGAATCTAAAGCCTAAAATATAACCTCAAAAGCGATTTTTAGCAACTTTTTTTGGACAAAAAGGTGGGAAAAAAACCTTAAAAATGAAAAAGTACTTTTTTTAAATTCCCCCCATCAAAAAAAGAATCTTACAGCCGGGACGGCATCTCTTTCAGGCGAAACGGGCCGATTGCTCAACGGGCTGAACATCCCGCCGAGCATGGTTCCCTCGTTGGTCGTGCTCGAGTATTGAGACTCTTCGAGGAGCGAAGAGACGTCGTCACGCTTCTGAAGTTGAAAAACTTCAAGGTTTTTGTGAAAATGAGCGGGAGAACCTCGAAAAGTCGACTGTGCTTTCTGACGGGAGCTTCGGATTTCTGAAGCTTCGAACATGGATAATTCTGAGGGGAATAGAAGACCTTGGGGGGAGCGACCTGCTTTTGTTTCTTCTTCTCGAGGACCGCCAGCCGCTGTTTCATGTCCTGAGACATGACCTCAAGGCCCGCATAATCGCTCAGAGGCTCCGAATCGACCTCATTCAGGTCTTCTGAACAAATGTGGGACTTTCAAAAAGCACGTTTCCGGTAAAAATTGAGTTCGAGGGTTAAAAAAACGTGTTTTTTTCATCAAAAAGTTCGTTGTAATAAGAAAATATGCACTTCCAGGGCTATACAAATAATTTAAAGTTATTCAGAGCAAAAACAAAAATTAAAAAGGAACCATAATTCACTTGAAAAATAACGATTTCAGTTTCGAGTGTATTTTCAGTACGAAAAAACTCTACAAGGTGACATTTTTCCCTCAAAACTCATTTTATCGTTCTAAATGTCTTGAAATTCAAAAAAAAAAAGTCATGGCTATCAGAATCGATTCCTCGGCTTCAGATTCGAAGTTTAAGGGCGATTTAAATTAAATTTTCAGTACGGAAAGGTCTACAAGGTGTTTTTATCACCCTAAATCTTAACTTATCTTCTTTCTAAACTTTGAACTTCAGAAAAAGCCCTAACCACAGTTTCCCTGGCTCCTGATTCGAAATTTTCCTTTGATGGCAAACCAAAAAGAACCAAAATCCGCTTCAAAAGTACCAATTTCTGCTCAATTTCGGTAAATGTATACAAGTTGTTTTTTATCACCCTAAACTTCATTTTCCTATTTTCTAAATGCCTCGAAATACGGTGCTACGACAAGAGCGAGTTTTCCATTTGCGAGGAGTACTGTATCCGGCAAAGCGCATTGCGTGCATGCACTCTGCGTGTTTACACTTTTGTGGCGTGACGTCATCGCGCCGTACATCTCCGGGTTTTTTGCTTGCGGGTTTTTTTTTTCGGATTTTTTTCTTCGAATTTTTTTTTCCGGTTTGATTTTGATTGTGCGAACATTTTCGAAATAAAAAGAAAACTTGTTTTTTTATTGATGAAAAAGTCTGTTTGTCAAGGGGGCAGCTTAGGAAAATTTTTGCCTTATAGATAGGTCAACTTAACAAATATAGAGAAGTAAGCTAATATTGATATTTCAAAGAGAAAGATATCAAACAATTGCATCATAACAAATACCAGTAATTGAAATAATTCAAATTCAAATCAAAAAAATTCAAAGTTAAGTTATATCAAAAAAATAAGAAAATAAGAAAATAACAATTTTTTTACAGAAAAAAATCATATCAAAAAAAGTCATTTTTCCCACAAAATCTGCAAGAGTTTTTTTAAATGTACATTGAGAGATTTGAATGGAGTTGTCATAAATTTTACGAAAATTGCATTCTTGTACAGTGCCGGTGTTGAGGGTGGAGGAGCAGGGACATCTTTTTTCGCCAAAACTTCCTTTGCGATTTCTTGTTGCTTTAAAACTGAGTCGAAAACTATGGCGTTAACAAAATCGTCAATTTCCATCCTGAATTTCATTCATAGCATCACTATTTTTCATTTCAAAATCTGAACGAGATAAAAAAAATAAGGAGAAGAAGAAGAACGCGAATATTTTTTTGAGGACAAAAAGGAGCCTTCTTATGAGGTAAAAAAGAAGTTTTCTTTTTGTTTCGAAAATATTCGCAAAATCAAAACCAAACCGGAAAAAAAAATTCGAAGAAAAAAAATCCGGAAAAAAAATCGAAAAAAAAAACCCGCAAGCAAAAAACCCGGAGATGTACGGCGCGATGACGTCACGCCACAAAAGTGTAAACACGCAGAGTGCATGCACGCAATGCGCTTTGCCGGATACAGTACTCCTCGCAAATGGAAAACTCGCTCTCGTCGTAGCACCCGAAATACAGAAAAAGTCCTGAAAATCGTTTCCCTAACTTCTGATTCGAAAAGTTCCTCTGGTGGGGAATCAAAAAGAACCGAAGTTTGTTTCAAAAGAACCGATTTCTGTGCAATTTCAAGTTAATTTTGCAGTACAGAAAAGGCCTACTAAGTGTTTTTTTTTTTTATCACCCTACACCTCATTTTCTCTTCTTTATTATCACCCCGAACTACAGAAAAAGTCCTGACCATCAGAATCGTGTCCTCGGTTTCTGAACTTCTTGGCGGGGACGGTGACATTCGGCTGAACGGCGCGAGTTCTCGGGGTTCTCATATTGTTGGAACGCGGGGTTTCTTGGGAAATGCGGATGCTGCGTCGGACTTGCGGGGTCGGGGCGACGACGCCCCCCTTGACCGCCTCCAAGAAGGCGACTTCCTCCGCTTTCCGGTTCTTCTCCTCCAGTTTCTTCGTCTTCGCGTTGCTCTTCATCGTCGTCAGCTCCAGCTTCAGACGGGCGATCTTTTCCACCGCCTGTTCAAAAAATAAAATAAGACCTGTTAGCCTGGAACTTAAGGAAAAGCTATCCAATTTTTAAAAAAATTGCTAGAGGACTTTTGGAAATTTATAAAATTACTACAAATATTGTTCCGTTCCCACGAAAAAAAAGCGTCTAAAAAGAAAGATTTTTTTTAAATGAAAGGAACAGAAATTTATGGAATATCGCTTTAAAAAAATCTAAGAATTTTTTTGGATAAGAGTCCCCTAAATATTTGTGATACTATATTAAAGACAAAAATTTACAAAAAAATTCTGAAAATAAAATTAGTCAAAAATGCTCCAAAAAAATAGATACAAGTTCTGGGAAAAAGCACCAAAAAAGAAAAAAATCCGCAAAATTCTGAAAATTTGCTCGAAAAAAATCTTAGAATTACTGGACAAGGGCCCCTAATGATTTCGATTTTTCGCTTCTTCTTTTATTGGAATCTAAAATTCAAGAATCTAACTAGCCAATAAAATAAATAGAGCTTAAAAATCAAATGAATAAAAAACCTTTAAAAACGAATTTTTTCAGGTCATCACTACAAGAGACCTCCGTGTAGATTTCCAAAGCTTTTTGGACGAATTTTGGGGAAAAAAGATTCCCTTTTAGGGACGTTTTTGAAGACGTTTACGACGTATTTCCTGGTCAGATCGAGGAAGTTTGACCATTTTTAGAGCAAGGAGGAAATTTTTAACAAACCAGTAAGGCCAAAATTGAAGCTTCCCAATGTTATTTTTGAAAAATTTTCTTCTCAAACCATGCATTTTATTCAGATTTTTTTCAAAAACCCGTTTTTATTGCTATTTTTCTCTACGATTGTTTTGTTTGTTGGTCTCGTTTCAAGCCTAAAACTATTATTTTCAGACCTTTTTCAAAAATAAGCAAAAAAAAAACCGCGTTTTTCTTCATTTCGTGCTGGCCAATGTTCAGTTCAAGCGATTGAGCTCCAGATTCTTTCGCCTTGATATTTTCCTTCAAACTTTCATTCTCGGCCTTCAACTTTGAAAGGGTGGTGGATCGCTGGAAAAGATATATTCATGAGGTTGAGAATAAATAAATGTTAAAACCTCATTTTTGATACTTTCAACTTGGCTGGAGACTTTCTTCGTTTCGTCAAGCAGAGCTTCGAGTTTTTCTGAAGAAAATCCATTTTTTCGTGTAAAAAAGGAGAAAAAAAATTATAATTTCAGCGCCTCAGTTCTCATTTTTCTACATGAGAAAGCTAAAGGATGCCTAGTAAATTTTTTTAAAAAAACCTATCAAAAAAATGAATATTTTTGAAACTACAGATCGATAATCAAGTAAAAAAAACGTAACTCATTTTTTGCGGGTCATTTGATTGATCTGCACAGAGGAACCGAAAAATCGAATAAATTACATATTTTTTCATTAAGTTACTTACTTTTCAAAAGCCCTTTTGATCATATTATTATTAGTCTATCAGTTATAAACTTAATTTAGTTATAAGAAGACGAAAATAAAGGAAAAAGGACTTATTATTACAAAATGAAGTGAAAAAAAATTTTTTTTAACAGTTTTTTTCAAAAAAAGGGACAAGAGAGGTCGCACCTTGAATTTACAAATTTCAAAAAATAAATTCATCCGTTTTACCATGCCACGGCATTCCTAATGGGGTGAGGGATGGTGAGCGAGGCGTCAAAGTTTCTAAATTTACAAAAAAAGTAATTGCGCGCTTCGGATAAAAGGACTGTGACGTCACAGCTGCCTATACGTTGCAAATTAAACTGAGTATTCAACGGCATGAAGAATACATTTGGCTGCGTACTTGAGATTTCAAAGATCGCGCCAAAATTTTATTGACTTCTCCCCACCCCATTTGGGAACGCCGTGACGCCTCTAAAAATAAACGTTTCGCATCGGCCAATTCGGCGGCCCAGTCGCGAGATCCGTCGACGGAAGAAACTTCGGAAGTCTCGCTCCAGAAGGATTCCTCGCCGAATTCCCCAGAAGACTCCGTGTCGTTCATCAACTGATCGACTTCCGACGCCAAACTCTTCAATTCTTCGTCCCAAAACTCGGGACCCAGCCCTTTTCCCATGGAGTCGACGTCTTCGCCCATGTTCTGAACGGAACTTTTAACTTGTTTTTTCAAAAATTGGCATGGAATTTTACTCGGAACTTCGTAATTTCTAAAAACTGCTGAAGAACTTTCAAAGGAACTAGTTAAGGCTCTGAGGGTCTCATTTCAAAAATTATTTCATTTCTGTGAATTTTACTCAGAATTTTGAGAGAAACTACACGTACAAGTTTGAAAAGAACTAAAGAAACGAATTTTTTTAGAAATTTAGACTCTTAAAAGACGCACCTCATCAAGATTTTTGGGTAACAACGGGCTTTTTATAAATAAAATGAAAAACAAAAGCTACAAAAGTCAGAAAAAAATTTTTTTAACGCAAAAGTCGGAAAAATTTTTTTCATCTAGGGGTAAAAAAAGGAGCTTTAAGGGAAACTTTTTACACTTGAAAAATTTTTTTGCCCTTTTTCAAGAAAAACCCTAAAAACACCTTTTGGACTTTGTCTACGCTGAAACTTCGAAGAAAAAAATCAAAAAAATGTCTTTTTTTATACATCTCGGATCAAAATCCCTCCACACAAAAATATTTTTTTGTTTAATAATTTTTTTAAACTGTAAATTCAGGATAAAATAATCCTTATCTCCCTTACAGCGAGCTGATCCTCCATCTCGGCCACGACTTCAGCTTCTCGGGAAATCTGCCCATTTAGACCTTCCAATTGGCTCCGGATTCCGTCGTCCAGCTCTTTCTTCCTAATTTCTTCATTGTTCAACTGCAAAAAATTATTTTTTCCTTAAAAAACTCGGAAAACCTCCTGCATGATCCGTTTCTCCTTGGATTGCTTCTCTTTAAGCGACAAAATTAAATCGTCTAACTGATTTTGCAGTTTCTCTATAACTTCCTGCAAATTTTAAGTTTTATTATATGAAATGTGGACTGTTCAGATTTTGAACGTCAAGTCGTCGCTCAAGCTCCGCCCCTTTTGGACGATAAACCAATCAGAGAGCGTTTTTGAATGACGTCATTGCCATTCAAAATCTGATCAAACTACACATAAACGGACTTGCTCCTGCTCCATTCGTCTGGTCTGATCTCTCTCGTATTCCAATTCTTCGCTGGAGATATCACTCTATAATAAATTAGACATTTAAGAATCAGAAACTTTAAAATTATTGATGAATCCAGATTTTCTTCAAAAATTTCATTTCTCGCCTTTAAAAAATTTAATGAATGAGTTCTTCCCAATCACAGAGAGCTATTAAAATCACAAATGAAAAAAAAAATCTACCGTATTAGTAGCTTTTTTGCTCAATTTATCTACAAAACTGCAAAAAAGACAGCAAGAAGGTCTTGAAGCGAATTTTGGTATACGGTCATTTGCAGAAAAAAAATGGGCAAGCCGGCCCGGAATCAGCTACAGACTGCGTTCCACGTGAGACGGTCATTTTTCAAAAACACAGCAGAAAAAAAGCTACAGTAACTACAGCCTTTCTTGCACTTTCATGCAACAAAAAAGCGAAAAAAGGTCTTGAAGCGAAGTTGGGTTAAATTTGGGATACGGTATTTTGCGCAGGAAAAAGAGACATGGGAACTTCTAAAAACCGACGGCTAAACTCAGAAAAACCGGAAATGCCAAACCTCGAGCTCAACAATTGAATCTTGCAACTTTTTAATGTCTCGCATTATTGAATCTTGCTGCTTTTTCAGTCGTTTGTTCTCGATTTGAAGCTTCTCTGAAAAAATCTCAGAAAATAATCAAGTTCCAAGTTTTTCAGACCGATTTCATGCGCTCCGACGGAACATTTCAGACTCAAATCGCTGTTGATCAGATCGTAGTGATTCATCACAAATCCCTTGTTCGCAAGGACTTTCTGAAGCTTTTTCAAGCTAAAAATTCAGATATTTCAACTGAAACCTGTTGAAGAACGGAAGTTATATCAGCAAGACGAATCACATCGTTTTCATGCACAGAAGAGCTTATTTCTAAAGCTCGCTCGGAAATCCGATCAACTAAAATAAATTTTAAAAAAATTCTCAAAACCCTTAAATGATCAACCTTCATCGAGATTTCTGTGAACGACCTCTTCAGCTTTTCTTAACGGCAACTTTCGAGATTTCAGCCAAATTCCGCGCCTTTTTCTCCGATTCATCGATACATTTCTTCAGAAAACTTGCATTGGCTTCTCCTGCAAGAAAATAACATGGATTAGTGGAATATGAGACCCTTTCCCAACCTTCAACCCTAATTTTTTTGGTCTCAATGGTCAGCTTGTTCAGTCTTTGAATGCATGCAGATAAAGTAGCGTTTCTGGAAATTTTTAAAACAAAATAAACTCAATGATTAAACTAACGTGGAACTGAATCCCACTATGTTAGGCTCGTGGAAGTCTAAGTCGATGGCCAAGTATTCCATCTAGAACGCAAATTATCAATTTGAACTACTTGAATTGATTAAAAAATCAAAAAAGGCGCGAGTGGATATTTTTTGAAGTGTGCCGAAAAGGCTTAAGCGGCCACTAACGATTGCGATGACGCGCACTTTCTGGGAAAAGATTACTGTATCAAAAATTTTTTTGATGATTTTTCTTTTTTTTTCCACATTTATATTTGTTTGTCGCTAATATCGCGTATTCAAAGTGGTTTTGTGTGATTTGGAAAAAAACCTCTGGAGCTCGTTTAACAATACTTTAAAAATCTCTTCATTTCTAAAGTTCGAAATTGTAAAATCGCTTTGAAAACAAATTACATATTATTTTCACGTTTTTTGAATCTTTTCGCACATGAGATACGAAGTCATTTCTATAAAACTACGTAGCTCTCGCTGCACGGCGAAGCTCGATAACCGAATATTTTTCATTACCTCTTTTCTCGCTTGTTTCCAACCAAGATGAAAGGTTTGATTGTTTCTGTTTTTTTTTGTTTCAGATTCCTTTGCCGAAAAGAGGCCCAGAGCTCGGGCTGGCCCAGAACGCCCACCCTGACTCACAAGTTTTTTTTTAACGGGTTCCGTGATTCTCGTGGCTTGTTTTATTGGGCTGATTTTTCATCGTATAATTTTTTGGCTAGCTCTTTTTTCACAGCTTTTTTGTGATATAATCTGATCAGATTTCAAATGTAAAGCATCTAACCACGGCTTCATAGCTACAATTTCTTTCGGCTCAATGTTTTAGCGCGCGTGTGACAATGATCCTTTAATAGCGCTCCTTCTTTTAACTTCTTTTTCTAGCCATCAATTTGAAAAGATCAGAAGTTCTAACACTATTAAAGGATCTGTAGCCACGGAACTTGAATCATTTTTTTTGAGCTGATTTTCCATTAGCAAATTTTTCGCTATCTTGTTTTTTGCAGTGTTTTTGCGATACACCCGTTTTCACGGATTTGCAGAAAACATGCGGCGCCGATCCGTGAGCGAAAGCGACAAAGTGGAAGACGTCTCCCTGCAGGAAACGGTCAGCCACGCCGAGTCGGATCCCGAATTGCCACGTCGCGAGTCTTCCTCCTACGGAAGTCCCAACGTCTCGACGGCCTCCTTGGACGTCGCCCCTATAGGGATCCCTTCGCTTCACAATTTCCAGTCGACCTCGCGATCGGCGTCCTGCAGCCCGCCGCCGCCCGTCTCCCGCATCGGGAGCTCCTCGTCTAGGCCCGAAGAGCTTCAGGATCACCTGGAGAATGGAGAGGTGATTCGCTTGCAGGGTCCTAACATGCGCGGAGCTTTGAAAAATCGTGTTTAGGCTGAAAGTTTTTCAATTTTGACAGCCCCTGGAATTTTTTCACATGAGTTGAGGGCGATTTTTAAGCAGAATCAGCGGGAAAATACTAAATCTAGTGAATATAATCTCATTCAGAAGTCCCATTTTTTTTTTAAAACCCCTAGATGATTGGGAAGAATGTTTGTATAGTTTTTCCTTTGAAAAATGCCAATTTATTCATTTTTTGGGAATTTTTCGAAAGTGTTCATAACATTGATATCTCCTGAACATTTTTAACACCATTGTCCGTTTTTGTGAAGGAAATTTTTCTCTGTCGCAAAGACCGTAATCTAAATTTGACCAAAGTTCGCTTCAAGACCTTTTTTCGCTGTTTTTAGAGGATTTGTAGATCAGAAATGCAAAAATAGCTGGTTTTATGGAATTTTTTTCAATGCTGTGTCTTTGAAACGTAACAGTCTTGCACGGAACGTACTATATACTGTACGGGAGACCATTTTCCTTTCAAGACCCCTTTTTTTTTGTAATTCTGTAAAACAAAGGTGCAGAAAAAGCTCTAAGCGGTTGGTTTTTTTTTCATACCGTGCTTTTTTTGTTATTTAAAAAAGAAAAGAATAAACTTGAAGCTGACCTACGGCCAACGGCTGATGGACGACCTTCTCAACACTTTTTGCGACAAACTTCAAAATGTGGCCCCGATGAAAATCGAAGGAATGCTAGCGATACAATTCCTCACGGTGATTTGTTCAAAATGATTCATTTTAAAGCGATTTTTTGCAGGTCGAACCCGCCAATATACACACGTTCATTTCGGGCAAAAATTTGGTCTTGCAGCTCATTTTTGATTATTCCCGTGTACATTATGTTCTAACTTCGTATGTTTTTAGGCGTTTTGATCGGGATTTTTGAGACTTTTATTACTATTTTTTGAAGCTTTTCGATGCATTTTGAATTTAGTGGCCACTTCAGTAGTTTTTCATCCAGTATTCCTTCCACTAACTCTGATAACTTTTAAAAAAACAGATTGGACTAGTTATGATGATCCATTGACACCTAAAGTGGCCACTAAAATTTTTAGTTGTCTAGTATTAGCACTTAGACCTCTATAGTGGCCACTAATTTTTAACCCCTTGAGTGGCCACTAATTTGACCACTTCAGTGGCCACTAAAACGTCAAAACTTCATAGTGCCCACTAAAAATTTTCACAGCATATGGGTAAAATTTGGGTGGTCCCTGTAAGTGGAGGTGAAGTGGACCCTAGAGGAGTATCTTCAAAAGCCCCTATAGGGATCACTCTGGAGTTCCGAACTGCATTTTTAACTTGACGATGTTCAGAAAGTTGCTTACCGTAATCTAATATCGAAAAAAGCAAAATTTTGTCTTCGAATATTAAAAAAATCCGTACTAGTCGGAAGATTTCCTGCCGGGGATTCTTATGGAACTAAACAAAAAAATTAGGATCTAGGTGAACAAAAAAAGCAATTTTTTTAGAAAAATTTTATGGGTTTAACAACTTTTCGCGGGTTTCTTGATCCTCATATCTTTTTTTGAAGAATTTTCCTCCCATATGGAATTTTTTCCGAGAAAAGGCCAATTTTGTAGTTTTAAGTAGACCGGAAACTGAACTGCTTTAAAATCTGGCACTAAAGTTTTGAAATTCTTTTTTTTTTACTGACCAAAACCATCTGAAGTATTGTTTGAAACACAAATCTTCATATTTTAGATATGACCCTCGAACACCGGAAACGGTTTACGTATATGACTCGCTGCAGTGTTACCAAGGTGGCTTTGAATGTTCGGAAAGCGTTCCCCATGTGAGTTTGAAAAGTGCGAAAGATTATTTCAATGTTTCATGTCGGGGATAATTAAAGAATTGAATTTTCTGTCAGTTCACAAAACAGTTCGTATTATGCTGGAAAAGTCGGTCGCTTTTTTTTTTAGGTTGCCATTTTTTGAAAATTTTAACTTTTTTCAAGCTCTAAGTTGTTTAAAGGTTCGAAATTCGTAGGATTCTCGATTTAGGTTACTGGGAAACTTTTTAGTAGCCACTATAGAGGCTCGCCGAGGACTACTTGGAGAGAACACTAAAGTGGCCACTATTTTCCGTTTTAGTGGCCACTGTAGAGGTTTTCTATTTAGTGGCCACTTCAGTAATTTTTCATCCAGTTTTTCTTCCAGTAACTCTGATAATTTTAAAACAAACAGACGGGACCAGTTATGTTGATCCATTGACCCCTAAAGTGGCCACTTGAATTTATAGTGGTCTAGTAGTAGCACGTAGACCTCTATAGCGGCCAATAATTATTAACCCCTTAAGTGGCCACTAATTTGACTACTATATTGGCCACTAAAAATTTTCGCAGTAGTTTGTAAGTTTCGAAAAAAACCAGATATTGTCGGCTCAAAACAGGCGATTTTTGGTTTTGCGTTTCCATACATTTTACTTTTACCCTGGCTTCAACACGAAATATGTCAAAAATTGAACTATTTTTTTCATTAATATATAATAAAAATTTTAAAAAAGGATCCTTTTTCCAACCTGAAATAGAGTTAAAAAGCAATGACTACGTCGGAAATTAGGAAATTATGAAATTTCTGTTCTCAAAGTTGCTCTGAAACTGTATTTTCATCTTATTTTCGGCAGTTTATTTCAAATTTAATGCTTTTTTTCATTTTCATTATGATGGAAATTCAGATTTCCGACCAAGTCCATGGAAATATTCGTACCCTCTATGAACATCTATTTCCCAGTAAGCAGATAAACGTTGCCATCGATGCGAATTTCAGCCAGCAGGTTTCCTTTTTGTGTCATTTTGAGAGATTTCGTGTGATTTTGTGTGATTTTGAGTCAATTTAGGTCAATTAAAGTCATTTTCGCGTTTTTTTTTTAGGTGATTCGGGTCATTTTAGGTTAATTTTTTGACTTTTTTTTTTGTGTCACTTTGTGTGATTTTGCGTCATCTTGTGTTTTTTGTGTCCTTTTAAATAAGTTGTATCATTTTTGGTCATTTTGAGTCAATTTAGGTCGATTTAGGTCATTTAAAGTCACTTTCTGCATCATTTCATGCCTTTTAATGTGATTTTCTGCACGTGGATAATCATTTTGTGTCATTTTAGGTCATATTAGGTCATTTAAGGTTATTTCGAATCATTTTGAAAAGTTTTAGATCATTTCGGTTGATTTGTGTCATTTTTAGTTATTTTAGCTCATTTTGGTTTTTTTTTAAATGTCATTTTGTGCCATTTTAGGTGATTTAATGTCATTTCAGGTTTATTTAGGTTATTTTGAGTCATTTTTGTCATATCAGGTATTTCAGGAAAATTTTTGCTATTTTAGATCCTTCCAAGTCATTTTTTGTTATTTTGAGTCTTTTTCTGCCATTTTAAGTCGTTTTAGATCATTTCAGGTCTTTAGAAGCAATTTTTAGGTCGTTTTTGGTAATTTAGTACCATTTAAGGTCTTTTTTGGGTAACTTTAGGCAAAAGTCATTTTCTGCCCTTCAAAGACATTTTGTGTCATATTAGGTCATTTTTTGTTATTTTGCGCGATTTTAGGTCATTTATATGAGGAATTTTGAATCATTTTGTGTCATTTTAAATCATTTTGTGCAGGGAAAAATGTGTGAATTCATATTTTTCCAAAATTAATTTCTTCAGCAAGAAGATTGGTCATGTGGATATCGAGCGATGGCCGCCGTTGTCGATATTGCCCGGGGAATCAGGCCTGGAAGGTTTATTTTCATTTATTTTTTTATTTATTTTAGTTAGGGTTTTCTGATTTTTAGAATGGTTCCAGAAAAAAAAGACAATTTTTTTGCAGCCAAGAGTACAGCCGAAGAAAGATTTACGACTTTTTGAAGCAGATTTTTGGACTGTCCCAAACCGACCTGGGACATGTTCCTGAATGCCGATTTAGGATGGTGAGAAATAATTGGAATTTAACAACATTTGCCTGTTTCTTGAAATATTGATTAAACGGAATTATTTGTGAAAAATTTAGTCCGTTATCGTTAAATAATTAGAAAAAAGTCAATTTTTAAATAATTTGGATCTGTAAGTCAGCTGAACCTACAACCTCGTCGACGTTAGAAATGAGTCTTCACCAGCTGAGCTATGCCCCGCTGGAAGTTTTTTTGATTCATTTTAAAAAAAGAGGACCGAGCAGTGCGAAAAAAATTTCTTGATAAGCGAAAAATTCTGATTCTATCTTTAATATTTTTTTCTTTTTGCTTAATTTCCATACGAAAAAAATTCGGAAAAAAAGATGGTTTGAAGCTGAAATTTTAGCGACTTAGTTTTACTTTATATTTATCGAATGGTATGTGGTTTCTACAAAAAAAGAAGTTATTTTTTTAGTTTGAAGTTTGGTATTTTGGGATTTTTTTAGGAGGATTCGTTTTTTGAGATTTTTTAACAAGTTGAAATTTTTCGTTTTTAAGATAAAATTTTCAAAGTTGAGAGATATCAGTTTTTCATTTTTTGTTGGATCATTTAATGCTTATTTCGAAATTCATGATTTCGTAACGAAATTTTTTTGATCCATTTAGTTTTTCAAGAAACTTTATCGAGACCTTCAGAGAAATTTTTGAGCAAACTCCGATTTTTTTTTCAAATTCTGAGAAAAAAATCAGCCTTTTTTTCACGTTTTTTTAATGAGAATTATATAATTTTTTTCTTTAGGGAAAAAGCCGGACTATATCTATCAAATGAGAAATGTTCTATTGGTCCAGAACACCTCGTCGTCTTCTTCGACCGAATTCCTGCATTCCGGGTTTTTTTCAGGTCTTTTTTGAGATGAACTAGAAGTTGTCCTTGCAGTGCCAGCCTTCAGCCGGAGTCGACGGCTTCTTCCAGGCCTTTGTCGCGTCTTTCTTCCTCCAGCGACGTCTCCATCAACACTAACAGCAATTCCAGGGTGATTTATCATGGCAAATGTCTGGTTTTGACTTGTTAACCTGAAATTTTTTCTTTAAAAGTCCAAGTTTTCCCTTGTTACCCAAAATATCGTAATTTACTTGAGAATCAGGAGATTTGTGTCGATTTTTAGTTTTTTTAAATGGATTTTTAAGGTCATTAAATGTGTCTGAAAAACGTTTCTAGGAACAGAAATTTTTCTTCATTAATTAAATTTGAATTCAAAACTTCGCATTTTTTTCATTCTTGGGTTCAAATTTGCCCATAAAAATCTCAAAAAAACGCACCCATAGCTTGAAAAATTTTTAGATTTGTTCCCAATTTTAGCTTTTTTGAATGAGTTTTAAGGTATCCAAAAACGATTTTAAGAATAAAAATCACCTCATTTATTCCTCAGTTTTTATCTCATAAATTTGAATTTTTTTCCTTTCCTTAGTTCGAATTTTTCTCATTTTTAACCTCCAAGTCTTGCTTTGTTACTCTAAAATTTTCAAAGTGAAATTTAAGTTTTTCGAAGCTTTTTTTCCGGTTAAAAAAATTTTTCAAAAGTGAGGTTTTGAAGTTTTTTTCCAAAGTTAAAATTGTATTGAACAATTTGCATTTTTCATAGTTCTGTGAATATTCTGAAGAGCTCCATTACATATCAAAATTAAGCAGTGAATGGTTTTTTTAAAAATGCAAATATTAGCCCTTATCTTATCCATCTTATTTTGGAAATGTTCGAAAAGTTTTATGATTTTTCTAGAAGCGCGCCGGCCGAGACAGCCCATACTTGATGAATATCGAGAACTGTAAGCCTAATTGTATCATTATTCTAGAAAATTCTCATTTTTTCCAGCCAGCCCCGGCGGTCTGCCTCATTGGAGCGGTTCCGATGATGATGAATTGCCGAGTTTATTTTTTCCCCCAAAAATAACCAAATTATCGATTTTTCAGCCGATGAGAAGATCTACTACGTGACAAAACGACAGCCACTAACGCCAAATGGTTTGGAAGTGGGGAAAAGTTTTTGGAGATTTGTCAAAAATTTAAGAAAATATGCAGCTTGACGTGAGCCCGAGCCCCAGCAGAAATATGCAGTGAAAACCGGGAAAAAGAGGAAAAATTCGTAATATTTAATATTCTTGTTCTCCTTCTTGTTGTTGTTGATCATCTTCTTCTTCTTCTTCTTCAGAATATTGTGATATTAACTTGTTGTCACCAAGTGCAGCGTGCATATATTATAATTCGTGTTAACTTGTTGTGTCTGGAGGATCCCCCACCTCCTCTCAAATGTATAATTACCTTTTTATTTGATTTGTTTTTACATTTCGGAAGGTACGAAATAAAGCGAAATAAGATCCCAAAGATAGCTAACTAGTAGGAGCTTGAAAAACGGTGCGCCCGAAATTGAAACGACTCGCGCGTTTTGGTATGGAATACGTTAGGGTGCAAGGCTTTTTTGGAATTTCGGACGGTTTTTTGGATATTTTTATCGGATGTAACAGTTCTTCAATGCAAAAAAATGATCAGAAATCGAATTTTAAGGCACGAAAAGAGAATAATTTTGTATTTCTACTTTAAATTTTAATTGAAGCGGATCATTTTAGGCATATTTAGCTTGAAAATGGCTTATTGATGGGGATTTTAATAAAGTTTGATGAGTATAAAAAATCATGGCTCATTGAAATTTTAATGATCGCACTTTAAAAACGTCCTTTTTCAGCCTTGATATTGTCAAAAAATTGATTGAAAGCCTTCAAAACTCTGAAAATATCAAAAACTATCACGAAAAACCGTCCAACAGATCCAAAAACTAAAATTTGAACTGCAACGCTTTGAGCCATTCCAAATGCGACCATAAATGAATTTCAAGCCGTCGCGAGAAGGGTATAATAGAATAATATGCATTGGAAGAAGCGATCACAGAAATATTCTACCGAGTAGGGAATTCATAACGAGAGAGATGGCATTTAGAAAAAAAGGTTGGAAATAAATAATTTACCCCGTTTGGAAATAAAAAAAAGTCAAGTGAGAGAGGAATTATTGGGTCGAGTTTTTCGGGTCTTTGGTGGTAGCTGGAGGAGGTTTCGAGCTCGTTTCTTGAGCTGGAGCTGGAGCTTCAGAGGATTTTTGAGCTTGAGGAGAACTCGCTGCTGTCGGCGCTGGAGATGAACTCTTTGCGGGTTCCTTGTTGACCGTAGTCGTCGTCGTCGTCGTCGGCGAAGAAGTTGTAGATGAACCGTTGGATTTCGGTTCGATCTTCTCGCTGGACTCCCGTTTTTCCGTTTTCGCCTTGTTCGGCTCGACAGGTGCTACCTGAAAAATTGCGATATTCCAGAGAAAAGGAAGTTTATCGTTTTTTAATGATGTATAGTTCAGAAAGGAAAGACTAAGGAAGAATCTTTGACTTTTTTGAAAATTTATAGCCACCGAAAATTCTTTAATTTTTTTTCTGCAGATTGATCTACCGAATTTCGAAAATATTTAGTTCCTCCCGAAGAAAAATTGGATTTTTGAGTACTTTCTAAAAAAATTATATTTCAAAAAGATATGACTAAAAAAATTTTTTTGACCAAAATTTTTTTAAATTTTTCAGTCTGTGAGAACTCTTTCCGAACGTTTTTCACAGGCTGATCGACCGAATTTCAAAAAAATTTTTCTGGGTTTTCCCAGAGAAAATTGCCTTCTGAGTTCTTTCTCAAAGTTATTCTTCAAAAAAAGAAAGACTAAAAAAACTTTTTGACCAATTTTTTTAAAATTTCCAGTTTATAAGAACTCTTTCAGATTATTTTTTTACAGGTGATTATCGATAACTATCAATATTTTTGGGCTTCCCAGAAAAATAAACTTTTTTTAGTGTGATTTTAAAATTACATTTCAGGAAGGAAAGTCTAATGATTCACAAATTTTTTTAAAATTTATGGGTGATTGACCAACTTTGAGAATATTTTGGGTAAAAAAATAGAGTTTTTTTAATATTTTTTCTAAAAAAAGAATTTTAATCATGATAGTTGGCCACCAAGGCTTAAATTGATCTAAAAAAAAATCCCTTTCCAGAAAAATTCTGCATTGATCTCAAATTCAAACTTTCTTTTCTTAAAACCCTTTATGTGTGTTTCTTTTTTGATCCACTATCTGAATGAAAAAGTGTTTTCCGTGCAAATTATGAATTTTTCAAATTAAAATACTTCTTTCTGACCCTTTTTCATGCTCTACTCCATGCTTTTACAAGTTGAATCATCAAAAAGAATTCTGAAACACGAAAAAATGAAAAAATTCACTTATTTATAGCCGTTTCCTGTCTCTTTTTTTTCAATAACTCTTCTCTAGGTTCACAAATCTCTGTTTCAAATCCTAGTTTCCTTGCTCAAAATTTCTCCCTACTGACCAAATTCGCGCTTTTCGGCGGTTCAACCTTCGTCTCGTTGGCCACTGGGTCGGGAATCGGCGGCAAAGTCGTTTTGACGTCGGGAATCGGGACGACGGCGCTTTTCGGATGCATCGAATCGAAGTAAAACTCCTTTAACAGAGGAAAAAAAACCATTTTATTCACCATTTATTGATCGTTTTGTCGAAAAAAACCTTAAAAGAGAAAGCGAGAAGGAAATGGAGGAGAATGACGCCGAAGATGGCCCCGTAGGCGACCTGGAACGGAGAAAGTAATATAAATAGCTGGTATTTGAAGATTCAAAGGAACATGGGCCGTAAAAAATAAGGTTTGAGATAAATTGAGCATTCTGTAGAGCTGTATACTGCGTGTCGAACAGTATTCTTGAAAAAATACCGAAGTTTCTAATTTTCAATATACACTGCGACCCATAATTATAGACCCACCCTAATTTCTCCGATTTTAAGAAAGATTGAAAAACTTTGAGCCACCAAACTTTTTTTGTGATAAACCTTGTTGATAAGGAACATAATCATAATATAATTATCAATCACCCAGTTGAAAAAGTTTTTTTCAAGATACGAGAAAATCTGATTTTTTTGACCGACCCAGAATTATAGACCCACTATAAGTAATCAACAAAATTCATTTCACAAAGTCAACAAAGTATAACAAAAAGATTAATTAATAATGTGTGATGCCTCCTTGTTTCTGAGCGACTTCGAAAATCCTGTTCGGCATACTGCCAACGAGTGATTGCAGCAGTGACTTGTCCTAACCATCCCACTCGGCACGAATCGCTCTTTTCAGATCGTTGACCGTTGTATACTGCTTGGCATTCGCGTAGACCCTTCGTACAAGGACTGACCATAAATTCTCTACAGGGTTGAGGTCAGGACTGCACGCGGGCCAGTCCAGAAGAACCACGTTCTTGGCCGCAAACCAAGCCAATGTGGAGTTGCTCGCGTGAACAGATGCATTGTCTTGTTGGTAAATCATATTAGCACGTCGTCGGCGACGGAGATAGGGCAGGAGATGCTGGGCAAGCAGTTGCTGGTAGTCTTGCGAATTCGTTCTGGTCCCAATAAAAGAAAGAGCTACCGTCCCGTTGCCGCAAAAAGCCGCCCAGACCATGAGGCTGCCGCCGCCGAAGTTTCTCTTGGAGAAGTACATCGGATCTTTCCTCAAATCTCTCCAGTAGTGGGCGTACCCATCTGGCCCATCAAGGTTGAATTTCTTCTCGTCGCTGAAGATGATCTGAACAGAAAAATTGGGAATCATAAGGTGATAGAAAAAATTGATACCTTATTCCAATCCGTGGCCATGTTAGAGCGTGCAAACTGGAGCCGTTCATTTTTATGGCGTTGCTGTAGACGAGGTGCTGCCTTCATTGGAGTATTCACAAGTCGACCGGACCGATGAATTGTTGGTAAGATGGTGTCTTTCGAGACGTTTTCAGGAATTTCGGATCTGATTTGGTTGGCGGACTTCGTAGAGTTTGATGCTTTCCGACAGACGTCTCGTTCAGCTTGAACCGATAGCAGCCTGTGCCGTCCAGAATGTATTGCTGTGCCGTATTCTTGCGGATTCCTTGCATAACGGTCAATAGTTCGTCTTGAGCGACCCGTCTGACGAGCGATTTCCCGATGGGACAAGCCGTTGTTGAGTAGAGCATCGATTACCGCTTTTTCGGTATTATCAAGTTGAGTATATTTAGGCATTATGGCTTATAGTGACACACGAGGACTTTTTCTCTTATATACCACTGAAAAAAACAGGAAAAACGTGTTACCTGAAACGAAAACTCGGAAAACTCTGGGGTGGGTCTATAATTCTGGGTCGGTCAAAAATCAGATTTTCTCGTATCTCGAAAAACTTTTCAACTGGGTGATTGATAATTATGATATGATTATGTTCCTTATCAACAAGGTTTATCACAAAAAAAGTTTGGTGGCTCAAAGTTTCTCAATCTTTCTTAAAATCGGAGAAATTAGGGTGGGTCTATAATTATGGGTCGCAGTGTATATTCAAAGTGATAAAAAGAGCTGGATTTTAGAGATTTAAAGGCACATGGGCAATGGAAAATGGGCAATTGTGTAGAGCTTTTTATTGTGCGTCGAACGGCATACTTTAACAATTACAGAAGCTCCTAGTTTTTGAAAAATAATGATTTAAAGCCGGATAGAAAAAAGTTCGAATTCCCATCGAAAGAGTGTTTTGCAGCAAAGTTGCTCTATGGACAAGCGCAATTTTTCTGGCTATTTTTTCTAACAGTTCATTATCTAATAGCTACTCTTAGACATTCTTTCAAAACGGCTTTTCTATGAAATTTTTTTCCCGTGAAACTTACAGTTTTAGCTCATTTTCCCAAAGTTTTCTTTTTCTTTTACAGTTTTAGCTAACTTCATATTAGTTTTAACCGTTTAGTTACATATTGAGATTATTTCGTTGCAGTTTTAGCTCATTTCGATGCCGTTTTTGCGCATTTTTTCAGAGTTTTCAGTCTATTAGTTAGTCTTAACTTCATTAGTTATAGCTTGAGATTCATTCCGCTACATTTTCAGCTCATTTCGTTCCAATTTTTGCTCATTTTTTCACAGTTTTAGTCCATTTGGGGCGGCATAGCTCAGCTGGCATAACTCATTTCTAACGTCCGCAAGGTCGTAGGTTCGAGTCCCCCCGAGGTCGACCAAGCCTTTCATCCCTCCGGGGTAGATAAATTTGGGAGCTGCATGCAGCGAAAAGGCTCAATCTCTGCCATCGGCCTTTGGAAAGCCGGCACCGTACTTCTTCCTACGACCTCTCTTGTACCTGATGTTCTACGAGCGAAATTCACAACCTCTCTGCCTAAGCCACAGCTCCTGCCGCCGTTTAAACACAGTTGAAATCAATGAAAGTCGATTGCACATGTACTCTTACATTGAAGATGCAATAAACAGTTTAAACAGTCCATTTCGTTACAATTTTAGCTCATTCTGCTACAATTTGAGCTTTTTAGCTCATTTTTTGGTGGTATGAAAAAAACACCAGCGAAAATTCAAACGGCGGCTTTTCCGAGTTTTTCATATCGCTAGGGAACTTTCCGACGGCCACCTTTCTGCCGAATCCCTTTCCGACTTTTTCCCTTATATTTTTCTGTTTATAAGACATCTATTTACATTTTTTTTTCCTATTTCTTTGTGTTTTAATCATCAACCAACTACCTACTTCATATAGGAAGATTTAAAACGAAGATTTTATCGAGAAAAAAAGTCGGAAAAAGATTAGTCGGAAAGGTGGCCGTCGGAAAGTTCCCTAGCGATTTGAAAAAATCGGAAAAGTCGCCGTTTGAATTTTCGCTGGTGTTCTTTTCATACCACCCATTTTTTAAGATTTTCTATTTCCATAGTTAAATTTTTGGCTTTTAGTGAGTCTTAACCCTACTAATTGTAGTTTGAGCTCGACTTTCTTACAGTTCTAGCTCATTTCGTTACAATTCTATCTCACCTAAACACAATATCAGCTCAAAAAATGCACAAACGAACCGCCTTGTTGTCGTTCTGGAAAGACGGCCAGAGAGACCTGGCGAGGACGGTTCCGGACAAGGCGACCGAGACGATGATCAACGCCCATCGGAACAAGTTGACGTCGACGACCCACAAGACGGAGACGGGGATGAAGATGGCGAGGCTGTAGCCGTAGAGGCAGACGAGGTCGACGTAGGGGTGTTGGAGTTCGCTCCGACGGTACCACATTAGGCCGTAGACGAGCACGGGCACCACCACCACGTACAGGAAGATCAGCGTCGACGCCGACGTTACTGAACGATGTCTGGTCTCTCAGGAGTGAAAATTAGCCAAGGAAAACTTATATCTTAGTTTTAAAAAATCATTCGAAACTTTTTTTTTAATACAGCTGGCTCACGGCTGGCTTGAGCCATTGGAAAAAGGCTCATTAAAGGGTTCAAAAGGGTCAAAAAAGGGTCCTGCCACTATGAAAAAGGGAGCCTAGTTAATGGAGAGCGCAGACAAGCCACACCCCCTAATCGGTCCCAGTTAGCCGTGGATCGGCTATGAACGTTTGTAAAAGGTTTTTTTTTTCCTTGAAAAAGCAAGAAAATCATACTGAAAACGGTTCTTCGTGGCGAGACCTCTATATAAATTACTCTATGCGCCTTTAAAACTAGCAAGAATTATATCACCGTTATACTTAAAAACGCCAGAGTGGCCCCTATAGTGAAATTTAGGCTATAGGGTTTTGGATTCTGGCCCCTCAAGATCGAGCGGTCCCTATAGGGGTCTTTTAATTTTTTTTATTATGATTTGAAAATAAAATCGATCGAGCCACTAACTAAAGTGGACCCTAGAGGGAAATCTTCAAGGACCACTATAGGGACCACTCTGGCATTCCTAAACTGAAGTTACCCATTCGGAAATCGCTGCCGTAGTGTCCCTTGGCGCCGTCATTCTCGATAAACTGAGCCAAGTTTCCAAAGACGGCGATAGAGAAGACCAACGTGACGGAGACCCAGAAGGGACCTAGACTTTCTTTCGAAATGTTTTCTCATGTTTCAAAGAGACCCCAGAGGTCCGGAATGGGCTGGATGAAGTCGGCGATGTAGTTGTGATGGGTTGGGACGACGCTGTTCAGAAGTCGCTTCAGGACCTGATCCGTCTCGACGTCGAAGAACTGTTGGTAGTAGGCGAGGGAGAAGAGGTTGCCGCGTCGCGTCGTCGTCTGCGACGCGTTGTCGTCGCCGCCGCCGAACGGGGATCCGACCAACTGGGAAAAAGTGGATTTTTGAATTATCTCAACAGCTCAAAACTGAACTTTCAAAATAATAATGGTTAAAAATTGAATTTTATTCCTTCCAACTGGAAAAAATGAGCTCTTTCGAGTTCTAGTTCATTTCAAGTTACTGACAGCTGAAAAACGGGTTTTTTACACTGTTATCGACTGAAAAGTAGAACTTCTGAGTATTTTAACTTACTGAGAGACAGTATTATCAATATTAACTGAGAAAAGCGGACTTTTGAACATTCCAAACAACGGAAAAGTGAATTAACAACGATTAAAAAGTTAATTTTTTTTAGCATTCCTACCAACTGAAAATTGGACTGTCAAGCTATTTGCCGCTGAAAAATAAGGATTTTTTCATGCTCCTACTGACGGAAAAGCCGATTTTTATGGTAAGTGGAATTCTCGATTTTTTTCTATGAGCTAAAAAAATAATTTCAAATATTCCTATGTATTGAGATTTTTTTCTTTTTCAAAACCCTACCAACTAAAAAAAAGTCAATTTTTTTAATATATTTATTGTTGTGCTTGAAAATTCGCGTCTTTGAAAGCCTATCAACTGGAAAAAAATGGGATTTTTTTCAGTAAATAAAAAGACTCAAAAAAATATAGCATATGTTTCTAACCTTATTTGAAATCCTTTTTAATCTCGAAAAAAATTCAAATATCAAGTTTTTTTAAAACTTTAAATGCAGAAACGTCAAAATTGAGGTTTTTTTCCAACTCGAAAAATGGAAATTCTACATATTATTGATTTTTCTTTTCTAATTTTTTTCATCAAACCAACATTGCTGCGGTCGTAAATGTTGCCGGAAAATGCGCCGGACTGCTCATTCGTCGAATTTATCGGCTCAAAACCTAGAAATTTCATTTTAGAACACAAAAAATGGCTTCAAAACCAACTTTGAAAATTGAGATCGGCCATTAATGGAGATTAATTATGAAATGACCACGGCTCCTTGAAAAAGTCATCAGGAAGATTCACGTAGAATAATGAAATAGGGAATTTTCCGGTTATGAACCATTTTGAACAAAGAAAAAAGCATTAAAATGAAGAATTTATAACAAAAATAAAGAAAAGTTGAACCGTAATTTTCCTAGTCGCTTCGAAAATTAACAACAATAAAAATAGGATGGGGTGAAAAAACAATAGATCGGTATCGAGGTTGGAATTGAGATTCGTGTCAAAACAGGGAATAGAAGACCCGGGGAAAATTGGATTCGGAAGTTTCAGCGACGTCGGTCGCGCGACCTGCGACGTTCGCGACTGTTGCCGCGACGATTCCGATCCGCCGAGCGACTTCTTCGCCTGTCGCGGTCTCTGGTGCGATCCCGGGAGCGACTGCGTTTCCGCAGACTGAAAATGATCAAAATAAACGGGATTTTGAACTATCTGGTCGCTTTTGGAATGGCTCAATGCGTTGCGGTCGCGTTGCGGCTCAAAATTATTATTTGCATTTTTTTAAGAGCTTGCTAGAGGTGTTATAAAAAATAATTTTGAAGCATTTTCAAACTTGAAAATTAATTAAATTTTTTTTCGCCTCAAAATTCGATTGCTAAGACTCCTTTCCAAGTTCTTAAAAAGGTTGTAAAATGTTTCAATATATAAGAATCATGAAAAAAATGAAGGAAAAGGTTAATAAAAAGAAATCCTAAAAATCCTATATGAATTATTCTAAATTCTTAACAGAGTTGTGAAACATTTTCAAAAGAAAAATCGAAAAAAAAAGCAAAAAGCTCAGAAAAAAAGTGGTCCTGAAAAATAAAATCTTATGATCCTTTAAAGTTTGTCTACACGAAATGTTCGTAGGAATCCAATTATCACGTATTTTCGAATTTTTCCATACATAATCCACTATTGAAACACGAATTTCACGATTTATCGAAATTCTCGGTTTCTCAATAATCTCACGTTATTTTTGTTTGTATTCGAAAGCGCTATTGGACTTCCGTAATTTTTAGTTTTACCTTTAAAGAATATTCAGAAACGGCAAAGATACCTACCAAACCTATAAAGGTCAAATTAAAAAGGTTGACATGAAATTTAGGGAAAAAACACAAAATCTACTATTTTGAGCCGTCGAAAAACCTAACCAAAATCGAGAATTCGACGAATTTTGGATACCTAAACAATTTTAGAACTGAAAAAAAAATTTGAAACTTTCAAAATTGACCAAATGCCGAAACTTTGAAAATCCTCTCAAGTTTTTCAAGATTTTCAAAAAGTCCAATAATTACGTATTTTTTTCAATCTTTTACATTTACAATCCACAACTGAAACACGAACTTCCCGATTCATCAAAATTATTCGTTTCTCAAAAAAATCTTACATTATTTTATTTCAATTGGAAAGAGAAACTTCACTTGACTTCTGTAATTTCTAATTTTACCCTTTCAAACAATATTTAGAAACAGTAAAGCTACCTAACTTTCAAAAACTTCATATTTTCTATTCCAACCTCTTCTTATCTTTCCTGTCTCGCTCCCTCTCTTTTTCGCGTTCTCTCTCACGATCTCTTTCTCTGTCTCTACTGCGACTCCGTTTATTCCGGTGACGATCCCGCGAATTGCTCCGTTTCCGGTCCCTTTCTCTGTAAAATCCTTTTTTTTTAGATTTTTGGACAGGATTCGTACCGATCCCTCTCCTTGGCGGTTTTCAAGACCTTTGTCCGGTCTTTATCAGCTTCTTTATTTTCGCATTCGCTTTCTCCACAGGAACATTCTCCGCCGGAACAAGAGCAGGAACAACTGGAACATGAGAAATTGAAAATATGTTTTTCTAAGGTGAGAATTGAAAATTGGCGAATTTTTCAACTGCGACGTTTTCCGATCATTAAGAGCTTATCACTTTTTTATTTTGCAATTTTTGAACATTCCCATGATCTTTAATTTCCGGATTATCGTATATTTATTATCATTTTACTATGATTCGTACAAGGACTTTCTGGGGAAAAAAAATCTGTATCTTAATTTTTTTTTTTTATTTCTTTCGAGATATAACTGTACAAGTTGTACAAAAACTTTCAAAACGACAAATCAAAAAAAGGAAAAGCTTTTCGGATTTTTTTTTCATATCTTTGGGACGATTTTTCATCTTTCCTCCCTTTTTCGTATTTTTTCACTTATCCATCATTTCTCATCCTTTTTTTATTATTATGATTGTGCAATATGATTAAATATTTTTTTGAAAAAGAGGCAACTTTATTGAAATCCCAATATCTTTTCCTATATGACCTGAAAAATGTATTTCTTTCGAAAAATCCGTTGAAAAGTTACTTTCTGTGTTTTAACAAAAAGAAAGAATTTTCCAGTTTCTAGAAATTTTTTCTCATCCTTTATTTTTTTGTTTTCTAATCTCACTTATTGATTCAGAAAAGAGTCGAAAATTTCAATATAGAAAAAAAAGAGTGCGAAAAAAATCTGTCATAAAGTTCCCTAGTGATATAAAAACCCATTGGAAAACTGGCCAATCTTCAATTTTTAGGATCATTTTTCGGGCACAAACTCGCTGCCGTCGGACTGATGGCCGTTCTGGCCGGTGGCGGCGACGATTTTGCTCTTGAGGTCGACGGACTTCTCGACGACTTCCGGATCGGCCGTCAGGTCGTACTTGCCGAGGTCGTCGTCGTCTTCGTCGTCATCCTCTTCTTCGTCCTGCAAAGCATCCTTCCAAAAATAAAATACTAAAGCTATTTATTTCTTTTCTAAATATATAAAACCATTTTTGAACGGGCAATTTTCATTAAAGAGCAATCAGTGCCTGAAAAATAAGTAAATCCTTCCTCTTGGGGAATATTCTTCAAAAATTAAAATATTAACAATATTCCATCCTTTTTTAGTTGGGTAAAACCATTTTTAAACTTTTTTTAACATTGAAAATTCAACAAAAACTTGAAAATGTATCCATTTTATTGAAAATTAATTGAATTACAAGCTTTTAAAAAATCCAATATCTCAATAGTTTGCAGAGTGGAAGTGATATCTTCATTTGGAAACTATTTTTTTATTGGTTTGAAAGAAACTCTGAACTATATTTTTTTAAGAAAAAAAGTGCCAAAATTGAAAAAGGGAAAAAAACTATAAAATTACGAATTTTTTTCCTGAGAAATCTTCAGAATAATCGAGAAAAAAAACATTCTTTGTGCACCTGATGACATAAAAACGCAAACCAATCTCAAATTAAAAAAATAAAAATATATTTAATGAAAAAAATATTTCTATTGAAAAAAACTATTATTGAATTTAAAATTATGAATTGAAACCAATATTTTTTTCGGTGAATATAATATCAACTTTTCAGTAAATAAATCAAATTCTAAACGTCATCATGTGAATGATTTAACCACGTGGCGAAAAAAACGAAAAAAAGCATTCTCGAAAAATATATTATTTTTTTATTTATGGTCAAGTTTTTGAGCTTATTCGATTTTTTTAATATTATTTTTTTACAGAAAATGAACAATTATCTGGAGGAATTACGTCAGGAAATGATCCTGAGAATGCTTTCCGAGATGCTTGCGAGGGAAATGGAAGATTACAATCGAATGAGACGTTTGTGGATCCGTTCTATGGAACAAGAGTATTATGAAGACGAAGAAGAAGAACAAGAAGACGAGGAAGAACAAGAACAAAGAGAAGAAGTAGAACAAGAAGTAGAAAAAGAAGAAAAAGAAGAAAAACCAGCTCCCATCGTCAGGAAAACCAGGTTTTTTATATTATTTTTCTACCTAGGCAAAATCGGAAAGGGCGGAAAAAGGCTCCATAGAAATGTTCCTTTTTTGCTGCCTTTTTGCGCCCTTTTCTCAGCCCTTATGCACCATTTTTGCTGCCTCTCTCTTTTTCCACCATTCCTCAAAAATCCCAGAAAAAATGGAAAGGCTCGATAAAGGGACCCTTTTTGGTGCCTTTTTGCGCCCTTTTTTGAACCTCTTTCATTTATCCACCTTTCCGACTTTGCCCGAGTACATTATATATTGAAATCATCTTTATTCTCTCTTTAAATCATCATTATTTACATCGAAAAATTTTTCCCAGTTAAAAATCCGTTTCATACCAACAAAAGTTCTTGAACTGGTGTACAAAAAGGCACAGATTTTTTTTTGCTCAATTTGGAGGTAATATACGATTCCAAGTCCCTTTCTTAGGCCATGAACTTTCTAAAAATTGTTCAGAACCCGTTGAAAACTTATCACACACGCTTGAATCAACATTACCTCGAAAAAAGGACAAAATCTTCTCATATTAAAAAAAAATTACGAGTGATAAAATCGAAATTTTCAAGAAAAAGAGATTTTATCACTGAATGCACATGGTTCTTGAAAAAATCAAAAAAGCACTAAAATCCTCGATTAAACCTATCAAAAATCAATACAAAAGTTTACAAGTATCGATTAAATTTATCTTTTTATTTCTTCCTAAAATGACTGATCTCACCTAGAGGGTCAAAAACATTTTTTTATACAACAAAAAAAACCTTGAAGATTTACAAGAAAATAGATATTTTATCACTTAATACACTAAATCTTCAAATCAATGATTGAACACATCAAAAATCAATACAGAAGCTCAAAAAATCAGTATATTTTTGTTTAAATTTTTATTTTTCTTCATAAAAAGAGGTTAATCTTACCTAGAAAACCCACCTCCACATCGTCATCGTCCTTATCTTGACTCATTTTTTCCATGTCTTCGTCTTCATCCTCATCCGCTTCTCCTTCCTCTCTTTCGTCAAACGAACTCGAAGCTTTCGGCTAAAAATATTTTACTATTGATTGATTGATTTTTCGGACAAACCTCATTCTTTCTCTTCTTTTTCCTACCGTACTCATCGAACTCGTCGTCGTATTCCCGCTTGACGTATTCAACGTCTTGTCGGTCCATGTACCCGCCACCATATCCTTCAATTTCGTTGATAATTTTTTAAAAAATAATAAAAAAGCAGTAATTTATTAAGATTCATTTCATCACGATTACATCAGTGGACTTCTTAAACCGTGTTCAAAGTAATTTACGCAGAAAAAGTATCTCTGACTCTTCAGAATATAGTTATCTTTTCCACTGTCTGACGGCTATTTTTAACTTCGCGGAATTACTTGATTTTTAGGCCGCCAACCCATGGTCCAAATTATTTTCAATTCTTCCGTTAATTTTTTTGTTCTTTTTTTAAACCTTTTGAGATAAAAAGTTGCGAAATTAATAAAGCAAGTTTTTTTGTGTTTTCAACTTCTCGTTAGATTCTTCAAAAACTAACCAGATTCTGTACGTGCTAAAATGTAAAATCGCTTTCAGAAAAAAAGGGAAATTCGGAAAAATTACGACATATTTTTACATGAGAATGCAGAAAAAAATAGAAAAAGACACTTTTTTTCAAGAAATTCAAGTTTTTAAATTTCACAAATGTAACAAGTTTATGCGATTAATAAACGAAAAGATCCAATTTTCGGCTAATTTTTTTATTTCCCAGTTTTTTTGAAAGTTTTTGGTTTTTTTAAGATGCAGAAATTTTTTGATATAATTTTTTCCTTCGGAAGTTTTTTTTTAAAACATCATTTCAAAATTTTTCGAACTGTTCAGCCAAAGTTGCAAGGCACAAAAGTATTCAGAAATCAGAGATAAATTTCGATTTTTCTCTTTGTCCCCCTGGAATTTTTTTTTTCATAAACTTTACCTGTTCTTCTTTCTAAATCGGCGAGTTTTGGAGCATTACAAACGTTGCAAGTCTTTCTCCGCGCCCAGTTCACATTTCCACATCTGAAATCATAAAATAAGCTCCATGAAAAATCTAAAAACTCACTTGGAACAAACCCAATCTTCTGCCGCGAAAAGACCCTTCGATTTTTCGGCCATTTCTTTACCGATTTCCTTGCCAACCCGGCTTGTCGCGCGAGGTTTTGCTGCAGATTTGCGATTTTATATCGATAAAAAGTTCCTATTTTACGTTTTCCACATTCGTAGCAAGTTGTAGTGCCTTCGTCATTGACCTGGGCACATTTCGCGTCGACGCACGCCCATTCTCCCTCTTTCAAAGCTCGCCTTTTGCGTTCTTTCTCACTTTCTTCCTCGGCTCTCGACGCCATTACTAGAAAGAAACACATAACTACAATCTTAATCTACGGAGAAAAAAAATGTTAAAGAAATAACGACAATTTATCAATATGTCAAGAAGAAAAAAAAGAAAAAAACTGATCAAACAACAAAAAGTTAAAACTAAAGCTGAGCATCTCGCCTTAACTTATGGAAGGCTTGACAATTAAAAACTACAGAAATGAGATAGTTCAAAAAAATCTTCAATATTCCAGAATCATCGCGAGTATTTTTAAAAATTTTTTTAATGAGTATTTGAAGACCTGTAAATTTGAATACTAAGGTTGAACCTCCTCAAACGAGCGATATGCACTAAAAAGCGGAATAAATACAAAAAAAGCGAAATATTACGAAAGTTTAACGCGTTAACGGCCAAAAAGTGAAATCTTTTTGAATCAGTGACGTTTATGGCATCTCGCCAAGGTGCGGGTCTCAACGCGAATCCCGCAAAAGAGAGCGGAAATACGGTGCACACGTAGCACTCGGCGAACGGGTTCCAACTTTTCACATCTTCCTTGTTGTTTCTTGGTTTCTTCGTGTTTTCATCGAATTGTTGTGAATTAATTAGAGCATTGAGATAGTCATCTTCATCATAAATTTGCTCTCTTTCGCAGAAAAAATTTCTAACGTTTAATAAAATTGTGTTTTCCATCATTTCTTCAGTTTTACAGGGAACCGCTTCCTCCACAAGTCATGGGTTCCACGAGCGAATTGCCATGTTACACGCTCATTCATATTCCCAGCGACTTTGAGCTGCCAACAGACCAGCAGTTGCGCGAGAAGTTCGAGAAAGGTTTAATTTTCAACGAAAAACTTTTTTAACTTCTGTAAATTATAGGAAATGACAAGGAAAAGGCCGAGGCCTTGAAGAAGCTGATCTACATGATCCTGAATGGTGAAAAGTTCGGCCAGGGAATGTTGATGTTCGTCATTCGCTTTTGCCTTCCGTCAAATGACCACACGCTCAAGAAGTTGCTGCTGATCTTCTGGGAAATTGTCCCGAAAGTGGGAAATTCAGGATTTTAAAGGGATTTGTGATTTTTTTTTGTAGACCGACACTCATGGCAAGCTTCTGCACGAGATGATTCTCGTTTGCGATGCTTACCGGAAAGATCTTCAGCATCCGAATGAGTTTGTTCGCGGATCTACCTTGAGGTTGGGAATTCTATTTTTATTGTAATTTCTATTGAAGTGTGTAAATTAATTTGAAGCAGATATTAGCCTTGATAGAATTTTGTCCTCTTTCTCTGAAAATATCGTAAATATTTTTTTCAGCAAATCAATGTTAAAAAAATTAAATGTTTTGACTCATTTTACGCGTTTTCCTTGAACTTTGTTACTTCTCTTCTCTTTTTTCCTTTATAATTTTTTTTATTCAATCTGTCGTATCTTTATTCAATTGTTATTATTCTTATTGCTAAGAAAACTCGCAACTTTTTTTTTAGAACATTGCGCCACTGTTTTTAGGTTCTTTAAAACTGATTTTCTCATAGTTTCCATGTTTTTTTCTTAACCACGGGTGTATAAAAGTGCTTAGAATCTTTGTGAAAATGTGAAAAGGAGCAGATAACTCGAATTACTTGTGAAATGACACTAAAAAATGGTTTTTGTCGGAAAAATTGGAAAAAAAATGACCTTTTATCTTCCAGATTCCTGTGCAAACTGAAGGAACCCGAGCTTCTGGAGCCCCTGATGCCGGCCATCCGAGCCTGCCTCGAACACAGACACTCTTACGTTCGTCGTAACGCCGTTTGCGCCATTTTCACCATCTACAGTAATATTTTCACCTTTTAAATGTTCATAAATGTATTATTTGCAGGAAACTTCGAGTTTCTGATCCCGGATGCCCCGGAATTTGTCACGGAATATCTCGAAACTGAACAAGACGCTTCTTGCAAAAGAAACGCCTTTATGATGTTGCTCCACGTGGATCAGGCCCGAGCCCTGGATTACCTTTCTGGTTCTTTTTTATTTCATTCTTCTGAAAAAATGGTTATAAATGCTTTATTTTCAAGGAAACTGTAAAACTAACTAGCGGAGAATTTTTTAAAATTTTTCAACTTTTCCGGGCCTTTTTAGCAATATTTATACACATTACGGATACTCAAGTGGTAAATTTTAAAGTTTCATAAAAAAATGTTGGATTTTTGTTTCTCACTTTGTGAAACTTCTTTTTTTATCGGTAGAGCTCATATTCATCAAATTTTTTTGGATCACTACTGAAATTTTTTTCAGGATTTTTTTACTGACTTTTTTTCAGTTTTTTTATTTAAAAAAATACCCATTCCTAGTTTCAAAAAAATAAGAATTTTTTTAGTCCTGGGAAACATGAGGAAAAAGTTGATTAATTAATTGTTGTTAAAATAATTTTTAAAAACAAATTAACTTTTAAAAATGTAATGAAATGATGAGAAAAATCGATTTTGGAACGCTTCAGATATTAGAAAAAAACAGCAAAAAAAAATTTTTTTCTCATTGTAAAAAAATGGGAATTTTTTTGAAAAGTTGGATTTGAAGTAAATTTGGTCTCTTCTAATCAAAAAAATCCACTGGCAAAATCCAATTTGAAAAGGTTTTTTTAGCCATTATAGGAAACAGTAAAGTTTCGAGAAAAATTTTGATTTAAATTATAGAAAAATTCGATTTCTGAACGTCTCAAAACAACAGAAAAAATAATATATGTAATTTTGGTCTTTTTGAATTAAAAATTCACTAGAAAAAGCCAAATTTTGTGCTGGAAAAGGTTAAAAAAGTTATTGAAATGAGTTTTTCTGTTTTTCAGGATGTATCGATTCTGTTGGACAGTTTGGAGACATTCTTCAGCTTGTCATCGTTGAATTGATCTACAAAGTAATCGATAAATCTTATTTTGCATATTTATTGATGTTTTCAAAGGTCTGCCACACGAATCCGAACGAGTGCGCTCGTTTTATTCGTTGCGTCTATAATTTGCTCCAATCTCAGTCGCCGGCTGTCAGGTTTGTTAGGGGAAAAATAGGCTTTGGAAATAAAAAGAAAATTAAAATTTGGAAAATAGACGCAGAAAAGATATGTGATTTTTTTAGAAAATGAAAAAAAAAATTTTTTTTTTTATTTCAGAAAAAATGGCATAGAACAGATTTCGAGAACCTTTTTTCAAATAACTGATACTTGAAACTGTAACACGAACTAGTGGAGAATTATGGGAGAATCTCAGTTTTTCTGGAACTTTCTAAAGCAATATTTATACACATAACAGTTATACCTTCTGAAAAAAATCGAGAAAAAAAAATCGTATACTTTATTTTTTTCAATCTCTTTATTTCATTGTTGGAGCTCACAACATTAGATTTTCGGCTTTTCAAATTTATCAATTATATCCAGTAATCGAAAAAATCAGTAGGCAAGAAATATATACTTTTGAACCTGAAAAACAGACTTTTTTTGAGTTGAGATTTCAATTTTCTCACGAATAGATTATCTGTGGAGCACGCAGTCACCATTTCCCTGAATATAAAAAGCAAATGTTCGTCGTAAAATACTTTTTTTCCTTGATAAACCAAAAAAATTTCATTTCTTGAAAATATGAAGTTGTGTAAACTCTTTTTCGATGAATTAAGCAGCAATTTTTTTAGGATAGAGGCCAAAAAAACCTAGATTTTTCAAATTTAAGAAACTGCTGTAACTTTTTTTAATTGATTGAACTGCAATTTTTTTGTCATAAACTTTGGAAAACCTTCTTTTTTTGGAAATATGAAGCTGCTGGAAATTTTTATAATTAGTTAAACAGCAATTTTTTTAGTCATAAATTACAAAAAAACGTTTATTTTTTTCTTTTTGTTATAAAATGAAAAAAATCTACATTTTTTTAAGATATGAAGCGGCTGGAACTCTTGAATCTAGTTTCATAAATTGAACATCAGTTTTTCTACTATAAAAATTCGAGAAACCTTCATTTTTTTGAAGATATGAAGCTGCTGGAACTCTTGTCACACTCACAACGGCCCCAGCAGCCGTCAAAGCCGCCGCTTCGGCTTATATCGACCTGATTGTCAAGGAAAGCGACAATAATGTCAAGGTATCGACGATTTTTCAGTGAATAATGAAAAAAAAAATTATTTTTCCAGCTGATCGTCCTTGACCGCCTCGTTCAGCTTCGTTCCAACAGCAATAATGAACGGGTTCTTCAGGGCCTTGTCATGGACATTTTGAGGGTGAATTTGGGAAGAAATAACGAATATTTGAGATGAAAATGTAAACACGATACAGATAATTTAAATTTTCAAAAAATTCCCCTGAAAAAACGGTGGTATGAAAAAAACACCGGCGAAAATTCAAACGGCGACTTTTCCGATTTTTTCATTTCGCTAGGGAACTTTCCGACGGCCACCTTTCCGACGAAACTTTTTCCGACTTTTTTTTCTCGATAAACTCTTCGTTTTACATCTTCCTATATAAAGTAGGTAGTTTGTTCATAATTAAAACACAAAGAAATAGGAAAAAAATGTTCATAGATGTTTTATAAACCAAAAAACATAAGGGAAAAAAGTCGGAAAAAGTTTCGTCGGAAAGGTGGCCGTCGGAAAGTTCCCTAGCGAAATGAAAAAATCGGAAAAGTCGCCTTTTGAATTTTCGCTGGTGTTTTTTTCATACCACCGAAAAAACCTGAAAATGAGACTTTTTTTTGATTTTTTGATTCATTTTTCAGCGAAAATTCAAAATTTAAGCCTTTTTAGTGACTACTAGGGAACCTCGGGGGACAATTTTCAGTTTCTTTTTCACATTTTTTTAGTCGAAAATTGTGATTTTTTGGTGGATTTTAATGTCTATAAAGGATTATTATTCCATTATTATTTTTATTTTGAAGGTCCTGACGTCGCCCGGCTTGGAAGTGCGCAAAAAGACGCTGAACCTGGCCCTCGACTTGGTTTCCAGCAGAAATGTCGAAGATATGGTCATGTTCTTAAAGAAGGTGATTTTCTTGTTTCAGATGGGTTTCAAAATACGTAGTTTACGGTTTTCTTATTGTTTTTTATACCGAAACATTGAGAAAATCGAACCAAAACTTTAAAAATTACAGATTTTCATATCATCTCAATTATTTCGCATTTTATCCACAAATAATTTTTTTGATGAGTTTTTTTGAATTTCAAGGTTACGGTATTTTTTTAATACTAAAAAAATAAAATTAAAAAAATTTTTTTCGTTAATAAATTAGATAACTGGGAAACTATGCGGAAGATAACAAGTAGGAAATTATTTGTAATTAGGTTATCGTAGCTCAGAAAAAAATCCCTGAAACAGTAAAGATTTTTTTGAGCCGTTTTTTTAAAAATTTTTTTCGATTTTTTTGGAAGCTTAAAAAAAGCCCTTTTTTTGTTTTTTTCATATCCTCGCTGGGCGTATTTTTTTACAATAGGTAATTTTTTTGATGTTTGAAAAATTTTCCGAAAACTCTGTTTTCCGCGTTTTTTTTTGCGGAACTGTCATTAGAAGCCGTTATCAGAAAAAAAAAACCCGGATTTAATAGTTGAATTGACTGTTTTTTTATCCCTTTTCCAGGAAATCAACAAATCGGCGTCGGAAGCTTCTGACGAAAATGGCCGATACAGACAGGCCTTGGTCCAAACTCTCCATTCTGCTACCATCAAGTTCCCAGATGTTGCTCCGACTATCGTTCCAGGTTTCAGAAGAATCCCGAATTTTCCCATCTCATTTTTGCAGTTTTGATGGAATTCCTGTCGGATAGCAACGAAACGGCGGCTTCTTATGTCCTTCAGTTCGTCCGAGAAGCCGTTCACAAGCTTCCGGCTCTCAAGGAGACTATCCTCGCCTCTCTTCAGGTTCATTTTAGGACCTTTGGAGAAATTTAGCGTGTTTCAAAACGAAATAATGACAATTGGTGCTAAAATTTGCTCCGAAACAGCAATTTTTCTCGCTTTTTTTTCTGATTGAAATGCAATGAGTAGGCGCTTGTTGCTGCCCCCAGTGAATTAAACGATTCTGAGTCATTTAGAGCTCACTCAAGTGAATTTAGAGCCTCTTAAGGGACCACTTGAAGGCTAAAAAAAACAGTTTTAATTTGAAATTGGATAATTGAATATAGTAGAGTCTTTTTTATTGTTTCCACAGTGATTTGGACAATTTTTAATTATTTAGTGGCCATTTAAGTGGTTTTTAGAGCCTCTAAAGTGTCCCCTTGAAGGTTCAAAACAACTACCAATAGCGGATTTCACTTGAAAACGGGAAAATTAAACTTGGAAAGGTTTTTTTTTCTACTTTCTCAGTGATCTAGAAGATTTTTATCCATTTAGCGGCCATTGCAGGAGTTTTAGCGCCTCTTAAGTGACCACTTGAAGGTTTAATATCACTACCAAGAGCGGAATCAAATTTTTAATTGAAAAATTGATCCAAAAAAAGTTTTTTTTGTCCTTTTTAGCTGCCACAGTGATTTGGGCGATTCTGTGCCATTTAGTGGCCAGTCAAGAGGTTTTAGCACCCCTTAAGTGGTCATTTAAAGATTCAAAACAACTACCAATGACTGATTACACTTGTGAATCCAAAAATTGAATTCAGGAAGGCCTGATGTCAATCAGAACCCCCAACATTTTCATGTCCGCCCTGTGGATCCTCGGAACTTATTGTGACTCGGACAATTCTATCTTGGCCGTTTTGAGGTGAACAGTTGTGTGGATTATTTTTTATGAAAGTTTTGGTTTGATTATTTTGATATTTTCAAGCTTTTGGAAGTTTTTTTTTCTGTTGGAAAGCGTCTTTTTTGGCTGGAAACGTCATTTTTTCGAAATTTGAAAGCCAATGGAGTAGGAAAAAGACGTTCATTTTTTGAACCAACTTGAAAAGCTTAAGTTAGAAAAGAAGTAAGATTAGGCGTTAAGGAAAGTATTTTCGAGAAATCATCAAGATTTTTCAGCTTCATTTGTATTTTAAAACCTTATTGCGATTTTTTTTTTTGATTCTCAATAGGTTTCGCAATTAAAATTAGATCAAATTTATCCCAAATATGAGCTTTTGCCATTGAAGACTCGTCAAGTCGGCCCTCGGAGAGCTCCCAATCGTCGACTCGGAGATCAACGAGAAAGAAGGCGGCGAAGAACATCCGACCGAGGCGACGGCCGAGAAGAAATCGGCTCCGAGGCAGTTGGTCACCGCCGACGGCACCTACGCCACGCAGTCGGCTTTGTCCAGCAAGGTGGTCGCTCGCGAGGTCGAGAAGCCCCCTCTTAGGTTGGTTTTGAGATGAAATAGAGTTTTTCAGACTAGGTATCCAGTTTGACTTGAAATTATTTTGAGAAAAACTCAATTTTAGCTCTAAATATCTTGAGAAGTGACAAATTTAAATACAAGCTAGTCCACTTTTAAAGCACCTTTTTGGAACTAACAATTAGGTACTAACAAGAATTTTACGAAGCTTTGTAGTTTTTTTGGGGTGAACAAGAGGATCGTTTCGTCTATAAATTCGGCCTTTCTTAAATTACTTTAAAAAATGAAATATCAGTTTTAGGGATCTTGACAATTTTTCAATCAAGTTCTACTTTTTTTTTTTGAAGCATCTTTTTGTAATTTGAAAACGGGAGTATGAATAGATCCAGCCTGAAAAGTTGATATATTTCTGCTGTTTTTAGAGAGCCCTGAAAAACGTAAGAAAAAAAGTTCCCTGATTTTGAGCCGGATTATGAGCGTTTTCTTATAGATTATGTGCAGTAAAATGTGAGATTTGAAGCGTCAAAAAATGGCTAAAAAGATAAAGTCGTGAATTTTTTCACTAGGGCTGTCTTCAGGGTTCTCCAGAGAACGTATGACGAGTTTCAGAAAATTAACAAGATTTTCCTATTTGAACTCACGTCTTGAGGGTTTTATTGAGATTTTGAAAAAAGTTCAAAAAATCATGAAGATTTTGACATGAATCGTTTGAATCCTGAGATGAAAATTCAGACGATTCTTGCTCAACGGCGAGTTCTTCCTCGGAGCCGCTCTGGCGACGGTTCTGACCAAGTTGGCCCAGCAGTTCACGGACAACAACGGAGAAGGAACGGACCGTTCCAATCGTTTCCGCGCCGAGTGCATCTTGATCCTCTCCTCGATCATCCATCTCGGCAAGAGCGGACTCGCCAGCGAAGGCGTCACGGAAGACGACCTCGATAGGTTTCTCCATAGAACCTTTTCCGGCAAACCAATCTGCTTCCAGAATGGGCATCACCGTGAAGCTCCTCGCCCAGGGAATCCCGGAACTCGACGGCGTTTACCGCGATCAGTGCAAAAAATCGCTCGAGCTGATGTTGGCCGCCAAGAATGTCAATCGCGTCGTCGACAGCTCCGTCAAGAAGGGCAAAAACTTTGTCGAGGTCCTTGGCTTTTCACAAAAAGTTATTTAGAATTTGCTCATGGAAAGATAGACCCAGAAAAAAAAGCTGAGAAAAATGAGCTCAAAAAAGATTCAGAGAAAATGCGTTCCATTGATAAAAATCAGTAATTTAGATTTTTAGTTTTTTTTTCGAGGTTTTATGACTCTAGATGGTCCTAGCTTGGTTTAGAAGCTTAAAAAATCTAAGCTGCAAAAAAAATTTAATTGAGAAAAAAATTAGCTCAAAGAAAAGGTCTTGTGAAAGTGCGCTCCATGTATAAAAATCACTTAATGTCATTTTTAGTTTTCTATCGAGGTTTTATGGGTCTAGAAGCTCCTAACTTGGTTCAGAAGCTTTGAAATTTGAGCTGCAAAAAAAAATTTGATGAGAAGAATGAGCTCTAAGAAAAGTTTAAGGGTAAATGCGCTCCATAGATGAAAAGAGCTGATTACAGATTTTCAGTCTTTTATCCAGGTTTTATGGCTCTGAAAACTCCTACTGGGTTTAGAAGCTTTAAAATTTGAGCAGAAAAAAATATTGTTTAAAAATAATGAGCTTTGAAATAAAGATTCAGGGAGAGTGCGCTCCATGGATAAAAATCGCTAAATTTCATTTTTAGCTTTTTATCGGGCGGATTTTCTCAATGGAGCGCATTTTCACATTGATTTTTTCTTTTGCGGTTTTTTGATATCTAAATTTTCAAAAACCGAGAATTCCTCTGTAGTGAAGAAGCTGAAACTTATGGTCTAGATTTTATGAACCCAGAAAAAAAACCTAAAAATTTTATTTTCCAGGTTGATAAGACAATTTCTTTCACTCAACTCTCGGCGAAAGCCAATGCGACCGGAGAAAATCTGTTCGATTTGTCGCTTTCTCAGGCCCTTGGCACGGCGCCAAAGACCCAGAAGTTCGATTTTTTTCGAGGTATTTTTTTCCCTAAAATAGGAACGAATGAATATAATAATTTTTTTCAGTTCGAAGCTCGGAAAAAGTCATCCAATTGGCCGGATTTTTCGGACCCTATTTATGCCGAGGCTTACGTTAATGTTAACCAGTATGATATTGGTGTGGAAAACCAATATTTAGATGATTTTTAATGAAGAGATTTTTCAGTTCTTGACGTTCTCATCGTCAATCAGACGGGCGACACTCTTCAGAATGTCTCGCTTGAATTGGCGACTGTTGGAGACTTGAAACTGGTCGATAAACCGACCCCAGTCACCTTGGCACCGTCTGATTTCTCGAATATCAAGGTGAGAAATGGGAGAAAACAAAAATCATTAAGAAACGTGAGGTTGAAAACGGGGTTTTTAAAGAAGAAATATATTGCCGACTTGACTAAAAAAAAATCAAGCTTTCTGATAATTTTTGACATCTGGAATATCATGTTGAGAAATGGGAAGAGCTCAAAAAATCAGCAACAAATTTAAGAAAAGAAGGGTTTTCTAAACCAAAAAATCGGATAAAATTGTCGGAGAAAAATTTCAGAGCCGGCTTGATTTTAATAAAGCTGACAGTTAATTTCTTGAAAATCAAGGTAAAAAAATAGGAAGATCACAAAAAAATAAGAAGGATATAAATGAAACTGAAAAAAGGATTTTGAAAGGGAAATCTACTGAAAATAATCAGGTCGAAGTTGAAAAAATCTGGAAAAATCAGTAAAAAAATTGACATACAAAGATTTTTCGACAAAAAAAAATGGATAAAAAAGCCAAAAAAATTTGAGAACCAAGCTTTGGCAATTTTTCATTTCTTTAAAATTGAGGGCAAAAATGAGTAGAATAGAAAAAAAAATCGTAGAAGTAGTGGGAAATATTGAGAAAATTCAGAAAAAAAAGGCTTTCAAGTTTTGCTTGAGTCAAATAAGGCTTTCTGGCCATTTTTTTAATGCTTTAGTTAGTTTTTTTGATTTCTCGAGAATCAGGTTAAAAATTTTTAAAAAAAGATTTTTAAAAAGATTTTTAAAAAAACGTTGGTATGAAAGAATAAAACTAGAAGGAGGCTTTGAAAAGAAAAAAATCGAAGAAAAAAATTAAATTATGAAATGGTGCGCTCCGTGGATAACTTTTTAGTTTATCGAGTTTTTTTCTCAAATTATCCTGGTTTTTTTCGAATTTTTTTGCATCCTCTTGCTTTCTTCAATTAAAAAAACTTGATATTTGAATCGATTTGAATAAAATTTATGTCGAGATAATTTTTTTAGAAAAAGGACACGGTTTTTATAATAAGCATTTATCTGAATTTCAGAGTGATTGTTGTTATAACCTCTTAATAAATACAGTAAATCCAATATTTAGAATTTTTTTGGATTCAAAAAAATCATAAGAATGGCTGTGAAACTGTAGACAAAAAAATTTCATTTTTTTCGGAAAGTGGAAAAAAATTATTCAAAAGTCAATAAAAAAATAAGCTTTTTTTCTCAACTTTTTCATATTATAATTTTTTTAGGCTACGGTAAAAGTTGCTTCGACCGAAAATGGCGTCATTTTCTCGACGATTTCCTACGACGTTCGAGGATCCACATCCGATAGGAACTGTGTCTATTTGCAGGATATTAAAATTGATATTATGGTACTTTCTGAGGAAATAAAATGGGAAAATGAGGGATAATAGGACTACATTGTTCCTGGAACGGTCACGGACGTCGAATTCCGACAAATGTGGTCGGACTTTGAGTGGGAGAACAAGGTGAACGTCGCGACGCCGATCCTGAATCTCCGGGAGTTCCTCACCCACCTCTCCACGTCGACCAACATGAAGATCCTCACTGAGGACAAGGCTATCGGTTCGTTTTGAGGGGGAAATTGGTTTTACAGGGAAAAAATCGGCTTTTTATTCAGAAATCTTAGAGTATACTGAGCACTTTTTAATATCTTTTAAGTAGATTTCTATGGAAATTTGAAATTCTCACTGAAAACAAGGGCATAGGTTCGTTTTTGATGGAGGGAAATCGACACAGAAAGGAGGTTTTTCAAGGAAAAAAAGATAATTTTACTCAAAAAAATAATAAAATAAACCTTTTTGTGAGGTCTTATGAGAAATTATCCGCTTTCTATCCAGATTATTAGAAATTACTCAGCTTCAATTTTTTTGAATCCAGTTTTTATGGTCATCTTAAAATTCTCACTGACAAAAAGGCTATCGGTTCCTTTTTTTAAGCGGAGATTGGATTAAAAAAATACTGTTTTATGGGAAAAAGAAATTGGCTTTTTATTCGAAAATCTTAGGGTTAACTGAGCTTTTTTGTATTTTTTTTAGCAGATTTTCGTCAGAAATTTGAAATTCTCACTGAAGAAAAGGCTATGAGTTGTTTTGAAGAAGAAAATCGAATCAAAATTTGAGTTTTGTGGCGAAAAATTGAACTTTTTATTCAGTATTCCTAGTGTCCTGTAAAACCTGAAAAAATCGCCCGATTTTGAGTGAAAAGCGAATTTTTTTGGCATGAAAAAAACTTAGTTGAAAAGTTTGATCTGTCACATTTTGAGTCAGTTTTTGAATTTTTGATAGTAATGCCGTCTTCAAAGTAATTTCCGCGAAATGCAAAATACCCGTTAGAGAAAGGAAAAGATCACTAAATTTTGGAGAGTCAGAGATCATTTTGCATTTCGCGGAAATTACTTTGAACATGGCATAAAAAAAACTTGTCATTTTATCCAATTTTGCATTGAAATTAGTATAATTTACTTATATTCAATGCTTCATGACTATTATTGCATTTTGAGGGCATTTTTTAGGAAATGCGTAAAGTTTGAATCAGTTTTTATAAATTTTCCCAACATTTTCCATTTTTTCATTTTTATAAATTGATTTTTTGTCTCTGCAGACGGAGACTGCGGCTTCTTGGCGGCCAACCTGTGTGCCCACTCGATTTTCGGAGAAGATGCCCTGGCCAACGTTTCCATCGAGAAGAAAGTCCCCTTGGACGAATCTTCGCCCATTTTCGGCCACATCCGAATCAGGGCCAAGAGCCAGGGAATGTGCCTGACCCTTGGTGATAAGGTAGATCGATTGATCCAAAAACTCTTGAAAAATCGAACTTTTTCCAGATCAGCTCGGCGATGCGACAACGGAGAGACGGACTGCCCCTTCTGACCCCTATCCAAGGGAAATAAGAAAATAAATCCGCATTTTCCCCCCAATTTTCATGTGATCTTTTCCCCTGAACCGTGATCACAGATTGTACGTGTCCCCACGCTCTATCTGTAGTATTTATTTGAAATCCCTAAGTTATTGACTTTTTTTTTCGTTGTAACTTATTCCCAACACAACTTGTTCATACGAAGATTGCCTCTGCACGAATTATTAGCCTTTTTTGAGTTGAACACTTTCCGGCTTGTTTCCATGTGTATTTTAAGATTAATAAATGGGTTTGAAATGAAGAATTTTCGGAGTTTTTTGCCTTTTTTCCACGAAAAATAACTGGAATAGAACGTTTTCCGGTTTTCCTTGAGAAGATTTAAAATTAAAAATGAGGAGAACTTGAAGTTTTTCAGTTAGAAGGAAAAAAATCATGGCCTTTTTTGGATGTTAAATAGGCTTGAAATGAAATTTTCGAGCTTTTTGAGGATTTTTAGCATTATTACAGTGACTTCAGGATTTTTTTTGATGAAGATTTCGAGAAGATAAGTGAAATAGTGTGAAGAATGAAAGAGTTGGACGCTTTTTTTTCTCTCCCAGCTAGTTGTGAGTCGAGTAAATTCATTTTTTCACTGAATTAGGTAAATTTTTTGAATTTTTTTTTCGAAGTCAAACAAAGGTTCAAAATAAAAACCTGGAATGTTCAGCTTATGATCCATTCAAAACTTGCTTGAAACATTTCTCAAGGGTCTCGAAGCGATTAAATAAATAGTGTGTGAATAGTAGAGGGTTAGACGTGAATTTTCATTCCAATTAACTTGGAGCAAACATAAAAAAAAACTTTTTCGGGTAATTTAATGAACAAATAAAAAATTAGGAGTAACAAATGGTTTTAAAATGAATAAATTATGATGTTTTTGAATGAAGTTGCGGACGTCTCATTAGACTCGCATTTTGGAAGAAATAACCGGCTATCTGCTTCAAATTAAGGGTTTCTTCTCTGAAAAATCGATTAAAAAAACAGAAAACACACATTGACAATAAAGCAAACACAAAATATCGCAATCCTATTCGACACCTGTGTAAAATCATCATTTTTCACCAGAAAAGCGTTTTTGCGATCAAAGTTTGCAAATTATACATGAATAGAAAGATTTTGCGACGAAAAGAACTTTGGTGATAACAGAAAAAATTGAAATTTGAAAGAAACGGAGAAAAAAGCGAAAATCCGGAAGATGGCGAAGCCTGTTGTCCATAGAGCAACTTTACTGCAAGTGCCCTTTTTGCGGGAACTCAAACTTTCCTCTCTCCGACTTTGAATTATTTTTTCTCTAAAACTAGGAAATTTGGTACATTTCCAAGTTCACCGTTTGATTTGCAATGAAAAACTCTACAAAGTATTGTTTTGAACTGAAACTACGTTTTTACTGCCCCTATGCCTTTAAAGAATAAGTGAAACTTTTTAAAGACGAGGAAAATTTCGAAAATTTTTCAAACGATTTGAGGATTAGCTTGTTATTGCGGGAGAGTGTTTTGAGGGGATTTCAAAGTATTTTTTCGGTCAATGATAGCGCCTACTTAAATGTTACCTTTGATAAGGGCCCCATGTTTCTATTGTGTCACTTGTTTTGTCGGCCGACCATTTTTCTTCCTTCTTTTGAGGTTGGCTTGAACTTGACAGTACAACATTTTGTGACGTTTTGATTTCTTTGGTACCGAAATGGATTTAAATAGGGCAGGGAATTATTTTACTGGTGAGATAAGGTGTCTTTTAATTGGAATTTCAAAAATTTTCAAATTTTCTCCTTATTTGGTCTTTTTTCCATTTTTTGATTCTTTCTTGGCTGAAAATTGCTGTTATTCAGTTTTTTCATTCATTTTTTTTCACTAGATTCACAAATTCTAGAAAAATTAATTTTCTAATATAAAAAGGTTTTTTTGATCATCTGGAAAATTTTGGAGAATTTTAATTTTTTGCTTGAAAACTCCCTACTGCGTATCTGGAAATCTCTATTGTTTTTTTCAGAAATTTTTTTCTGCTTGAATATTGGACCCCCCGTTTTTCAATTTCATTTTTTTAATCAGAACTTTAAAGCCCAAAAATACCTTCTTTTTATCCCTCGATTAAAAAATAAGGAGAAATAGAGAAAATTTAGCAAATTAGACTTTTTTCCCATCATCAATACCTTCATTCATTAATTTGGCGATTAAAATCTGCAAAAACTTTCCGGTAAACCGAATATTTTGACACTTTTCCCAGGAAATCAAGGATGATGAGAACCTGGGTTGTGATCCTGGCCATCCTGGTCGCCGGGTCAAAAGCGGGCTTCAAACTCCCGCTCCCAATCCCCCTGCCGAACATTCCCTTCACCGGTGGCGACGGAACGGATTCCGGCTCCTCCAGCGGCTCTTCCGTCAAGGACACGCCGATTTCCGGCGACACGAACCGGGAGCTGTTCCAGCACTTCAGATGTCAGCTCTGCAAGGACCTCGCCAGGGATAATATCGAGTTCGCCGACGGCGAAGCGGTGAGTTAGAGCCCATTCCGCGCGAGATTCTCATGTTTTTTTTTCCCTTTTGAACTACGGAAGCATTCCGGGAAGCTTCCACTCTCTGCGCCCTTTTTTATCCTGAAAACTGTGTTCTACTGGGAAAATTTTGAGTGGCCACTATAGAGGCTCGCCAAGGACTACTTTGAGGGGACACTAAAGTGGCCACTAAACCCACCTCTATAGTGGCCACTATTTTCCGTTTTAGTGACCACTTCAGCAGTTTTTCATCCAGTGTTCCTTCCAGTAACTCTGATGATTTTAAAACAAACAGATTGGACCAGTTATGTTGATCCATTGACCCCTAAAGTGACCACTAAAATTTTTATTGGTCTCTTAGTAGCACTTACACCTCTATAGTGGCCACTAATTTACAACCCCTTCAGTGGCCATTAATTTGACTACTATAGTGGCCACTAAAAATGTTCCCAATACGTCATATTAAAGGCGCATGCCCAGAGACAGACCACGCGCATCAAACAAAAGGATACTGTAGCTTGAAAAAGAAGAAAAAAAATTCCTGACCTGACCAAAACATTTCTCGCGTAACATTAGCGATATCTAGCGATTTCAAAATTTAATTTCACATGATATTTTTGAAAAATCACAAAATGATCTCATTATGACCGTAATAACTTAGGATTTCTCTAGAAATAACACTTTTTTTAACATTTTTTTCCGAAAGTCCGGGCTATAATTAAAATAATCCCGAATTCTCATTTTTCTTCACAATAAAAAAACAGAAGTTTTTCAGAAGCTGAACGAAAACTTCGTGATCAAAATTTGCGACCACACCTTGTCGTTTTTTTCAACAAGCAAATCGGCTACCTCGTTTGCAATACATTAATCAAGGTAATTTGTTTTTTTCTTCTAAAATATTAACTAAATATTTCATTTCAGAGAAAACTTGACAGCTTCCTCAATTCTTTCCTCACTAACCACAACGCCGACACGTTGAGCAGAATAATTTGCAGTCGTATTCACATGTGTACTGATTAATTGTAATAAATAAAGCTTTCTTCCGTTTTACATTGAAAGTAGACTTGATTTGGATAACAAGTACAGGAAAAAATGGAAAAAAATTGATTGAGAAAATGAAGATAACTGATGATAAACCTTACCAAATTGATCATATCTCGGGCAAAGTCGGAATGGTGGATAATGGCTGCTAAAAGGGAGAGGCTCAAAAAAGGCCGCAGAAAGGCAGCAAAGAGACTCCCTTTAACGAGCCTTCCATTTTTCTGGGATTTTAAAGGCTCGAGAAATGGTGGAGAAAGGGAGAGGCAGCAAAAATGGTGCATAAGGGCTGAGAAAATGGAGCAAAAAGGCAGCAAAAAGAGAGCCTTCATCACCCTAAAAGGAACATTTCTATGGTCCTTTATGGACCCTCGGAGGGTCCTTCCGATTTTGCCTATGTTGATTTTTTGAAAGTTGGGTTTTCCTTTTTCGTACTATAAAAAATTCTATAATCCAGAAAACCATCTGGGGCTATTAAAATCGCATAAACTTACTTTGTCGGGTTTTCAATGCGAAAAGACATTCCCGCTTATATTCTTAGTCATTCAAGTCTTCTGCTCGCCTAAACGTTCCAGAGAAGATAGTTGAACACGTAAAACTATCGAAAATACCAAGGAAAGTTTCCGAAAAAGCATTGAGCGGGAATTCAAATTCAATGATTAGGCAAGCGCGCCCCATAGCGCCGCTGCAAGTTTTGGATGACAAATTTTCATTTTGCGTTGTTTTTCTTCTTTCTATTGTTTCTTGCCGTTATATCGTTAGTTTTTGATATTTCAGAGGTTATATTATTGTTGACAGCCTGCTTTTCTATGGAATCATGTGTTTTTTTTTGAAGGGTTCATTATTTTTGTGATGAGAAGATCTTTAGAAAATGGTTGAACAAGTTCCTGTACAAATGGACGACGAGAAGACGCGGGCTCGGAACGGCTACCGCAGAAAGTTGACTGAATGTCGTGACATTGAGCAAAAGCTCAAGGAACTTCGCAAAAAAGTTATTTCATTGTTTAAAGTTATTTTAACTGGAAAGAAAAATGTAGGAGACAGAAATGCAAAAGCAGTTCGAAAAGTCGGAAAACGACATCAAATCTCTTCAATCGGTCGGTCAAATCGTCGGCGAGGTTCTGAAACAGCTCAGCGAGGAGAAGTTCATCGTTAAGGTTTTTATTTCTTTTGAAAAGAAAATTTTTTTTTTCTGGTTTCAAGGCTACGAACGGCCCTCGTTACGTGGTTGGATGCCGTCGATCGATCAATAAGGAGCAATTGAAGCAGGGAACTCGAGTTTCTCTCGACATGACCACTTTGACTATCATGTATGATAATAATTTGCTCATAAGTTCTTGTTGGATTTTTTGAAGGCGCATCGACAAAGTTTGAAAGCCAAGAGTAGTTTTTCGGTGTTATTTTTATTTGTAAAAGATATATGCGCCTTTAAAACCTGAGCAATCGTTTCGAAACCATTTTTGGATATTATTTCCAGGCGGCAACTCCCACGCGAAGTCGACCCTCTAGTGTACAAAATGTCGCACGAAGATCCCGGAAATATTTCTTACGCTGACGTCGGAGGCCTCGCTGATCAAATCCGCGAACTTCGTGAAGTAAAATATTTTTTCTAGAAGATAAAATTGAAAAATTCAGGTTGTCGAACTTCCCCTGATCAATCCCGAACTGTTCCGTCGTGTTGGAATCACTCCCCCGAAGGGTTGCTTGCTTTTCGGACCGCCCGGAACTGGAAAAACCCTTCTGGCAAGGTTATTGGATTGATAATATACTAATTTCAGTGAAATATGTTAAAAATTTGATTTTTTTTTTGATCAATTGTCGATTAGTGACAAGAAAACAGTTAGTTTTTCTCATCGTGGAAAATCTGTGTTCTAGTCGGTGAAAATCCTTTCCATTTTTTTTTATTTTTTAATGATTATTTTTGGCCTTTTAAAGGTAACTTGATGGTGTTCTTTGAAACAGGGACCGTCGAGGTTTACTTTTTTTCAATACAACAAATTTTTAAGCTCCATTTTTCATTTTAACTCTCCTTTTTTTTGAAATTCTCATAAAGTAGTTTAAAGTCCTTTGGATAGGTTACTTAAGAGAATGAAGGTCAGTCTTGGACCTTATTTAAAAAAAAACCACCTGGGAATAGTTTTGAGCAGCATTTTTGCATCCTTGTCCTTAATGATACGCTTATTATTTTCTTCAAAGTTTAATAATAAATGAATAAATGGATATTTGAAGAGCGGTAGCCTCGCAACTGGACTGCAACTTCCTGAAGGTCGTCTCCTCGGCGATCGTCGACAAATACATTGGAGAATCGGCCCGAATGATCCGCGAGATGTTCAATTACGCCCGCGATCATCAGCCCTGCATCGTTTTCATGGACGAAATCGACGCCATCGGTACGGAATCCACTGTTACTGTTTCACGGGACTGAACGGCTTTTTTTTTTTACTTTCCCACGTGTTTTTTTTTTCATTTAAGTGGCCGCGAAATTCACTCGTTTTTGATTTTTCATAAGGGAAAATAAGCGCCGCAACAAAAAAAAAACTGTCAAGGATTTTTCTACGAAGTTCAAAGTTTGATCAAATTTCGCTACAGACCACCAAAAAATACTTATCTTGTTACTAAATCTTTCTAAATGGTTATTACACTTTTTTTTGCTGAAAAAAAATTTTCAAGCCCTTAAACGTTGAATAAAGAAAGAAGATATCTTCCGTTGCGTTAATCAACAGAAAATTCATTTTTTCTTCCAGGAGGTCGCCGTTTCTCGGAAGGAACATCGGCAGATCGTGAGATCCAGCGAACGCTGATGGAGTTGCTCAACCAGCTCGACGGGTTTGATTCTCTCGGAAAAGTCAAGGTGTGTCGAGAGGGGAAATAAATGCTTTTCAGATGACGAAACGCAAAAAGTTCAAAAAATCTATTTGAAAAATTCAAAAAGTCGCTGCTGTGTACCTTGTAAACGCATGGTTTTGCAGCCTAACATGTAATATTTTTCAATTTTTTGTTTTTGTTATATTTGACTTGTTTCAAAGCTTAAATCATTATTTATGGTATAACTTTGATCAGTATAATTTTCTAAAAATCTCTGAGAACAAAAAAGTAAAAAACCGAAAATTAGAAACATTAAGAATCTCAAATTTAAGTAATTTTGAAGCTCAAGGGCTCGAAATTTTCTCAAAATCTTTTTTTTCCATCAAAAGTTTCATCCCACCCCTTTTTATTATTTTTGCCAAGGGTTTGTCTGTTTTTTTTTACCATTTTTGTTCATGATATGAGCATTTTGCCTCTGATTTCTCATCATATATTTATTAAGGTGATCATGGCGACCAACCGTCCCGACACTTTGGATCCTGCCCTTCTTCGTCCCGGTCGCCTCGACCGAAAAATCGAAATCGGCCTTCCCAACGAGCAAAGTCGTCTGGAAATCATCAAGATCCACGCGAATCCCATCACCAAACACGGGGATATCGATTACGAAGCCGTCGTCAAACTGTCCGACGGATTCTCGGCCGCTGATCTTCGAAACGTCTGCACCGAAGCTGGTGTGTAGGAATGATGAAGAAAAAATAGTTTTTCAACCCTTAAGGGAGATGATTTTATAGGACATTTACGCTTATTCTGTGGAAAAAGGTGTACCTTGGGCGTGAAATCCGCTTGAAGCGAAAGCGCAAAAAAAGCTTGGCTTACGGTAGCTTTTTGACAGCGGTGCTTTTTGAACCTTATCGTCATGCGCGGAAGACACCACACCTTTAATGCGGGATTTGTTATTTTTTAAAAATCATTATTAAAGGTCTCGAAGCGAAACCGCAAAAAAAGCTTGGCTTACGGTAGATTTTTTTACAACGCTTCTTTCAAAACGTGACCGGCATGCAAGAAACACACCATAGCTTCAATGCAAATGCCGCCTTTTACAGTTTTTTGAAGGGTCTCGAAGCGAAACCGCAAAAAAGATTAGTTTTACGGTAGCTATCTTACAGCGGTGCTTTTGGAACGTGTCCGGCATGCACGGAAAACAGTAGGCATTTAATGAGGAATTCGTTTTTAGCCATTAAGGGTCTCGGAGCGAAAAAAAAAAGCTTGGCTTACGATAGCTTTTTTGTTTTAAAACCTGATCGTTTTGATTGGAATACACTGTAGTTTGCAGTTTTTTCCTCTCCAAGAAAATAGCGTATCCCGAATTGAACCAATTTCAACCAAGCTTCGTTTCAAGACCTTTCTTTGCTGACTTTTTGCATTTCTGTAGATTAAAAGCTTTGTTTACGGTAGCTATATTTCTGCTATGATTTTTTAAACGTGACCGTCTCGCGTGGAACACATTTTAATGTGATACTTGAAAGTCTCAAAGCGAAAGCGCAAAAAGAGCTTGGTTTACGGTAGCTTTTTCGTTTGAAAAACCGACAGTTTTTTACGAATTTTCTGGGCATGAGCAGGAAAATGTGAATAGAAAATGCGCTAATCAAAAATTTACAGTTTAACGAGTTTTTTTTTTCAATTTTCAGGCTTTATAGAGCTTTTAGTAACGTTTTTGTTTGATCAAGTTTTTTTTTTCTGAATTTTGAGATTTTTTTTAAAAATTCGTTCAACTTTGTCCACTCACTTTTCAATTTTTGGACTTTCAGGAATGTTCGCGATTCGCTCTGAGCGTGAATACGTCATCGAGGAAGATTTTTATGAAGGCTGTGAGAAAGGTGAAACTTTGAAATTTATCTTGAAAATAATTAATTTTAATTTTTTTCAGGTCGGCGATGCCAAGCGACTCGAGACGAAGCTCGACTACAAACCCGTCTAACCGAAAAATTTTACCCTTTATTCATTAATTTATGCTCTTTTTAAACGTTTCTTGGTCCGTTTTACATGTAAAATGAGTTTTCGATCGACGAAAGATGTGATTTTTAATTGCACTCGCGGATAAAAGTTTGGATTTCTGAGTTTTTGAATCGAATTTCATTGGTTTTAACCATTATCAGAGTATTTTTTTTTAGCTATTTGTGTTGAGAAAAATCGAATTTTTCTGGTTTCTTGGAAGTTTTTTAATCCAAAAACGGAATGCAAGGCGAAATAAAAATGGCAAAAAAGTGTCTTCCGTTGCCGGGAATCGAACCCGGGCCTTACGGGTGAGAGCCGTAAATCCTAACCACTAGACCACAACGGACACGAGAGTGGCGTCTGCCAGGCGGCCACTTGACGCCTCTTTAACACTGCCCCAATGCTTTCCGTTTCAGATAAGATGGGCCGCAGATCGGCCGAATTCGACGTTTTCAACGAGTTGGCCCAGTTGGGCGTCGACGTTTCGAAGTCAAAATTGCTGAAACATGTTAAAATTCCCAAACATGAGCAGAATTTTGTTATTCAGAATGGGGCTCAGAAGGTTGGTTTTTGGGGTGGAAATGGATCTAAAAAATATCACTTTGTATAAAGATTCAGAAAAAATTGATTTTGACAAAAAAGCTTACAAAAAAGTTCAAAAAGGTTAGTTTAAAGGAGCATGACTGGGCTGAAAAATATCCGGTCTTGGAGCGATTTTTTTTTCTGGATTTTTAAAGAAAAAAGCAATTTTTTCTCAATTTTTCTCTTGATTTCGAAAGATGTAGCGTTGGAAAATAAAAGTTGAATTTTTTTTTGACTTAAAAAGTCGCATTTGTGGAATGGCTAGAAGCGTCGCGGTCGCGTTGCGGTTCAAAAGAAATTTGGTAGCTTACCGGTGCAATTGAGCGCAACCGCTCCGAGTCGGGCGCGTTTTGAAAGAGCCGCAAATTGTTAAAATGAAAGTTTTCGCGTGGCTTGACCTGCTCGTGGAATGACTCAAGCATCGCGGTCGCGTTGCGGTTCGACAATGAGTGGAATTTTTAAAGATTTCCTGGACTTTTCCACGAAAACCGTATTGAGTCGGGCGCGTTTTGAAGCAACCGCTACGCAGCTGAGCTATTCTACGTGCGACCATAACATCCAAATTCGGCTTTCTGAAAAAAAAAATCAAATTTCTCTCAGGATCCAATGTCATTGGGTTTGCCGCCGGGAGCAAAATTGCTGAAATACGTGAGGATTCCCAAAAACGAGCAAATTTGAACTGAACTACTAACCCATTTTTTTTCCTTGTGTTTATTTTTTTCCCTCTGTGCTTTGGTACGCAAATACGTGTTTCTCTTCTTGTTATTATATTATTTCGCTGCTCAAATGAACGTTGAATGTATTTATTTGCATGTGGAAAGAGAAAATAAGCAAAAAAAAAGGCGGGTGTCGGGACGAATTCGTTTGTTATGATATAAGGCGGGGGTAACCTGTTTTCCTCGGTCCCTTTCTTTATTTCTCTTTTTCGGGGTCAATTTCGTTTTTTGTCGTTAGTTTTTACCTTTATAGTTTCTTATTAGTTCAGATTGAGCTTCTGATTCCAGACAATGCAGTCTTTAATTTCAAAATAATCGAAAAGGAAACTTTTTTCTCCAGAAAAAATAATCTCCATTTTTTTTTTTCTTCATCTTTGTCCTTTTTTTACATGTTTCAGGTCCTTGAAATATCTCATTTTTCTTCAAAATTTTCCGATTTTTTTAAAAAAATTTTTAATGACAAAAAAAGCGGATAAATTGTAAAAAATCAAAAATTCTGGAATTTTTGGTTTCCTGTGACGATTTTTCGATGCTACAAAAAGTTAAAAACTTTTTTTCTTTTTACGGACGCCAGAGTGACCCCTTAAGGGGTTAGATAAAAAAATAGTCCCTCTAAGAGACAAAAAGTGTCCCCTACAGGGGTCCGTGCCATAAAGTCATGACAAAAGCCCACTTCATCACCTCAATTCATTTCACTTCTAGTATTTTTTTCGTTTTCCTCCGAAATCGAACTTTCTCACCAGCCTTTCCAATCTTTTTTAGACTGCCATTGTATAAATACCTGTAAGTCGACCAGTTTCTCGGCCTTTTTCGCTCAATTCTCGACGATTCTCAATTGGAATTTGGAAAGAATGCGCGTTTTACTTCTTTTATTATCGACTTCATCGATTTTGGCCCTTCCTTTGACCGGAGAATGGCTCCGAGATGAAGGTGATGATTTACCGGAGGTGAGTGCGGAAATTGAATTAACTTAAAAAAATTATAAATTTTTTAGTGAAACTTTCTGAAGACTAATAAAAATATTTATAACGTGTTTCAATGGAAATTTAATTTTTTTTAGTTTTTTCCGTTTCGATATTGAAGATAAATGAGCAAATATTTACTCTTTCTCTTTTTTAGCTTCGGAAAAGAAAAAAAAAACCGATAGTACGCAAATTTTCGTTAGCGGTAAATGCACAAGAAACATCTTATTTGACGACTTTTTTGCGGGTTCTCTGGATCCAGGAAACGCCGTGAAATATTGTGAGATTTTAGATTTCTGTTGAATTCCCACGAAAAAACAGGAAAAAAAGAAAAAGAATCATCTTTTTTTGATTGGCAACGACTTTTCGATCAAGTGCACCGATTTCATACTAGCTATGAATAAACTATTATTTTTTTCTCAGCTCAAAATGAGTTTTTGTGGATTTCTTATTCAAAATAAAATGGGTAATGCGTATTTTAGGTCAAATTTCCAATAAAAAACGTTATTTTTTAGCCCAATTTATATGTAAAAATTATTTTTTAAAGGTTTTTCCTCCCAACTTTACCGGAAAAAAACCGAATGAACTATAACTTTTGATTTTTTTATGATTTTTTTCAAGCTCGAAGTTGAAGGTTTTGAGATTAATTTTTCTCAATGGAAATTGTGTATTTTTTTGGTCATTTTTTTCAATAAAAAGCGTGTTTTTTTGAGATCAAGTTATAAAAAAATATTTTTGTTGGGTTTATTAAACTTTTTTTGGAACCAGTTTAACTTGTCTCCAGAGAATGCCGATCCATTTCACTTCTGCAAAATTCAAATATGAGAAAGAAAACGACGTGGACGTTTTATCGCCAGCTCCAGCGGCTTCAGAGGTTTTTTTTTCATATTGAAAAAATATTTATTGATGAAAAACAATTTAGATTTTACAAGTGGACATGTTATGTCAATTTTGCCTCGCAGCCATCGAAAAATTGAAAGAAAGGCAGGAATCCGAGTCGAATTTTGAAGAAGTTTCCAATTTTTGGAGTGATTCTTCTCAAAAAATGAATTTCAGAACCTTCGAAAGGAATGCGAGACGGCTTATAATAAAACGAGCGAAACCGCTTGTAATTTGATAAATAGGTTGGAAATCAATTCATTGAAGGAAAAATTTGAATGAAAAATATTTCAGTGCAAACCTGGAAACGCTCCGGGAAGATTCGGCGGCTTTGATTTGTACGGAACAAAAATTGTGTTCCGATTTTGAAGGAATGGTGGGTCAAATTTCTCGTTTTTCAAGTCCATTAGTTCAAAGTTTGACTGGAAAAAAATTTTAAAAAAAAATGAAAAAAATGAATAAGTGAATTTCCTGTTTCCCGAACTTTTTCAAATTCTGAGCTTTTTTTATTTTTATTTTTTTCTTGCTTGATACTCTCGAATAAAATGGACATTTTTTTCAAAAAGTTGTTCCGGACTTAAAATAATTAAGGCCATTAACATTTTTTCAACTGAATTTCGATTCACAACTGCAATTCGTAGAAAAATCATTATTTTTGAAATTTTTCGGTGTTTTTTTAGTCTTAAAAAATGCCAGAAATCTTTTTTTCGAACGTTTTACGAAAGAAAAAGGTTGGAAACCTAAGAATCGCTGAAAAAAAAACTGCAAAAAAGTGTCTTCCGTTGCCGGGAATCGAACCCGGGCCTTACGGGTGAGAGCCGTAAATCCTAACCACTAGACCACAACGGACACGTCAGTCTGGCGCTGGTTTCAGGGGGAAGGCATCGAGGGGGGCGCCGCACAAGTGCCATCAGCCGATCAATCGAAGGCCAGTGAACGTGGCGATTTCGACAAGGTCGGTAGAGTTTTGAAACAATGAGGCGTATAAAATATTCAATTTTGAATGAAAACTAAGTTATTTTGAAAATTTTCACTCGTTTTATCTCAATTTTGAAACAAAAAAAAATTTTGAACGAAAATTTTTTGAAAAGAAAAAAAGGAAAAAGGAGAATTTTTCGCTCTTTGTTTGAAATTTTACTCGAACATAATTTTTCCTATCCATTTTCGCCAATCTTTTTCATTATATAATCACTGGGTGATTGAAAAAAATGTTAAAAAAATTATTGATAGTACTTAAAAAAATAAGGGTGGGAAGAAAAAAAGATACGAAAAAAACATGGGAAATTTTTAAGTTTCCTGTATAAAAAAATATCGAAAATTTCAAAATTCAAATCTTTTCTTTTTTCATTTTCTGGCTTTCTTTTAAAGATAATTGAAAATTGTTTTTCAATTTTTGTATTGTTCTATTCTTTTTATTTTGATCACAGTGTTAAAAAAATATTTCTTAAAACTTTTTTTCAACTTTGATTTAAAAAAACTTGTGCAAATTGTGACTATCCGATTTTCCTGAGTAAATAGTCCCACGGAAACAGGCCTTCCTTAAAGGGTTTTCATTATTTTTCCTCGGACTTTCAAAACTGAAATTCTAACTTTTTTAATTTCAGGAAAATTCAAAAACACTCCTCGATAGAGTCAAAAAACGAAGGAGCAGTGGGGAAAGAGGTAACTTTTGGTATTTTTATCAGGAATTGAGGATAATGCGCTCTATTGATAATTTTTTTATCAATATTGCGTAGTTCAAGATTTTAGCGGTTTTGTATTTTTTTTTTTTTCAATACTTAGGATCTTCATAGTGGTGACTCTAGGGGCCGCTTAAGCTTGTAGAAGTAGCCCCTCTAGGGTTCTAGTTAGTGGCACCTATAGGGGGACATTATTTTTTTGATCTCTATGAGAAAAAAATAATTTCCATGCGAAAAAAAGATCAAAAAAAGTAGAGTTTTTTTGAATGAAATAGAGTATAAATTCATCATTTTTGTTTTTCAATTATTTAATCTTGACAAAAATTGAAACACCCCTATAGGGTCCACTCAAGATTAAGGGGCTTATATGGCAGATTTCAAACCCCTATAGTGGTAACTTTTTTGTTTCCTATAAGGGCTGTTTTTCCCGTGACCCCTATAGAAAACTCTGGTTTCTAAGAAAGACAAAAGACTATTTTCATCAGAAATTGAACTTTTTCAGAACGAACCCATCAAAATTTCGGAAATCGAACTGGAACCGGCTCAATTTTTCCCGACTCCGAACCAACATTTGAACTTTACAATGATTGTTGACGATATTTAGTTTTTCAATTTAATAAATAGTTTATTGAACCCGCTGAAAAAATGCATTTACAACAATAATAAATGGAAAAAACACGTGTGAACACAGGAATTTTGGGTTTTGAGATGAACAAGCACTGGGAGAAGCTCAATCGGAATAAATAAGTGAATAAATAAATAAATAAATAATACTTCGAACGAGTAGATCAAGTGAATAATGGAAGGTAGTATGATGTATTATTTTTTTACAGAAAAATGCGGGTTTTCAAGCACTTCAAGTAGGATTCTAGGCAGTGGAGGGAATTTTTTTGGAAAAGCAATGATTAAATTTAAAGGCGCATGGTGAAGGGTCTTGACGGGAATGAATCAAAAAAAGCTTTAATAACACGGTTTTTATTTTTCTTTTTATGAATTTTACAAGCTTTTATAAATCCGAAAAATGTTCTTAATTGCATATTTTTTTCATTTTTTATATTTTCTAAATTGATCAGGACGCAAAAAATTTTTTTATTGGACGATTTTTTTCCTTATTCTTTCTGAACAACCTTAAAGTACTTTAAATTCACAAAATTGGGTCAAAAGAAAAAATAATTTTTCACATTTTATGCTTTAACTTTGTTCTTAAAAAAATTAAATAAAAGCGAATTTTTTTCACGGTTCCCTCAAATGTTAATAAATCGCAAAATTGGGTTAAAATATGATTTTTATGAACTTTTTCTTTTAACTTTCCAAACTCATTCAATCGGTCCCAAGCTGCCGTTGGACAACTTGAGTTTGTTCAGCTTCAGATCAGGAAAAGGCTGGCCGACTTTTTGCTGGGAGGGTGTACGTGAAATCGGTTTCGGGATGCCGGTCAGGTTGGAGAGGGAGCGTTTGAGTTGAGGGTCGAACTTGGTCAGGGAATGTTGACGGGCCGAGGGAAGTCGGACTCCTGTCGGGAGGGCCGATCGAGTTGGTGCGGCTCCCGCTGGAGCTGCTGGAAATTTTTCCGTTGTGGACTACACACAGTTCTGACTTGTGTGCTCTATCGCACAGCTTGTTGTCAAAACCCTTAAGTGATCCTTATAGACCTCGGCAACGCAAACCGGACTTATCTGAGCACTTCTAGTAATCACTCTAGCGGTGTCAAAACTCTTAAGTGATCCCTATAGACTTCACTAACGACCGGACGCGCCCCGGACGTTTCTGTGAAGTTCTAGTGATCACTCTAGCGGTGTCAAAACTCTAAAGCGATCCCTATAGTCCTTGGTATCGCGAACCCGACTTATTCGAGCGTTTCTAGTGATCACTCCAGCGGTGTCAGAACCCTTAAGTGATCCATATAGAGCTCGGTAACGACCGCACTTATCTGAGCACTTCTAGTGATCACTTTTGCGGTGTCAAAACTCTTAAGTGATCCCTATAGACCTCGGGAACGACCGGACTTATCTGAGCCATTCTAGTGATCACTCTAGCGGTGTCAGAACCCTTCAGTGATCCCTATAGATCTCACGACCGGACTCATCTGAGCACTTATAGTGATCACTCTAACGGTGTCAGAACCCTTAAGTGATCCCTAAGACCTCGCAGACGAACGGACGCGCCCCGAACGTTTTTGGACACTCCTAGTGATCACTTAAGAGTTTTGACGCGGCTATAGAGGCCACTAAGGTCCGAGGCTATAACCAATTTTCGAACCCAAGTATTGATTGGTAGAATTTGAGAAAACCCGTTAAATAATACGGAAGTATTCACTTAAGAAGACTTAGCAGCCCTAGAGAAACCCCTTCGCGGCAAACTAGCTTTGCTTGGCATCAAGCCTGTCTGCGCTCTCTTTTCTCTCACTTATAAGGTTAGGGAATGAAACGAGCTTCGGTGAGAGAGAGGAGAGCGCAGACAGGCCAGTAAAATTCCAAAATTTCAAATTTCAAACTGACGAGCGATTTTAAGCGGCTGCCTCTTGATTATACCATCATCTGCCATAGTTTTCTGAAATTAGAAATTCTCAATATTTTTCGAAGATTATTTAAAGTACCACAGTCGTAGTCGTAGTGGTCGTGACAACATTTGGACGATTATAACGAGTCTGAAATTAAGAAAAAGTTCAGAAATGGAAAATGAATTGATTTCACCGTCGCCGCCGCTGAAGAAGCTCTCTGAGTGGCACCTTCCAAAGTTGAGTTTTTAACGACTGAAAAAAGATTCAAGTCAAAAAATCAGTAATTTTTTTCATTATTTCAAGCTTCTTATGGAGTTTGGATACTTATGAAAGCCAGAGTGATCTCTATAGGGGCTACCTTGGTGGCTCTTGTAGACTCCACTGTAGCGTCCATTTTACTTCCCCTATAAGGAGCTCTAAAGCTTGCAGAAGGGACCACTCTAGGAAAGCATGCTAGTGGTCCCTACAGTAACAAAAAATAAAAGTAGGCGCCCAGATCTGATTAACATTGAGAAAATTAGGAAATCAAGGGTATAGGCCATTTCGCGCCAGCAAAAGGCCAGGTCAAATTTAACCAACTTTCGCTTCAAGACCATTGTTTCTTGCCGTTATAAAGGCAGAAATTTGATCTAATTTGGTATACGGTCTTTTTGGCGGGAACAAAAACGTGACAAGCTGGCGCGGAAAGGGCTACATAAAAAACAATTTTACAAATCCTTCAAACAAATATATATAAATGGTGAAAATGCATTGTCATCTTCTTGGATTTTTGTCTTTTTCACTCATTTACTCGGCTTTTTCAGCCGTTCTCATGTAGTTCTTCTTCTTGAAAGCTTCCAATTTTGATGCGACTCTCAAATTTCGGTTACAAAATTCGCCTTTTTTCATCTTATAACTTGAAAAACCTTCCTAAGGGCTTGGATCACAAAAAACGCTTCCTTAAAAGTCAAAAAAAGGGCAAAATTAATTTTAAAATATCGTTTTAAAAGTTCAAAAAATTGACCTTGAGGGCAACATGCCAATTTCCCCTAAATTCATGAGAATTCGCAAATTTTGGACCGAGAATTTTATATTTTAAAAAAACCAAAAAAATTGAAATCCGTAGAAAAAAAGAAGAAGAGGCAAACATTCAAGAAGTTGGACACTTGAATTTTTGAACTTATAGATTTTTGCTTCATTTTAGGGATTCAAAGAACCTCTCTCACATGTTTAAAGGAGCATAGAGCGGATTCAAAAAGTGTCCTAACAGTTCTTTGAAGTGTCTGTATCTCTTCAAACCCAAAAAAAATTACTTTGGATAGACTATGTATCTTTTTTGAATGACCAAGTACCGAACTCCAGGAGGAAGAGCTGATTTCAAAAATTTTGAAAAAACTAGAGATTAAAACTAGATTTCAAGCCCCGGTGTGACTAAAATGATAGTAAGTTCAGGAGAAAGTACTAATTCATGAAAACTTAAGAAGCCACCTTTGAAAATGGTCTTCCCATATATGATATTCTCAAACTTGCAAGCCCCATGATATTCTGCATACCATTCGGAGCAGGTCTAGACGAGCTGATCGAAGTTCCGACGTTGTTGATCTTCGAGGTGATCGCGGCGAATTTCGGAGCAGGTCTCGCGACGAAAGCCGGTCGAGAAGCACTGGTCGGTCTGGACAAGGCCGGTTTCGGAGCAGAAGTGGGTCGTTGGACGACGTTCGGCGTGACTATCGGCTTCGAAGAAAGGCCGGCGACTCTTGGGAGAGGCTTCATGGAAGACGAGGAAGCGGTTCTGACTGGAGTCGGGGCTGGCTTGGGTCGGACTTGAACTGAACGAGCTGCGGCAACTACTGGCTTTGGAGGAGCTGGACGAGCTACGAAAGGAGCAACCGCCGGCTTCGGAGGAGCTGGTCGAGCCGCTGGAGGAGCTGGCCGAGGTCTCGGAGCGACCGCCGCCGAGGGAACCGCCTTCTTCACCGGCGCCGCAGCCGAAGTCGGCTTTTTCGAAGGAGCTGGACCACCTCCGACGCCGCTATTCTCCGCTAATCGTTTCATCTCCTCGCTGGCTATCTTACCATAGGTCTTTTCGAGTTCCTCGACCATTTGGGGGATCTAAAAACTGATTTTTCTTATGAAAAGCCGTGCTGAAAACCCTGTCGGCCTTGAGTTTGTCCTCGAAGATTTCGGAGAAGAGGCGTTGGGCGATTTTGTCGCCGACGCATTTGCTCGTCGCGGCGACGATTCGCAGCGTTTCTTCGCGAACGTCTTTGTCAGCGTCGTTGGCCGCCTTGGAGACGGCTTCGATCAGGGCTTTCAGGCCGTCGATGTCCATCGTCGTCGAGTCGTTCTTGGCGATGACTCTGAAGGAAATGTTCTGTCATTTTTTAGTGAAAAATAGTTTAAATGAGTGAGTTTCTTACTCAAAACTTTCTGGAAAAAAATCTCCATTTTTTTAAGATCTCTGAAAATTTTCGATTCCCCCCTGCAAACCTGGCCAAAAAAGCGGCAGTTTGAGCCCTCGTCTGCGGATTTTTCCCGGTCAAGGCGGCACTCAGGGCCTCTGTATAATTCGTCAGAGTTGTCTGAAACAAAAATTCTTTTTCTTTTATTTCTACTTTGAAAAAAACCGTAGTAGCGGCCGAATCGATTAATGAATTCAAAGCGTCTCGCAAAACCTGCTTCTTGTCTTTCAACTTGTCGAAAGACACGGGGAAAAGCTGGAAAATCGATTTTTTCAAGTATATTTTATGAATTGATTGTTATACCCGGATAGCAATGGGAGAAAAGGAAAATCTGGCCTTGACGGCTAGTCCTGCAAGTACTTCGGCAGCACAGGAGGCGACATTGACGTTGACGTCTTTTTCGATGATCTGTTGGAGAAATCAAATAAGTTCTGATAAAGTGGACCTTGACTGAAACTTTTTAAATCTTTGCTGAGATTTTTCTTACCAAAGTCCCAAAAAAAGAGATTTTTAAGAACTTTCACTGTTTTTTTCCCTAATTGAAACTCCTTAAAAACCCTGAAATTCTTTTTTCCTTTACCAAGCATACATGGGAAAGTCCTGAAAAAAATGAAGGGGAAGGGGGGCGGACTTGGCACGAGAAAATGGGGGGACTTGACAAAAAAACCGTCAGAAAAATTTTTTTACATGAAGGTCGAGTTTTTCGAACTTATGGTGTACTTAAAAATGTGCAAGGATGAAATTTTAAAGTTGCGAAGAATTAGAGCAAACTTTTTTCTATGACAAAAGCCAACTATGAAAATTCAGAACTCCAAAAATACAAATTTGTCAGAAATCCTAAGGCAGACCCACGAAGAACTTCCATATTTCTCACAAAAACTGCCTTGTGTGATGGAATAAAAAAACGACGAAACAAATGACTTCAAGTTTTTTTTCCCGTCTTCTTACCTTGACCAAAACGACGGCGATTTCTCTAGTCCTTTCGCTGATTTCACAGCGACCCACAGCATCGACAGCTTTTTTCAGGGTTTCACAGCCCTCGAGGCGCTCTTTCCAGTTCTTGTCGACCAACTGGAAGATAGAGGTATTTTCTTTGAGCTTTAAAAAAATTCTTTGGGGTTTTAAAAATCTATGAAAACAAGGTGTTTCGTTAAGAGTGAAGCTAAAGGCTAAAAAAACTCAAAAATAGTTCAATATAAAAAAACTACTTGAAAGTTCCTTAAAACTTCCAGTTTTAGGGATGAATTAGTCAAAAAAATTAGATAATAACTTTCTAACAAAAAAACCCCTAATTAAATCCTTTTTTTGTCTTTCAATTTTTTTCTACCTTATTAGGAAAGTTAGTGGAAGAAAATGCAAAATCAAAAAAATGAAGGGGGCGTGGTCAAAATCACCGCCGTTCCCATGTGACGTCATGGGAAAAAAACAGGAAATATTAAAGGCGCATGTTCAATGGGTCATGAGACGAATCTACTTCTCATTTAAAAAAACGCGATTTTTTTCCGTTTTTTTTTTTTTGAACACATGAAACGCGAAATGCAAAATAGCCACCAGAAAGTGAAAAATATAACTGAATTTCAGAAATTCAGATAGTATTTCGAATTTCGCGAAAATTGTTTAAACACGGTATGTGCGAGAACGGCGCAGTGTATGCACACGACACACTACACTTTACGGGAAAAAAAAAATATGGGCGGGCCAAAAAACGCCGTGATGCGGGAAACTGATCCAAAGCACATATTTCTTCAAATTTGAAGTTTTTTTTTGAAAAAGTAAGAGTTTTAATGAGATCTCAAGCTTCATATGATGATTTTATTGCTTAAAATGAAATATTTTTTGAAGCTTCGAATGATTTTCAAGCTTCTAAACTGGATAGAAAGTAGGAAAACCTGAGTCTCAACGGTTTTCGGGACATTTGCCGTGACATCGACCGGATCCAACAAGGTCCATGGATCAATTGCCGTTGAAGTTACAATTTGAGAAGCTCCGGAAGCTGTTTCTTCTCCATTTTCCTCCTGAAAAATCAGAAAATCCAGGAAAATCAGGAGAAATTCACTTGAGCTTCATCTCCAGTGGCTCCGGTCTGAGCAGGTCTCGCCTTGGCTTTTTCCGCATTTTCAGCCTCCCATTCTTCTCTGGCCTGCTTCTCGTATTGCTCGATCTGAAAAGGGCGGAATTTTGATTTTTTAAAGTTCATATACGAGGGAAATCAAAGAAAATGTTGATGAGGGCCGTAGCGCAATAGGTTGTGTTCCGGACTACGGTCCACAGGGTCACAAGTTCGATCCCCGCCAAATGTTAGCTCAATTTCGAACAAAGATGGTCGCATTTGGAATGGCTCAAAGCGTCGCGGTCGCGTTGCTTTTCAATACAAACTATTCTATTTTCGCGCTCCAACAAACTTTTCTTTCTAAAATTTCCGGCCGCATTTGGAATGGCTCAAAGAGTCGCGGTCGCGTTGCGTTTCAATCTAAACGATTCCTTTTAGTCCGCTTCAATTTTTTTCCAAATACTCTGGTCGCATTTGGAATGGCTCGAAGCGTCGCGTTTCAATAATACCCATTCCGTTCATCCCACTCCAACAAATTTTTCTTTCTAAAAATTCTGTTCGCATTTGGAATGACTCAAAGTGTCGCAGTTCGATATAACCAATCTCATTTTCCTTTACCAACTTTTTCAAGTCGTTTCTGGTCAAGTACTCATGTTTATTCAACCGTTAGCCATTCCAAATGGGACCATGAGCTAAATAATCGTTACGAGGCCAACAAATCTCACTTTTGGAGTGACATAAATAAATAGTTCGCTAGAGCGCACTTTGGTCTTGATAAAATGGCCGTCAATTCAAAGATATTTCCAAAAGTTCATTTTCTTTGATTTTTTTGTTAGAAAAAAATCAATTTTTCATTTTTTTCTGAAAGAAGGTGAAGATAAATGATTAAGGAACAAGTTTAAAGCTTCAAAATTTCAAAAAAACTTTCAAATATTCCAAATTTCGGAAGAGTTAAGATTTTTATATGAAAATAAAACGAAGCTTGAAAATAAATAAAAAAACGTGACGATCCTCTCGAAATGACCGTGAAAATCTAGGGTATTTCCATAAATTGGCGCGTTTCGGCTCGACGACATTCTGAGGAGAGATGTCGTCGGAGGATTCAGATGACATCGTTTTGCCCAAAGACGATGAGGAGCTCCACACGCGCAGAGACAAGTACAAGGTTTCAGTAATTTCTTGGGCGGAAAAAAAGTTCTTTTTATAATTTTTTTGAAGCGGATAATCATTTATAAATGTCTAAAACCTCTCATTTGTATAATATTTTTGAAAAATCATATTTGAGGTGGCAAAAATGTTGGGAAAAGGTGGCTACGGGGCCGTCTACGAAGTCATCCGCGTCAGTGACAACGAACATTTCGCCATCAAGTGCGAAAAAGCGACGGCTGTCAAAAAAGTGAGGATGTCAGGAGAGAACTGGTTAAAATGTGATAACTTTTCTTTACATTAAAAGTTGTCGAAACATTTTCAAGTTCTGGCTTTTCCAGGCAAAGTTAGAAGTCCTGAAAAGTCAGAAAAAAAGTGAAGATATTAAAAAAGAACTGATAAAAGTGTCATTTCGAAACTTCCATTGCTTTTCTTTAATGGAAAAAATAAACTTGTCGAGATTTTAAGAATCTATGGCAGAAGCCCACAAAAGGGCTGCAAAAAATTCGCTAAAAAGGTTTCTTTTGTGGCCCTCTAACAGGCTGCCGCTAGGACTAGGGCCAAAAACGGATGGATAAGGGCGAAAATAGGGTGATAAAAGGGCGCCAAGAGAACCTTTTTAGGGCTCAAAATGGGCGAGAAAAGGGCAAAAATAGGGTGATAAAGGGCGCCAAGAGAACCTTTCTAGGGCTCCAAGCGGGCGGAAAAAGGGTGATTATGGGCTGATAAAAAGGCGCAAAAAGAACCTTTCTAGGTTTTAAAACGAGTGGGAAAAAGGCGCCAAGAGAACCTTTCTAGGGCTCAAAACGGGCGCAAAAAAAGGACGATTGAAGGCTGATAAAAGGGCGCCAAGAGAAACTTTTTAGGGCTCAAAACGGGTGGAAAAAGGGCGCCAAGAAAACCTTTCTAGGGTTCAAAACGGGCGGAAAAGGGCGATTATGGGCCGATAAAAGGGCGCAAAAAAACCTTTATATGCCGTAGATACCTTAGAAACTATATTCTGCTGACGGAAAAGTAATTGAAACATTAAAACGATTTTTTTCCCTTCAGAATGAAAAATTCAGGTGTTACTGATGGACTCGAACGTGATGCAGGGCGCCAAACAGATCAGCAGCAAGCATTTCTGTCAGGTCCTCGACCGCGCTCACGTCAGGGAACGCTTCAATTTTATCGTTATGAAATTGGTTCGTTGGCTTCTTTTTTTACAGCTATATTCTTGAAAATCGGCCGGAGGAAAGTTTGTTCAGATTTTGAATGTCAAGTGGTCGCTCAAGCTCCGCCCCTAATGGCGCGATAAACCAATCAGAGAGCGAGCCATCCACAGAGTGTTTTTGAATGACGTCATTGCACTTGACATTCAAAACTGAACAGAATATACTTCTTGATATCAAAGACCCTAAAAGTCCCAAGTGCCCAACTTTCCATTTTTGGAGAAAGAACACCTCAAAGTCTACGAAAACCTTCAAAAAGCTTGAAAATTAATCTTTTCAGCCTCCAAGTTTCTTGAAAAATTCCCTATTTTGGAATTTTTAAAACCACAAAAACGCTCTAAAAATAAATGTACTCCAGCTCATACCCAAAACGTCTCAAAACGGGCTTTGGAAGAAATTTAATTTAAAAAATAAGGATTTTAATGTAATTTGAGCCTTATTCGTTATAGATTTGTTTTTAAAATAAAAAAAATCTACAGATTGGAAAGAATCTTTGGGATCTGAGGGTCGATAGACAAGATGCCCGTTTCACGCTAAATACGGCTCTAAAATCGGCCAACCAGTGCCTCATCGCCATTGAACAGTTGCACAGGGTTCGTTTTGAAATTGAAAAAAAAAATAGAAAATTTATCGAATTTTTTGAGGGTCATTTTGAGTCAAAAAAAGTTTTTAATCTTTTGGAATTCGAAAAAATAATTGATAAAACGTCCCATTCTGTAATGACTGAATAAAAAAACCTCATTTTCGTCGCTAAAAATTGGAAAAACATTAGAAAATGCTCTAATTTTTTTGAGACATCAAGTCGTTCGGAGAAATTTCGTTTTTTTGATTTTTTTAGGAACTTTTTATAAGTACTATGAGAGCACAATATGACCTCAAAAAAAAATTTTAAACCTGGTGAAACTTCAAAAAAAAAATAAATAAAAATCTCTTTTTAACATATTTTCACGGAAAAAAGTCCATTTTTCGAGCCAAAAGCTCATTTTTGCCTCTAAAAATTGGAAAACCTTGGAAAATGCTAAATTTATTTGTTTCAAGTTTGGCTATCTTCACCGCGACATCAAGCCGGGAAATTTCGCGGCGGGAAGAAAAGAGTCACACGAACACCACATCATATTCATGTTGGATTTCGGCCTTTGTCGGGAATTCATCAAGCGTGACGTTCATTTTTATTTTTTTCTCTTTTTCTTTATTTTTTTTCTTTTTCTTTATTTTTTTTTTTTTCATTACCTAATGGTCAAAATTTAAAAAATGCGCCGCCTTGTGGAGCTTTTCTTGAAGTTTCAGAAGATATCGTTTTTTTCTTTAAAAACTGTTCCAATCCCACCAAATTCCGTTTATTTAAACTTAAAAAAAGCTCAAAATAATCATTTTTTTCAATGAAAAAGCGAAAATGTCTCAATTTTTCGCTTTTTCATTTCGAAAAAACATTTTTTTCGACCAAAAAAATCTAAAAATTTGATCACGATCGATAGCTCTCAAGGTGGTAATTCCTTTGATATGAACGAAAAAAAAATTTAAAAATCGAGAAGAAAAGTGCATGGAAAAAAATTCGCTTTAATGAAATTAAAAATTTTTTTGACTCAGCTTTTTTTAATAGGTTGGACACAGTTAGAAATTGATGAAAATGATAAATTCCAGAAGCTTTTTCTCACGTTCACGAATATTTTTTGACAGTTTTATTTTGAACTCCAGAAAAAAACTATTTGAATCAATATAGAATAGTTATTATTCATTTCTTTTATGTTAACAAACTTTTTGTAATCCTAGTACCCAATTATATTGCTAATAACATGTCTATAAACATTGAAATTGAAGGAAAATAAAGATATTCGAGCAATGAGGGCGTCGGCGCCGTTTCGCGGCACAACACGCTACGCGCCACTTAGCGCCATGCTTCAGGTTCTTTTTTGAAACTTGGAAAATGGAAAAATTAATTGGGGCAATCAAATCGTCTTGTATCAATTGGAAAAAAAGGCTCCAACCTCAAGTCAATCTCTCAATTTTTCTCTTTTAATGGGGGAGAAAAAAAATGAAACTTGAAAAAGATCGGAATTTGGAGAAATTGATGAATATTTTTCCTCAAGAATTTAAAAAAATATACCTAAAGAGCAAAATTATGAAAAATTTCAAAAAAATCTAAAAAAAATATTTTTGTGGGAAAAGGAATTTCATGTGCGGTATATTCTGGTCTTGTTGATACGTAAATATTTTTTTACCGTTATTGAAAAAAATTGGAAGTATCAGAAAAGTATATTCTTTAAATTGCGAAGATTTCGCGAAGTTCGACAACTATTATCTTAAGTTTAAAAATCCAAAAAAAAATTGGAGTATGCGATATTGCGTCTCGGTTTGTACACCCTGAACATCATAGTTCACGGAAGAAACAAAATAAAAGTCGATACATAATTAAAATTAGAGCATAGAATTTGAGCTAATATTTAAAAAAAACAGAAAGATCAATCGCGAAAAGACGACATCGAAGGATGGCTTTACATGGTCGTCGAGTGGACTTCTGGCGGCCTTCCATGGCGAAAATTAAAGGTTCAAAATCCTTTTTTTTAGAAATGAACGAAATTTGAGGCTACCGACCGCGAAAAAGTCCTGCAATACAAGCAGGACATCCGTGCAAAGCCCGACTATCTCGACGATTTTTTTTACAACTGCCCAAAGCGCGAATTCAAGAGGATAATGGATGTGGGAGTTCAATAAAACTCTAAGAATTTGGAGAAGAATACTCCGGAAAAAAAGATCTGCTAGTCTTCAAAAAACAGCGTCAAAAACGAGCTGAACAATTTTAAACCATTTTCTGATAAAGATAAAATCTAGCCCACTCAATTTTACTTTACAAGGTTAAAAAAAAATCACAAAATAATGAAAATTTTTGAATATTCACTTCCAGCAACTCAATAAAGGGGAAAGTACAATGAAAACAGTTTTTAAAGATTTTCTCTCTCTCTCAAATGTGACTTGAAAAATGGAATTTCCATCCTAAGACTATTCACCATAACTTTGAAATCACGGAAAATTAATTGGTAAAGTCGAAAAATCGATATATATTTTCAGTACATCGACACTTTGGACTATTACCAAGTGCCCGACTACAAGTTTGTTCACTTCTGCGTTCAACACGCCGAAAAGGTTAGAGAGATAAAACTTAAGAACTTCTTATGAAATAAAGAGAAGTGTAAAAATATGAAAAAAGGGGCTACTTCCGAAGATTCGAATTTCGGAAAGAAATATAGAAAGAGCGGGCTGAATTTTTAAATTTTAGCCTGATTAGTGATAAGAAATCTTAATGTTTCTTTTTGAAATTTATAATTTTTTTCGGATGCTCCTCGACAGATCCACCTTTTTGAATTCCCACATTCTCGAAACTTTCGAAATTTGGGCTTAATTTTGAGTTTTTTTCTAAAGCTTACTGGAACAGTACTGAAAAAAACAATAATTTTTGATATTTTTCCTTTGAAAAAAATTGTGAAAAATTTTTTTAAAAAAATTTTTTTCTCATTAAATCTTTTTTTCTTGATACTCTCCTTCGACCTCTTTAAACTATCCAAGTTCAATTTTTACGCATTTTTTTTTTGAAAATCGAGCCTAAATTTGAGTTGAGCTTTTCCTTCCGAGGCTTACTGTAACAGTATTGAAAACCAAGAGATCCTTTTGTCCCTCGAAAAATTGTGAAATTTCCAGGCAAACGTTCCCTTTTTTGAACGCTCTTTCGATCTCTTTAAACTATCCAAGTTCAATTTTTACGCATTTTTTTAAAAATCGAGCCTAAATTTTGAGATTCCCCTTCCAAGGCTTACTGTAACAGTACTAAAAAGCACAAAATTCAATTATCCCTTCAAAAATTGTGAAAATCTCCAGGCAAACGTTTACTTTTTTTGAACGCTCTTTCGATCTCTTTGGAGTATCAAAGTTCCAATTTTTAAATTTTTTTTTAAATTTTGAGCCTTTCCTTCCAAAGCTTACTGTAACCGTATTGAAAAACAAGTAGTTCAATTTTCCCTTGGGAAAATTGTTGAAAATTTCCAGGCAAACTTTTACTTTTTTTAAACGCTCTTTCGATCTCTTTGAAGTATCAAAGTTCAGTTTTATTTTTTTCAAAAGTTGAGCTTTTCCTTCCAAAGCTTAACTGTAACAGTACTGAAAGCAGTAAAGCCCAATTTTTTTTAATAGACTATAAGAATTGTTCCAGGCAAACAACTGCAAGGAAACGGACCCTCTGGACTGGGACCCGGACACGCCCTACAACGGCCCGAAGGAGACCCCCGGGGACGGCGTTCCCATCACCTACGAACGTCTTCAGAAGCTCGACATCGACCAGACGATCGAGGCTTCGAAACGAAAAGGTTCCGTCGGGAAACAGGTCAGTTTTTTCCTTTGATTCCATCAAAAATATCGATTTTCAGCCGAAAAAGGGCAAGAAGGCTCAAACACCAAAGGACGAAGAGAAGGATAAGAAATGAATATTTTCTCATTTTTTTGTTTTTGGACAAGTTTAGGCGAGATATCGCGGCTGATGACTATATTTTAAGCCCAAAAAAAATGGAATAAATAGTCAAAAAGCATCAAAAAGTGAGATTTTTAGCGAAAAAAGGCTCAAAAACCGCCGGAAGATGAAGAAAAGATCCAGGAGAAAATTTTCCTTTTTTTTTCGTTTTTTATTTTATTTGGAGAAAAGGTAGAAGTTAAAGCAGGGAATCGCAAAAAAAAAACAGCATCTTCTAGGCAACAGTTAGCGAGAACGAATATAAAAAAATCCACACTTCCCCGGAAAAAAAAATGAGAACCTCTTGAATATTATAATCTTTTAGGGTTCATTCAAGAGCTCACTGAAGTGATAAAAGCATTAAAAATAAGAAAAATTGAGAAATCCCACGTCATTTTTATTTTTTCTTTACCTGTACCTGTAACTAAAGAAGCTACCAAGGATCATTTTCCATTCTAAAAAAAAGCCTGAAAATTTTTATGGACATTAAATTTTCAAATAAGATGAAGCAAGGAGCCAAAACTTTGCCGTTTTCAAGCAAATTTTTGGAAAAAAAAATAGTTCATTCGCCGGGACTTGACAGTTTTTGCGTGTCTGCGTCTCTCTGTTCCCTCATCGACAAGGTCAGAGAAACGTGAAAAAAGCAGGTAAACATGAGAGGGATGTCGAGGGACGAGGAGGGCGCAGAGAAGTCTGATCCTTCCAAATCGGGACAAAAAAATTGTACCTTTTCCATTTTTGCGTTGCCCGTGGCAAGAAGGGCTTTATAGAAAAAATTACTGAAGCTAATTTTTAATATTGACTTTTTCCGATACCTTATTCTTTGGGTGAAAGAAACAACTTGAAATTTTTCCGATTCCAGCAAATTTTGACGAAAATAACGCAAAAACCTGTATTCCTAGCTCCTATTTCGACGATTCATGCTCTGCCAAGGACTTTAGAAAAAGGATCACTGCTATTTTTTTTAAATTCCTTCAAACTTCTGAACCGCACCTATTTTACTAAACTTCTATCCGTTAATCATTCTGTGTTTAATTTCCTTAGAAGCGGCCTCAAAGGCCCTGGGGAAAGTGTTCAGAAATGAACAAAATGTTGATTGATTTCATTACCTTTTCCATTTTCGCGTTGTCCGTGGCGATGGGGCCGAGAAAAGCGGCCGCTCCAGGGCCCAGAAGCCTTCGGATCGATCCGAGAGCCGCGCAGGCCTTGTCCCGAACCGTCACATCACTGTCACTCGCCATCTATATTTTTGAATAGTCAATCGAGCTTCTTCGTATGATCGTTGCTCACAAGAAAAGCATTTCAAGATTCTGAAATTAATCTTAGGAACGCCAGAGTGACCATTAGAGGGACAACTTTAGGCTCCCCTTAAGCGACCACTTAACCTCTCTCTATAGGGCGCTAAAGCTAACAAAAGTGGTCCCTCTAGGCGTTTTTGTCAGTGACCACTCTAGAGGAGCCAGATTTTCAGATAAACTATGATGTTTACCCGCCAGAGTGGCCACTAGAGGGACAATCTTAGGGAATTTTGAAGGCTCCCTTAAGGGACCACTTCACCTCTCTCTATAGGGCGCTGAAGCTCACAAAAGTGGTCACTCTAGGAGAGCCTGATAGAATTTTTAAAACATTTTAATATTTACCCGCCAGAGTGGCCACTAGAGGGACAACTTTGGGGGATCTTCCACGCTTCCCTTAACTACCCACTTCACCTCTCTCTATAGGGCGCTGAAGCTCACAAAAGTGGTCACTCTAGGAGAGCCTGATAGAATTTTTTGAAACATTTTAATGTTTACGCGCCAGAGAGGTCACTAGAGAGGTAATCTTAAGAGCTCTTAAAGGCTTCCCTTAAGGGACCACTTCACTTTCCCTATAGAGCGCTAAAGCTCACAAAAGTGGTCACTTTAGGCGTTTTGTCAGTGACCATTCTAGAGGAGCCAGATTTTCAGAAAAACTATGATTTTTACCCCCCCCCCAAAGTGGTCCCTAGAGGGGCAATCTTAAAGACTCTTGAAGGCTCCCCTTAAGGGACCACTTCACCTTCCCCTCACATGAATGTTGCAAAATGGGCCACACTAGGGGAGCATTCTGGCGGTCCCTCAAAAAAGACAAACAAGGCTCCAAAAAATTAAAAAATTAAAAGACCGCTATAGGGACCACTTAAGCTTTAGGGGCATAGTCTTCAGACCCTTCACCCCTATAAGGACCATTTAAATTTTAGCCCTCTAATAACTGATTTTTCTCTAATCTCTCTAGGGACCACTCCGGTGTTTTCGTGAAGCTTCTTAGGCTTCATAAATTGTCGAAAAATATGCGAAATAGCGTGCAGAACAGCGAAAATTCAAACGGCGACTTTTCCGATTTTTTCAAATCGCTACGGAACTTTCCGACGGCCACCTTTCCGCCGAATCTTTTTACGACTTTTTTTCTCGATAAAATCTTTGTTTTAAATCTTCCTATATAAAGTAGGTAGTTGGTTCTGATTTAAACACAAAGAAATAGGAAAATAATGTTAATAAATGTTTTTAAACCGAAAAATATAAGGGAAAAGTCGGAAAAAGATTCGGCGGAAAGGTGGCCGTCGGAAAGTTCCCTAGCGATACGAAAAAATCGGAAAAGTCGCCGTTTGAATTTTCGCTGGTCTTTTTTTCATTCTACCTTCATGACAGCGAATGTGTAAATCGATTTTTTTCGCAAATAAAGTATATATTTAAAATATTCCTGAAACGGGGTTCAGTGTTACTAACGAATTTTTCATTTTTTTCCCGGAAAAATTTTTTTAAATCTATATTCATATATTCTTTTTTTCCGCCATTACGAATTCTAGAAAACACGTTTTAGAACACAAAAATTCATTGATACGTTCAAAAAAACTCAAATTTTTTTTTAGAATAGTTTTCTCAAAATCTCGATTTTCCCTTAAGAGAAAAACTTTTGGAAATTTCCCTTCAAAAAAATAATAATGAACCTTGACGACCAATGGCGTGACGGCTTTGAAGAAGGGAACATCAACGGCGTCAAGAAATTTACAATATCTGCAAAAAAATACAACTTTATTCGAAAAAAATCACGAAAATTCCAACTTATAAATGAATTCGAGAAGGGTTTGCTTGACTTCTGGCGACGGCAGAGCCATTCCTTCCATTAAATCTTTTTGGATTCGTTCCGGAATCGTCTAAATTCAATAAAGTTATCGAATTTTTTTGACGTTATTTTTGGCTATAAGTTTTCTAAATTCATAGTTTTTCAAGTTTTTCTGGTCCTTAGAAAACCGTCTGAAGGCTTCTTTGACCTGGAGAAGTTTCAAAAATTTTGGAAAATCCAAGAAAAAATTGAAAAAAAAAAGCTGTTTTATACCATTTTTTTGACCATGGAAATGCAAAAATCAGCCTAAAAGTTCTACTTTCCGTTAAATATTGAACTTTTTTCTCCGAATTAAAAAAAAACAATAAAATTTTTCATCCAAATTAAAATACATATTTTGTGAATTGTATCCTGTAAAAACCTCCAAAATTCAAAAAAACCCAACAAAAAGGTTCCTTGAAACAGGCTTATAATCTATTATTTTACAATTTCGATATTGAGTATTTTATAATGATAAGCTCATCATAAAAAAATACCAAAAAAATTGATGAAAATCTTTTTGAAAAAAAGAATTTTTTTCTTCAGAATAAATTAAAATTTAATATTTTTTTCTTCCATTTTTCAAAAACTGAACCGTTTGGGAAACGGCAAAAAGAGCACTGGAAACGGCGTCGCGGACGTTTTTTTCTTCTTGTCTTTTGATCTTTTGATCAGAAATGGGAGGACCTGGAAATTAAAATGTGTAAATTTTTTTCGATTTAATAACAAGTTATAGCGTAATTTTTTTGTGAGAATTCGCGAAAAAAATGAAATTCGCTGGATTTCTGTTTTAAAAACTTCGGGAAAAAAAACCATTTATAGCCGATTTATACTGTTTTGAAGCTCGGACAAATTCGAAGAAACGTAATTTCAAGCTTAAAAAATGAGATAAACCCATAAAAAAAATTTTTTTCGCAAGAAATTTTGTTTTCGGTTTAAGAAGCTTTAAAAGTTTCAGTCAATTTCCAACTAAATTTCGAGCGCCTAAAACAGAAAAACGGATTTTTTTTGATATTTCTCGACAAAAAAATGTACATAAAAAGGTACATAAAGGGATGTTTTGAAAGAAAAGGTACATCTAATAATCTAAAAAAGAAAAATCCTACCATTCCGACAAATGGACCAAATTTGGTTCGAAGACCCTGGGCCAACAATTCGGCAGTTCTTGCCGCCGTGGAAACCACGACGATGTTGGATTCTCGGTCGAGAATCTGCAAGAAATTTATTTTCAAATGTCAAGGAATCTAAGAATTTAAAGTAAAATGACAAGGAAGCCAGTATTTTGAGAAGAAATGTCAATAAATAGAGGAATTTCGGGTAATTCAAGACGAAATATGGAAAAATGTTGAAATTTAGACGGAGAGGTAAAAAAAAAATTAAAAAATACGGCAAAAAACTAAAAATCTAGTTTTATGTTGAGATATTCGGGAATTTTGAGAGAAAAAGTCAATATAGGAAGTTTTAAGGTGAATTATTAAAAAAATTGTCATTTCAAGAAAAAATTTTTGAAAAAAAAACTAGGAATTCGAGGTGTATTTCGAAGAAAAATCGAAAATTTAGGTGAAACGTCAAGAAAATTAAGATTTTGTGGAAAATTTGGGAATTTGAAATAAAAATAACAAAAAACTTGAGTGTTTTAGAGAAAAAATCAAGAAAAATTGGAATTTAAGGTTTATTTTGAAGCAAAAAAAACAGAACCTGAGATCAAATATCAAAAAGTTGAGGTTTCGAAAAAAAGGAAAGAAATGTGAAAAATTTGAAGGGAAAATTTAGAAAAAAATTGGAATTTGACTTCAAATTTTGAGAAAAAAATGACAAGAAATATAGGAAATTGATCAGAAAAATTCGGGAAATTATGACAAAAAAACTCAAGAAACTTGAGTTTTTTTCAGAGAAAAATGTCAAAAAAACTATGCAAATTTTTAAGGAAATAAGATAATATTAGAATTTGTTAAATTTTTCAGAAATATTGACGTTTTGGAGGTAAAATTCATTGAAGATCCATGAAAAAATTCAATGAAGAAGGGACTTAAAAAAACATTAACAACAAGGAAATTCGGGCATTTCAGAGAAAATGTGAATAAATATGAGAATTTGAGGGATTTAAAAAAATCAAACCCATACGTGGGCTAACAGGCTGTTTTTCACTTTCGGGCCCCCCTATTCATTCAGGTGGCTTTCTAAGCCGCGGAAAATGCATCCATATTATTTATCGAGCTTTTTAAAGTACATTTAGTAGGAAATTCGTTGCCTATCTTTTTGCCTAGCTCCGAACGGTAGATAAAATCGCGGGGAATCGTAGAAATAGCCTTATAAAAAATTCCAGAGCTGATTAATCGACCTGAATCCTAGTTTAAATGGTACTAATGAATGAAATATACATGCTTACCAAATTTTAAGCCGTTTGGAAAATATTTAAAAAAAAATCAACTTTTGACCCCATAAGAAAATGATTTCTGGAAATCTACAATTTTTTGGCTCAAAATCGTTATCAACTTTGAGTTAACTCTAAATAAAGTATATGCTTCAAGTTTCCAGGCTTCAAAATTCAAAATTTCAAGATATCAATTTCCGGTGACCCAAAAAATTATTTTTCTTAAAACTCATCCAAACGGCTCGAAACTTGGCCAAATCATAAAACTCACTTCATAATGTAGGATAACATTGAAAACAGATCGATTTTCGGATTTTGGGGGTCTACGCTAAAAGTTGAAATATTTCTGTTTTGGAGTGTTGACACCTAGCTGAATATACTTCCGAAAGCCCGCGAAACAAGATAATAGTCTCATTCAATTTTTATCTTTACTTTGATAATCATTTCACATCGAAAGTTATCCGCGGGGGGGTACGTACTTTTTCAAGGGGGGTACGTGATGACGTCACAGAAAGTAGTTGGTTAGCCCATGTATGATCAAACCTTCCTCAGTTCATCCATAAGTTCCCCGTAAATGGTCAAGGACGTCGTGGAAAGTCTCGGATTTTCCTCCATCAATTTATTCAAGGCCTGGAAAATCAGGTCTCATTTGATTTATTGGTTCGAAGAGCAATTTTGGCAATTTTCTGGTTTTTTTTTAATTACGATATTAAACTTTATCGAAAATATCGCTTCAAAATGGCTAAAAAAAGGAGTTTTCTGTCAAAAAATGTCCTAAAATCGATTTTTATATAAAGTTCAAGCTACATTTTTCAATATAAAACCAGAAAAACATGAATTTTCGCAGTTTTTTTACCTTTAAAAAAATCCCATTTTGCTCGACTTATTTGGTTTTTTTCGTGGAAAAAAACCTTCATTTTTTACCGGAAAAATGTAAAAAAATATTTTTTTCCGTCCATTTTTTTCCATTTTTTTCCTGTAGAAAAAAACCTCCAAAGCGTCGCGTCTTTCGCTCCATTTGCCCCCTTCAGTGACCACTTTCCGGTGTTCGGCCGGCCATTTGGAAAGGACGTCGACCTCGTCGAGAAACGTCCACTCGTCCATTTCTCAAAAAAAATAAAAAAAGTTTCATGGAAAAATTCGGAAAAAAAAAGCATTCTGGAAAATTTGATCACTTTTTAAAATGCTTATTTTTTCGATTTTCAGAGTTTGAAATAATTTTTCGATAGTTTTAAGGTGTTTGAGGACCCTGGTAAGTATTCAGAAATCTATCCATTCTATGTATAATTCTTAAGAACGTCAGAGTGGCCCCTAGAGGGATTAAGGAAAAAAAATCCCCTATAATGGACAGAATAGTGCTCCCTAGAGGGCTATTATTTAGGTGGTCCCTATAGGGTTTCGGAATCTCAGTGTTGAGCCCTTAAAGCCTAAGTGGTCCCTAAAGTGGTTTTTTGAAGTTATCTTATGATTTGAAAGATGAAAAGCTAAGAAGATCCCCTAGAGTGGCCATTTTGCAAGCCTTAGTGTGCCCTAGGAGAGTGGTAAAGTGGCCCCTGAAGGGTAACCTTTAAAGGCCCTAAGGCCACCCCTCTAGGGACCTCTCTGAAGTTCCTAAAGTTCAAAAATGCCCTAAAATTCCTGATTTTGAATCCCGAGTTTTAAAAAAAATGTTATTAATTTTTTCAAAAATCACTTTTTTTCAGTTTTGTTCATAAAAATTGTTCTTTAAGGTCACTAAAAATCATATTCACCTTAAATTTTTTTATTTCAACTCAAATTTAGAGAAAAAAGCACGAAATTCTATTTTTAGGCAATTTGAAACTGTCCGAAATGCCGAATTTTCAAAGTTTTTGATGATTTTTGAAGCGAAGAAAAAAACTACTTTTTTTCGAAAAAAAGCCAATAAAAAAATGTTCAAAACTTTCCAGAATGTCTTGAGAAAACATTAAACGAAGGTCTCGACACGATAAGCGAGATAGTACACAAAAAAAGAAGAGTTAGACGACTATAGAATGAATTTTTTTGCTAAAAGACACGTCTCACGCTTCGAATAAAAATGAACTTTTACGCAAAAAGACACGTTTTTTTATTGAAATTTCTTTAAGGATTCATTTTTTTCTTCTATATTTTCAAAATTTTTTTGGAAGTTTTTTTCACAAAAAAATCGCTCAATTTCAAGCTTTCAGCCGTGCGATTTTTGATGAAAAATAAAAAAATTTAAACTTTTTTTAAAAAAATAAATCCAATATTAGATTTTTCCGTAGACATAACCAAAATCAAGAATTCTACCTATTTTTGAATTGAAAAAAACTTCACAATTTTTCAAAAAAATGCACACCTTTTGCAGTACGCCTAAATTTTTTTACTAAATTCCAAAAAAATTATCCAGATCATTTCAATTTTTTTGTGAAACAGTAAACTGAGGATATTTCAATCAAAGAATTTGTTCATTTTCAAAGTACAAAAAGTTTAAAGGCGCATCAAAAAAACTTTTTTTAAAAAGTCGAAATTTTTTTGATTTTTCATCATAAATTGAAGATTCTTGGTTTGACCACTAGCAAGAAATACTGAAAATAAAATAAAAAAATCGGATTTGGGTGAATTTAAAGGAAATTTAACAAATACTCCTTCTGAAGAGACCAGAAAAATCAATAAAAAAATAATAATCTCTACTTGAACTGAACATGAAAAAAACTCAAAATAACTTTGAATAGACACTAATCCCGTCATAATGGAAACGTCAGACTACAAAATCCTTGACGAAAAACAAATATTTCTTTCCGTAACAATATTCGGATTTCAATGCAAAGATCTCCTGTCTTACAATGAATTTTTATGAAGGGCACTCGCAAAAAACTTCAAAAAATAAGAAAACGAGAACAGCAAACAACGGACGGCAACACGTGCATATAGAAAACTGATTGCAAAATTATAACAAAATTTGAAAAAATAGGAAAAGAAAAAAATGAACAGACAACAATCAAGATCATCGCGAGATAAGCATTCGGGTCGATAGAAAAGGAGAAAAAAAGAAGCAAAGGGATAGAAACGGGAGTAAAGCGGGCACTCGATTCAAAGGGACACTGAAAAAGAAGGTTGCGAAATCACCGACCAATTTCCGAATTTCGAGCAACTTTTGGGAGAAAAGAACAAAAAAAGCACACAAAATTGGGCGAAAATCACGGAAAAGTGGGGGAATTATTGTGGCATTTCTTCGTTTCTTTCCTTTCCCTGGGATTTCTTCGTGCCCGAGACGATGTCGTCGATGCGGAGCAACATCACCTTTAAATAATCCATGAAATCATCAAAATTTTGATTATCCGGCAGTTTTTTTCGATAAAAAAACAACCAAAACAATAGTCCGAATAACTGAATTCTAACGAAAAAGACAAATTAGTTTCGGAAAAAGAGTTTAAAAAAATAATTCATAAGCTGTTTTTTTGATTATAAAATGATTTTTTTGTTCGAATTTCGTTTTTAAAAAAAGAAGATTAAAATGATGAAAAAAAGCTGATTAAAATGAAAAAAATCAAAAAGTTTTTCTGCAAAAAAAGTGTTTCCGGTGAAAAAATCATTTCAGCTCAAGTTTTCTAAAAATTTTTTTGTTCCCTGAAAATTTTGATGAGATCATTACCGGAATAAAAAAATCTAATATTATTCAACTACAAAATTGGAGTTATAGGCATATAGGCGGTCAAAGTTATGGGAATATTTTCAGGAAACAGCATTTTCAGACAGAATTAGCTATGGAAATTTCGAAAATCTACTCAAATTTTCACTTTTCTAGGGGAAAACTTCTGCCATTTTGAAATTTGAACGTTTCGAATCAATGAACGGCCAATGCGTGTCAGGTTTTTCAGAAGAATTATGGTTTTAATAGCCAAAAAAAAAAAACAGAAAAGCGAAAAAGAGGTAGGAAAAACTTGGAGACAAGCTCCATTTTTTTTCTCTAATTCTCCAAAACTTCAGGGAGCCAACCCCTCCTTCCGGGCAGTATGAGTTCTGTACTTGCCCATCTTAGGCTGACTATAAAGTTTTGTGGAATTTCAAGTAGATATTCGGAATCACAACAAAGTTTAGAACAAAAATCGATGCCCTAGAAGCGATTTTTAGAAAATGAGGAAACATTTACCGAGGTCTCCACAGCGGTCTTCAGAACTTGGACGCGGACGGTCAGTGGATCCCAAATGTCCAAAGTTTTCATGTCGGCCTTAAATTTATCATTTTTTGTCAATAAAGATTTCAGGTTCAATTAGATACGCATTTCAAAAACAGCTAAACAACCCTATTCGATTCGAAAAAATGAAAATTTGGAACTCGTACCAATTCGCCAGTGGTTCCATCGATTCCCCAAGTCCAGTTATCGGCACATTGAGCGTGTTTTGCGCGGAGAGACGTCAGTTGGCGGATCGTGCTTCCGCCGCAGTTTTGGATCAAAGTCCGTGGAATCACCTGAAAAAATGAAATATTATTATATGAACTTTTTGAAGAAAAATGTCAACTTGAAGCAAAAATTCAGAGAAGAGAAAGAATATTGAGAATATGAAAATCAGGGAGGAGGAAAAAGAACTTTTCATTTTTTTAGAAGTTTAACAACTGATTTTTCAGTTATCATTGTAAAATTTCATACTCTTCTTTGCAAATATTCATAGATTAACAACGCTTCTATGAAATTTTTGAAATAGGAATACAACTATTTTTTTGAATGAAAGTCCGTGGAATCACCTGGAAAAACGAATAATTTCACAGTCTGTCAGATTCGAAAAACAATTTTATAAAAAAAAATATTTAAAAAAACCTCCAAAGCCAAGCCGATCGCCTTATACGGCCACTGCTTGACGCCTTCGATCGACTTTTCCCTTCTCCTTGATGCTCTGGAACAATTATTGAGAATATTACTTTGAAAATAAAAAAAAGAAGCTTATTTTGATAATACTTGTGTAGAAACTATTGAAAGTTTATTTTCTAGAAAATCCGGACTTTAAAATCAATTTTCAACTTATAGCGTTGGATACTTTTTTTCTTCTTTTTTTCTGATAATATGTCATAAAAATTCTTTTTTTATAAATAAAAAGACCATGATTGGCAGTTAAATATACAAAAAAAAACCTGAGCCAGAGCCATTTCCAAAGCGCCTCCTCCGGGAACAAGCTTCGGGTTCAGAAGGACATTTCTGACGACGTGCAGAGAATCTTGAAGATTCCTCTCGACCTAGAAAACAAAATTTTTTGACAAACAGTATCGAGAAAAACGCAGATTCCAAGTTCAATATACATCAATTAAAGATGAAAAAGTCTCGAAATATTTAAAAAGTAAAAAGGTTGACAGTTGAAAATACTATGGAAAAAGACTGAATATTTTTCACAAAAAAATCTCCTTTATAGATCTAAAATAATCTCTAAATTCGCTAGATGGTTTTTTTAAATAGCTTTTCTTTCATTTTTCGAAGAATTAAATTTTCGAGGTGACTTTTCATTATTATTATTATCACATATGATTTTTTTTTTCTATTTCAATTCAATTTTTCAGTTCACCTCATTGATGACATCCTTAGAAGGTCCACGAAGAACGACAGTGCAAGCCGTGGTAGTCGACGACGTCACATAGGTGTAATATCTTCAAAATCACAAATTAGACTAAATATACAAAATTCGAACTAACTCATCGGCAATCTTGGTAATCTCGAAAAGTTCAGCTTTTTCTCCAACGTCCTCCTCGCGCAAATCCGCCGTGTCGTGGACGATTCGAGCGCCGCAAACTCTTAAAAATATCAAATTTCACCGAGTTTCTTTCAATGTTTTTTTTTTCAAAAGTGTGCCTTCTAAAAGAAGTCATCCTGTAAGGAAAGTGCGCCGAAACTCCTAGAACTATCAAATTTCAAGGAATTTTTTTTAGGTGGTTTCAATTTTTTGCTCTCTTATAATTTTCAAATTTTACAAGCGTCCCGAAATCGTTTCACTTAAAAATAAAACGTCTGAACTTAATTTTTCTCATGGAATCCTGAAATTTATTATTTTTTCGGTCATAGGGTTCCTAGTTTCGAGCTTCTCACTGGAATATTTTTTGGTGCCTATCTCGTTAATAATAAAGACAAATATCATAAAAACCGGAATTTTCTTTGATTCTTGCCGTTTTCAGCATAAAAAAGGCGGCTTTTTTGTAATTGACTATGTACAGTTTACTCTAGAAATAAGAAAGGCCCGAAAAAATAATCATTAAACTCACTACAGAAGCAAACTTTTTAATCTATACGGGTCCAAGCTACTAAAAATGTTAACTCAAAAAGAAAAAAAAAACCAAGCTCTCAATAAACATTCAATTTATTTTTAAAATTACTACTTTTTCCTTTGATTTTCCTGTTTCTACCTGGCCAATCTGTTGTTATCAGTCTTCTTGAGACGACGAAGAGCCGTGATTCCGGCCTTGAGCAAAAAGTGTTGAGCCAAGTCGGAGATGCCCTTCTCGGTGAAGACGAGGTCCGGCTTCAGGCGGATGATCTCGTCGCACTGCTTTCGGATCGCTTCTTCTTCCTGGGACATTTTTTGAGCTGATTGATAAGTTTCGCTAGAAAACGTTTATCAGTTGAAATATCGAAATTTAGCTTTCTATCGAAGTTTTTCGAATTTTCCTTGTTTTCTCCTTATTTTTTCCATCTCCTACATCCATGTAAGTCACTGAAAAAATGAACAAAATATAGAAAACTATAAAAATAACTTTATCAAAATCTAAGATACAGTTCAATATTAACAGATTTTTAATTCAAATTCACAACTTCTGGACATTTTTTTCAGAAAAATTGTGAGAAAATAATATTTTTAGTCTCATTTTGTTCAACTTATTGACTAGATAACGCATTTTTTTCTTGTATATTCATATTTTTCGGAGGTAAAAAAATATTTTTTAAAAAAATGCTTAATATGAAAAATTTCGGTTCAAAAAAAGCACGTCAAAAAAATTTAGGTTCACATATTTTTCTAAATTTCTCTAAATTCTGAGAAATACTGGATAAAATTCACATTTTTATCACAAAGAAAAAGTTAGTGAACTTGAAAAACGTCTAAAAATCAACCCGAGAAATGAAACTTGATACTGATTAATTCTGAAACTGCACAGTAATCAGAAAAAAGAAGAAGAGTAACCTGCTCCAAGATCTTGGAGATGTCCTCCTCGCGCATAATCTCAAGACTCGTCTGCGATTCTCCTTTCTTGTACTCCAAATTGCAATCCAACAGAATGATGCGCGGCTTTTCGATACGGCGACGCATTTTCGCGTGGGTCACGTCCTTGAAAATGACAGGATTTTTCTTTTTTTCAAAAGATTTTATTTGAAACCTTGTTGAGGACAACTCCCTTGACGACTTTGCAGTCTTCAATCGTGCCGCCGGGGATTTTCTCAATTCGGCAGTACCTGAAATGTTCCTTTTTTTGATATAACTTCTATGTAATCAAAAATTTTTTTCAATTTGATTATTTTTTTAGCTTGATGAAAAATCCTTTTGAAGGGATTGAAGACATGAAAATCTTGAATTACCAAAATATGACGCTGACTCTTTTTAGATTTTTCAATTTTATTCCAAAAAATTTTTCTTCTAACCCGTTTTTTTAATTATAAATAGATTTGAATGTAAGGGCATCAACTGAATCTTAGATAATTATAATATAAAAAAACCCCTTAAGAAACCGGCAACACATTTAATTCGAATAATTTATAAAAAAATCCCTGGCTTATTCTCTATTCATTGTAAATACAAAAAAACAAGAAAAATTTTTCAAATTACTTGATTATTTGACTGAAAAAAATAAAAAAATATTTCTTATACGTTGAAATCACGCTTTAAAAAAACTTGTCTTAATGTCCATTTCGTTCAAAATCGTTTAACAGTCTTCAGAAAATTAAAGAAAAAAATTTTTCATACGGGTCTTGAGGCGAAGAGCCGTTTTTCAAAGGTCATGACTCGATTTTTCTTTGAAAAACCCACAGAAACTTGGAATTAAGAAACATTACTTTAAATTTATAATGCGACTTTCAAAAAAATTTAAAATAACCACCAGGGTGTGGAAAAGATAACTGAATTTCGGAGAGTCAGAGATAATTTTGAAATTCACGAAATCATCTAAATCTTATGAAAGTTACCAAATCTCATGTTTCGAAACAAACTTTTTGTCTTTTCGAGAAAACTTTCTATTTCTACAACATCCACCTCTTGATGTCGATCTCACTGGAGCCTCCGCGATCAACACGAATCGTCTTGACGGCCTCCAAGGAGATCTGAACGGCCAAATCCATCCATTTGCTGATCATCTTCGTCCCCAGGCAGGATTTGACAACAGTGGCCACCTCAAAATCAATTTTTATCATTTTATATCATAATTAAATCTAGAAACCTCGTCGTCGTTGTTGATATCAACGGGCTTGTTGAACTTCTCCTCGGCCAACTTAATCATGTCCTCCAAGGCGACTCGATAAGCCTAAGTTTTATTTATTCTTTTCGGTATTCGTGTTTTTTTTTCACTTGAATGATGATGGTCGGGTGGATTTTCTGCTCCAAGAACGGCTGAGCCTGAGACATGACTTCTCCGGCCAAAACAATGACCGAAGTCGTTCCATCTCCGGTTTCTTCGTCCTGAATTAATGAGATTTACCTTTTATTCAAAATTTTTCTCACCTGGGTACGAGCAATGTCAATCATACTCTTGGCAGCAGGGTGCTTCACAGTGATTTCTCTAAAAAAAAATGCTTTTATTATGAAATTTCGATTTATTTTCCACCTAAGGATTGCATTTCCGTCGTTGGTCAAGACTATGCCTCCCATGGGGTCCATCAGCATTTTCAGCATAGCCCGTGGGCCCAAGCTCGTTCGGATAACGTCAGCGATTGTCTGAAGAAAGCGAATTACACACAAAAATGAGTTGAAAAACGAACTTTGCAGGCAGAAATATTACCGACTTGAACCTGATGGCCGCTTTCGCGCTTAGTTCCTTGACTAAGCACGATAATCGGCTGTTGTCCTGCTCCTCGCATCATGATTACCTTAATAAAATGAAAATTAAAACATCTAACAAATCTTCGACGAAAATAGAAGGCGAAAATACTGCCGAGAAGCCTTATGTGAAAAATTCCACCATCTGTGAGATTTGAATGACATTTATGATGATATTTAACTTCGAAAGATGTAAATAAGAAAGCCGAAACAAGAAAAACTTAAATTTGCATAGTAAATCGAAAAATATTGATTTTTTTACGCTTAAATTTTTCCGATGCAATATCAATGTTTCATCTAACACATTATGCCCTCAAAAATGTTATTCGCACAGAAAAAACAGAAGGAACACAAAATAAAACTCAAATTTAAAAAGAAAAGTTGAGATGCCCCTCTTTTCCAGTGCTTTCAAAGCGTTCGCGTCGAGACCCGTAAATTCCTCTTCGCCGCGCTTGCCAACTTTTTTTGTTTATTTTTTTTTCAAAAGGGTTTTTTTATAACTTTTTATTTATTTTTATTCAAAAATATGACCTAATTTTTAGTGCAATAAGCTTATTCTTATCTTAAACAGCAGATTGGATTTCTTGAGCCTTATTGATTTCTTTTACACACCGCGTAAATTATGCAGAGCCAAAACGGCTATAGCAGCTGAGAAAATATCGAGCTTTTCGTGAATTTGCGTGTATTCTTTGATTGATCAGATGCAAAACAGCATAATTTAGTATCCCAAGAGGACATTTTGGGATAATCTATTCATTTTCAGATATTCTTTAGACGAATTTTGTCCAATGTACGGCGGTTACGGTTAGTTTTTTCTCGATTTTTCATGGTTTATTACTTTTTTGCAGGTCCTCCTTATTCGGATGGTCGACCTCCAGGGGGTTATTCCGATTCTGCTAGGAATCCGCCTCAAGTAAATTTTCAAACTTCTTTTCAAGTTACAGTTGTTCAATTTTGTAGGATATGGGTCGTGGAGACTATGAAAGTTTTATGCGACTTAATATGCATTATCCACCGCAACAACCAAAATGGAACGAATCGTGGAAACATGAACAACTTCATTTCGATCATCGGTTTGAAAAAATTGATTGGGAAGAGGTTATTTTGGAAATTCAGGCCGATGGAAAGGCCTCAGTTCGATATGAACAGAGCCCGAGAAGATAGTTGGATGTCGGATCGACGTTTCAATCATTTTCCTGAAAGTGATAGAAGGTTCGATGAATTGCTTTGAAATAATTTTTAACTTGAATTTTAAGGAGAGACCACAGATTTGAAATGGAACAGCCAAGATTGAGATCTCGCTCTCCGCCAAGATTTTCGAATTTTGGAATTGAAAGGGAGTGGGAATCGGGCGAAGGCTCAAGAAGAGACGAAAGAAGACCTTTTGAATATGGAATCGGTTAGAAACTAGCTTTGATTTTAAAGGCGCATAGACTTTTCAGTGTGATTTTTGATCAAAAATTACTTCTGCGCTTTTGAAAATTTACCAAGAATCTCCCAAACCGAATTTCTATTCATATTGTTCTTTTAGAAAGAGCTCCAGAAGTGTTGGATCAACCGTTTTTGGACAGAATCGGCGCCAAAGTGTACGAATATTGATTTTTCTTCGATTTATTAAAATATTTTGTTTTTTAGAATGCCTGACGGACGTCTAATGAACAAAGAAGGCTTCACTCTCCGTACCAGGGATCCTCATTGCGACGCGGTTTTCAAATATTACCCAGAAAACATTTTATAAAAATAATTTTTTTAGCCTTCACCCCCGCTTTTCAACCCAGGGAGAGAAAGAAGAGAACGGGAACGCGAAGAAAGATTGGCCGCGGCTCAGATGGATCCTCAAATTTTGCAGAAGGTTTGAAACTTTTTTTCTCTGTGTTTTATCAAAATTTTGTTTTTCCGCTTTTTATGTGTACAGAACTCTTTTTCTTGAAATTTATACGATTTCGAAATTTTGTTGATTTTCTTGCCCTCTTGGTTTTATCACTGAACTTCTCGTTATCAATTCTGAGTTTTGCATCAGTTTTTCCGATATTTATCTTTATTTTTTTATCAGTTTTTCACAGAAAAAGTTTTTTAGATTCTTCTTTTTTTCAGAAATTCGTTAAACTTTATTGTTATTTTCTGTTTGGTTTTTTTTTTCTTGATGTTCAGAAACTCTTTTTTTAATTTGAAAATGGGAAATTTAGCTTTAAAGAACAGATTTTCTATTCTTGAGAGGTCTTTAAAAAAACAAATATTCCGACGATTTTTTCATCGCCGTCCTAATGGCATACCTTGTGTAGGAAACATGGAAAAAATCCTAAGTTTTGGGAATTTTTTAACACCTCAAACTTTATTGCACTTGTTTTTTGAATCTTGTTGTCCGATTTACTGAATTTTAGCCCATAAAATTGAAAAAAAGACCTTTCATTAGTTAAAAATCTGTAGAAAAAGGATCAATTTCAACTGAATCTACTGTCTTTACTGTCCTAATGCTTCCAAAAGCCCGAATCAGTTGAATATTTCGAAAATTTCATCATTTACAGAACGCCGAGCTGCAAATTGCCATGATGCAGAACATGAACAAGCGTCAGGAAGAAGAGAAACGCGATGATTCGCGCCAGGAAATGATCCCACGGGCGCCGACGCCGCCGGGGACTTTGACGGCCGTCGACGGAGAAGAAGCCTCCGCCCAGGGCAGGCCCGCCCTCAACTTGGCCTCTGCCGTCGCGATTGCTGAGGCTGTCGCTCAGGTTGGCTTCCTGTTCTTGAAGGAATGATTGAATTGATTTCCTGGGACTCGAAATGCCTTGAAACTGCCCGGAATGGCTCAAATCGAGCTGCATTTTGTTGGCTAAACTATTTTAGTACAGCTCCTTTTCTTCATGATGCCCTTATGCGCAAGTAGGTTGAGGTCGGGCGCGCGAAAATAGCAAAAAATTTGAGCCATTCCCAATGCGGCCAAGGGTTCATTTCGTGTAAAATTGGTTTTTTGGTTAAATATCCCTGAATGACTTTTTTTTAAACTTTGTGTTTATGGGATTTTCGTTTTGGATCGGAATATTTGTTCAATTTAAAAAGTTACAAACAATAATTTCGATTAAAAAAAAACAAAATATGTATATTATTTTTCAAGTGGAACGACTCGAATATAAGAATCCGCAGTTGAGAATTTTTCAACATACAATTTACGTAATTTTTCTTTTTTTGGCAGAACAGAATGGGTAAAGTTATCATTTAACATACCTAAATATTAACTGAGGCCGGAAAATAAAATATAATATTTATAAATAGGGGAATATGAAAATAAATAAATGAAAAAATATCGAGATTCCTCCTCGGTAGAGTTCTTAACAAAAAGATTAAAATAGAAGGGTTTTCTTTGTCCCAAACGAACAAGAAATAAAAGGATTATACAAGGAGATAAATGAAAAAGGACGAATTATAAGTTTACTCACTCTTTTTCAAAATGAAAATAAAAGTTTACAATAATAACAACACTGTTGGGAAATAAAATAAAAAAGATTGGTCTTCAACCTCTTTGGTTTAGAAGTTAAGTTGGGTTTGGTATTATCTCATCAGTTTTTGCCCAATAAATGCTGGTTTATAATAATAATTGTATAATAACTGTTTAATAATAACATAATAACTGCTCTCCTATCCAGTTACATAACATCCTTGACCGTCCCCGTCAGTTCAGAGAAACGGTTGCAAGCCAATAAGAACGAAACCTTCAAAGGCTTTTTTCAGTTTTTTTTTTCTCGCTAATGTTTGGAACGACATTGACCATGAATGATTGGCAGAAAACTCAAAAAAACGTTCGAGGAAATTTTTGTAGCGTATGCAGAACATGTTGGCGTCGAACATGTACTTTCAAGAGTTCATAGGTTTTTGCCGTAACCAAATTGATCCACTTCGTCGTCATTTTCATCCCCTGCACCAGGTTCCGTAAAATAAAGCAATTGAAGATAATTGGATGAAAAGCTGCGAAACGATACAAACTACAAATTTAGTGCCGATCTTGATCGAAATAATAAACAAAAAGTCAAATACTAACAGTTTTGGGAGGTGAGAGATAATGAAAGATAAAACGTATAATAAAAAGAGAAGTTAATCATAGAGAGTTCCGCGAACTTATCATGGTCTTTAAAAAAAAATTTTAAGAAGAAAAACCATAGTACAGGACACGTTTTTGAGCCCGCTTTAGGACATGTGATCTGAAGGATTACGGTATTTCGGCCAGAAAAAAAATGTGACAAACCGGGGCTGTAAGAACAGCTGCGGATTCTTTCAAACTCGATGTCGTTCCCAATAAAAATGATAAATATTAAAAAAATTAGCTTCCGAAAAAAACTTAAAGAATTTTTTTGTGAAGAAAAATTTAACAAAATATAAATAAAATAATAAATGTAAGGCGCTTTGCAGCCCGCTGGTCAGCCAAACACTGATGGCGGCTCAAGCGGACAAGGTACACCGAAAAAAACTAGAAGAGGAGGAAAAGGAAGAGGCGGTAAAAGAAAGGCCAGCAAAATCGCCCAAGCGATGGAAAAAGCCGCCGAGGGAGAAACTCCCACAGAAGATAGTCCGACTCCCGAAGAATCTCCGGCCAAAGTCGGAGAACTGAAAATACTGAAAGACTGCGACTTTGATGATATCCACTTTTATCATCTCAAAAAGTCCGCTCCCGAGCAGAGAAATCCCCGGACCGACAGTTGGGTCGATCCGCCCCCCTATTCCGATGAAAATTGGACCGTCGCCTACTTCAAAAACGTCGAAAAGTTCAAGAATCGAGTTTATTCGGGGTAGGTGTTGATTGTCGTGAAATATGGTTTCTCCGAAATAGTATCTGACGAAAACTGAAGTAGATAACCTCGGAATGGCTTCAGAAATAGACAAATTGTGGTACTGTCTATTTGAAACACTTCAGCTAAGCGTTTGAAGACACATGATAAAATAAAAATGAAAACGGCTCTTCGTTTCGAGACCGACCCTTGTCCATTTAAAGGCTCTCAGTTTCTCAATAAGTTACAAATTCTGAATTTTCATGGTTCTTTTTTAAATAGCTAACACTACAACAACAAGCGGGAAAACAATGAATTCGAAATATTATAGAAGGAAAACATTAAATTCAAATTTAAAAAAATAATAAAATAAAATTTCTTTTTGTTTTTTTCTGAAATTTTTGAATTTTTTTATATTTTTTTCAACGGAAACGCTTACCAAAAATTATTCGAAAAAAAGGCGGTTTTTTTCAACAAATTCAATTTTTTTCTGCTACGAAACATTCGTTTTTGGTGTTGATGAGATTTTATTCGAATTTTTTTATAAGATTAGTGAACCACTCTAAATATACGAAAAAAATAAAAAAAGTAAATCTTTTTTTGTACGTTTAAACACATCAGAAGTTTTTTTCTCTATTGCAAATCTTAATAAAAAAATCAAGACAATAAAAATGCAATCAAATTTAGCTTTCTTATCATTCTTAAATATAACTATAACGTTTCCACTCCAAATTTAACATTTTTTTCACTTTAAAATCGAAATCAGAATATTCCATATTTTTTTCACTTTTAAATGAAAAATCAGAATGTAATGTTTGCCAGGCCACCGCCTCGAGGAGCATTCCCGCCATCTAGAGAGCCCATGGACAGTTATCCGCCTCCGCACGGACCGCCGAGAGGTCCCGGGCCTCCGATTCGGGACTTTGATGGGCCTTACGGAGGTCCTCCGAGACCTCCTTTCTCGAGACCTCCACGATATCCGTCCTCCTGGGATCTTCAATCCGTCAGAGACGAGTTCGAACCTTTTAGAAGAGGTTTTTCGCCGCCTAGAGAACCAATCCGCAACGGCATTTTGGGCAATAATCCTTCTGACCGGGGTCCGCCCGTTTGGAATGGCCCGGTGAAAAACTGGGCCCCGGAGCCAAGTCCTCAGAAAGTCCCGAAAAAAACCCCGGAGGACGAAGAAGATCAAGCGAGGAAACGAGTTCTGGAGCGCTTGTCGCGGATGACGTCATCGACGTCGAGCAGCGTCGACCTGGAGCCTTCTGAAGCCAAGGGTGTCCAAGACCAGAAGACTTCGGGTCAGGATCAGCCGGATTCGGCGAATCCGACGACATCTACGGATCCTCAGGCGGCTGACAAGCCTTGGCGAATTCCCAAAAAACGTAAATTTCTGTTCTTCATACATGGGATAGTCGAGGCTTCAGAGAAGGGAAAATTAAGGCGAAATATAATTTTTTTGACGAGATCTATTTGCGATTCCAAAGGTCTACTTGAAATCTCACGAAACGTGTTTTTTTAATAGCTAAGTAGCCATTTCGAATCTTGAAAAAGATGAAAATGGTGAAATTATCCACCTGAAGTATCAAAAGTTGCATGAAAAACAATAAAGTTCATGCTTTACTGCTCAAAATTTAAAATAGACTACAGAAAAAATGCTGAGTTGCACCATAATTATAATATAACCTTGAGATACACGAGAGATTTGTTTGTTTTTAATTAACAAAAAAATATATATATAAAAAGACTTCAATAATGTCCGCATACGCAAGAAAACTACGCAAAGTTATATTAAAAAAGAAAATTTTTGTGTTTTTGCTGCAAATGATATTTTTTTTTCTTTATTTCAAGAAATTTTCAATTTTTTTTTTGTTTTCAAACATGGGATTTGTATGCATTCAAGTAGACTGCTGAAGTCGCAAAAAAAATCTCAATAGAATTTTTTTCAAATTTTTATTTTTTTACATTAGCCGAAAAGTTTTTTTGTCCTTTCTTCATTTTTTTAATCACAAAATGGATTTTTTTACCGAAACCCAGCTATCCCATGTATCATTTTGTACGATTTCGAACTGTACCTCATCGATTTTCGGTTCTTTTTAGCGAAAGCTCCTTTGTTGGAACCGGAAAAGAAAGCCGAGCCTTCTCCGTCTGTTGTGACGTCAAACCGTGGGGTTGACACTTGGCGCGATTCCAGATATGAACCGATTATTTCTCCGCAGCATGAAACTCGGTCCTCGCAACCTTACGAAACCTTCCCTCGGCCCCGCAAGGAGGTAATTTTTTGGGTTTTTTGGAGGGTGTCTGGGAATTGAGCTGAAATGAGGAAAATAAGAGAATTTTCGGCAGATTTTGAACCTTTATTAGCGCTTCAATGACAAGAGTTCATTGAATATTGCATTGTCCTTCTTTTTTCAGCTTTTTGTCGAGATAAAGCTCAGTTTTTGTAGCAGTTTTCTGAATTTTTGACCGGTTTTGGGACTTTTATTTTCGCTCCAATGAGAAACGTTGTTTCAAATATACAGCGATCATTTTTTTCAGCCTTTTTGACAGAAAGCTCAGTTTTTCGTTGCAGGACTTTTGAATTTTCGGAAAATTTAGAGCCTTTTTTTCCCATTTAAAGATACATTTCTATAAAAATCACAATGTTCATCCTTTTCCGATTTTTTGAAAGTTTTTCTTTGCAGGGTTTTTCATTTTTCGGTAAGTTCAGAGCCTTCATTTGTACTTCCATGGCAAAATTCCATCTAAAAACACACTTTTAATCCTTTTCCAGATTTTTTTTAAGATAAGCTCTAATTTTTTTGAAAGAAAATTCAAAAAAAAACATTCATAAATTTAGTACATTTTTAAGTTCAAAGTTTTAAAAATAAAGAAAACTATCATATTTTGGCAGTGGAGCGCATGTTCCAGCAAATTTCTCACAATATTTTCATTTCGGCTCAATTTTCGGGTACCTTTCTTTGGTTATTTTTTTCCCTGGTCATGTCCGGTTCCATTCAGGGGAAGTTTCGAAAATATATTCAGTTCAAAATAATTTTCAGATGTCGTTTTTCCTGCAAAATGATTTGCCAAGTGTCCGGCCGGCTACTCTCCGTGGGACTGTGAATGAATCGAGGTAATTAATGAGCGATTTTGTTGGGAAATTAGTTTTAAATTGGTACGATTATGTAATGTATTGAAGAAATTTCGGAAAACACTGATATTTTAGACCCAGAAAAAGTTTCGTGGAGGTTAGGGAGAAGGAATGGCTCAAAATGACTTTCGATGAAATTTTCAGCTCTATGAAGGATCTCTCAGCATTTTTCTATTGGAAAAGTAGGGAAAACGTAAGAATTTTGAGGCGAAATTGAAGAATAATGGTTTGAAAATCACTTCAAAAAAGCTTTTCAAAGAGTTTTTTAGGTCAATAAAGGACCTTTTAGCTTTGAGAAAATCGTTGGATTTTGTGGCGAAATTGAAGAAAAATGGCTTAGAAAGGCTGTTTTTAATATATATTTTAAGCTTCATCGAGAATTTTTCTGTCTTTCATTATGCGTTTTTTTGGAAAAATTGTAAGTTAAAACAATCTTTTTCAGACCGTCAGGCCCTCCGCCGGCCAAACAGCCCTCTTTGTCGGGTCGACCCGTTTATCCGCCTTCGGAAGACTACCGTAACCCTCCCTCGGTACCGTATCGATCTGCTCCGGGACCGCATCCCATGGATCCACCGTATCGACCTTCTGAACCAATGCGACCGCCGAGATATCCTGAAGAACGGCCGAGATATCCGGAGGACAGATATCCGCCGATTGGTCGGTTTTTCGAAATTTTTATTAGGGATAAAGAGAAAAAAAACTAGAAAAATTACGTTTTACAGCACTTTTTTGATTTGTTTTTTAGTTAAGTATGGTTGGACTTTTTGAGAGTTTAGTTTTTTAGGATATCTTGCTGGATTCTTTGAAGGCCCAGAAGACTATAACAATGGCAAAAGATTACTATTTTCTATAGTTGCCGAATAAAAATATAACAAACACGTTCCGTAATGGCTCCTTCTTTTCAGTATAAGATTTCTGAAAGAAAGGTAAAATTTAAACTTTCGAAAACTAGAATTTTTGCGAAGAGAACGAAAATTGTGACGTGAGGGAGTGGAGAAATATTTTTTTTTTAATTGGCTTTTTTTGTCTGAACTCTCTGCTCTCTCTTCTACCTCATCAGCCAGGAAGATTTCTTTTCATACTTCTTTTTTCCGGCTCAAAACGCCAGTTCAAGTGCGAAGCATTCGCGTTGCGGTTTTGAGTGCCAATTTGAAAATCTATCCTTTTTTCGATTTTTTTTTACCTTGGTACGATTTGGTGTTGAAAAAGTGGATATTTAAATACATCCAATACATTTTAAACGAGGTGTTTTGACAGTTTATATTAGAGAAACTCCCTTAAATCGATAATTTTTGAAATGGCGCCAAAACGCAACGCAATCGCTCCGCGCATCGCCGTCCGAAGCCGAGAAAAATGAATTATTCCTCGTCTTTCAGACGCTTACGGACCTCCACGAGGAATCCCGCCCCCAAGACCGTACATGGACGAGCCGCCATTACGTCGGGATCCGAGAGATTACAGAGATTTTAGAGATATGGTAAAAAATAATTTATAAAAACTTAGAAAAAGTCAATTTTCAGCCACCGGAACCGATGCGCCGCCCATCTTTCTTCCCACCTCCCCGAGGCTATTAGCCGAATAAATTATTTTTTTTTTTTCCATGACCTTTTTTTTAGGTGTTCATTTTGTTCATTTTTAGTTTTTCCACTTGCGACAAAAATTCGAAAATCGTGCTTTTTTAATGCAATTTTGAATATTTTTATTCCTTTTTATGACCCTTAATAAGTTTATTTTTTTCTAGCCATTTTAATAAATTTACAGGTTGGTTCCTGGAAATTCTATTAAAATTTGAAGACTCCTCTTTTTTTTTAAATTTGAGATTACTGTAAAATGTTCGATTAGGTTTCTGTAAAGACTCTTTTTTGCACATTTTTTTGTAATTCGTTCCAAAAATTTTTATGACTGTTTAGTAGTGGATTTAGTTGTTCAAAAATAATTCCTGAGGTTTTTGAAGCTTCAAAACGACTCTTCGTCTTGAGACCTTTTCGAAATTTGTCCATGCTCCTTTAAAAGCCCCAGAGAGCTTTTTTTTTTTCGTATTTTACGTACTCGTTTTCCATACGTGGGATTTTTTGTTCATTCCGTTCTCATAAAGTTATTTTTTTGTTATATTTTTTTCCTAAATTTTTCGTTTCAAACGAACTTGAGAAGTATTTTTCGGAAAAAAATATGTTATTTTTTTGGTTTTTAAATTCGAATTTAAGATGCCCCGTAGCGAGGACGAGGTTGGGCTTAAAGTCGACAGGTAAAAAAATGGAAATAATATAAGAAAAAAATATAATTTGAGAAATTTAGATGTTTCGCCGACACACTGTTGAAGTTGAGTGGAGGCGTCGCCATTGGAATCGTCGCTAGTGTAGCTTTTTTCAAGGTAATTTCAAAATGATAAAAAAAGATTTTGGATAAGAAAATATAGAAAAAATACTGCGAGTATGTTGTTATCAGGATTCATGACTTCTTTAGAAATTTTAGAATCCTCGAAAATGAGAGAAATCAAAGAGATTTATATGGAAAAATTGAACGCCTTGAATTTGAGCTTATTGGAAAGTACTCGAAAAGTGAAATTTCGAAAATTGAGCGTGGAAAATTCAGAAATTTCAGTTCGATTAGGTCTTTTAAGGTTTTACTTTTAGATTTAGTTAATAGACTTTCCGCCTAAGGTTAATAGATTGTCAGAAGTTTCAAAAAATTAGGAGTTTGAAGTTTTCTAGCATAATAATTTGTTCAAAAAAATTTTTTTCTGAAGTATTTGAATGCATATAATTTTTTTTGGCACAGAATAACACAAAAAACACGGCTTCTCCTCTAAGATTGATCCATTTCAAATACCTCGGCTGAATGAAAAACTTTGAACGAAATATTTAAAACGTTATTCCCATTGGAAAGCCGTTCAATAGACTTTTTTGAATTTGTAATAGCTTTTCTATAGCTCCAAAGACCTTGTGGTTTCAATACGGAGACCTTATTCATGATACTTCAGTTTCTGAATTCTTCAAAGGAAACCTTCCTAGTTTTTTTTTAAATTAACATTTCCAGCTCTTAAAGTTTACAAATTTCAATACAAAATTTTATTTTAGCTGTTTCGAATCCATTTACGCTACGTAAACCTTCATGCATGTCGCTTCGAATCGCTCTATTTTGAAGTTTTCATGCTAAATTTACAGAGCAGAGCATGGCCAATTTGGTTCGGCTCGGGCGTCGGCCTCGGCACAGGATGGTCCAACTGCCGTCACGATTTCGTCTCGCCTTATTTGCTCCACGGCAAAAAAGTTCCCGTTGAACAGGACCCACAGGTTCAAAATACCATTGAAATCACGAAAAATCCAAAAATTTCCAGGGAAAAGCCGCCTACAACATTCTTGTCGAGAAAAAAGCGTGAAAACTCCGAAAACCTTAGCTGCGATTCATTTTTTTGTCCATCTTTCCCCCCTCCGCGACCTTTTTCTTCCGAGCTATTCAAACGAAAACGGTGTATAAAAACAGTTTAGACGATGGTAGTAGTAAAGAAAGTTTTATTTTATTATTATTTACGTTTTCGGGGCAAAATATAACAATGGTTTAAAGCTTGGCAATATGGACTGGTATTGTACAAACAATGGAAAAGAGACGTTGCTGAACTTCGGATCTGCTTGATTTTAGATGACTTTACAGATTCATAGGTAAAATAAAATTCAAAAGACGGTTGTCATCGCGATTTCAATCCATGCTAAACACAAAAGCAATTCACGAAAATGATCATATTTTTGTTTTTGGAAATCTAGAAAAAACACTATATTTGAATTTTGGTTGAATAGCTGTAAAAAAAAGTGGTTTTTAAGTAACCAAGTTGAAAATGAGTTGAATTATGACAAATGGAAAAGACGCTGGTTTTGAACTTTTCTCCTTTCTGGGAAATTTTTTAGTGGCCACTATAGAGGCTCGCCAAATACTACTTGGAAAGGACACTATAGTGGCCACTATTTTCGGTTTTAGTGACCACTACAGTAGTTTTTCATCCAGTAACTCTGATAATTTTAAAAGAAAAGAATGGACCAGTTATGATGATCCATTGACCCCTAAAGTGGCCACTAAAATCTTTATTGGTTTTAGTAGTAACCCTTAGACCTCTATAGTGGCCACTAATTTTTAACCCCTTAATTGGCCACTAATTTGACTACTATAGTGACCACTAAAAATTTTCCCAGTTCTATAAAAGTTTTAGCGAGAAAAAAAGCGGGAACAATTTTTGACCCCTAACTTGAGGAGTATGGGAGCCTCTTTTGAATCCTTTCGAAAAAGTTGAAATTGACCTTTGACCTTTCTATGTCTTCAAAGGTTCACTAGAGCGAACTTGACCGAAATCTTAATCTTTTTCACGGCCACTACCTCAAATCAAGTGGATCCAAGGTTCAGCAACGTCAGGAAATAGTTCAAAAATCAAAGCCGCTGAATTCGAACTGCATGGTCGCCCATGGCGAACAAAGCGGCGAGCATTTCATCGCCGGTCGGGGCGATGTAGTGCGTCGGCAGATGGAACTGGAAGCTGTGGGCCGTGTCCTGAGGCCGGAGTTCGACCCCGTAGATGTAGGGCACACCCCGGTGCTGCATGTAGTCGATGCTCGTTCCGGAGGCCGGGTCTGGACGTTTTTTTTTTGGTTTTAGGAGAGATCAATTTATCAGAAAAAAGCAGGTTTTTTGCAAAACTGACCGAAAAAAAATCCCTTTAATGAATTTCAGACCTTGAAAAACTTCTTTTGAAAAATTTATCGATTGCAAAAAACTTTAATTGAGCAAATGTGCTCCATGGATAAAATCAAAAATTGCAACTTTTCAATCGATATTATCAAGGTAACGGAAATCGGAGCATTTCTAGTGATCACCTAAGCGGCGTCAGTACCCTTAAGGAATCCCTGGAACTGCCGGTTTGACCTCTCCTTTAGTTTAAACCTTGGTATGCAAGAATTGAAGCTAAAAAAAAAGACGATTTTCTGTGAAAATTGGTAAAATTCCATCGATGCTCCGGTTCCCGTTACCGAGGCTTGAGAGTATCGATTGAAAAATTGCATTCCTTACTTTTATCCATGGAGCACATTTGCTCAATTAAATTTTTTAAGTCCCACAAAAACCATCTTTTCCCTTTTATTCCTTTTCTATTTCATCCTGAAAATATTTTCAATGACCTAATCTTTCATTATAAGCAACTTTCAACCCCAAAACTCACACATGAGCTCGGAAATGGTTCCGAAATTATAGCTGACGCCAGTTTTGTTCCTCATCGCAATGACGGCTTCTTGGGCCGCGTTTCGCTGCAAGAAATTCAATTTTCTATTGATTTGGAACAATTTTCAACCTGGTCAAGGTAATTATCGGTATGTTGGCTGGTATATCCCCAAGGGGACAGGAAAAGTTGGCCGTAGGAGTGAAGACTGACGTAAATTTGCGGGTTGGCCACTTCCCAGGTGAAAAAGTCCTTCAGACCTGCAGATTTTCATTTCTTATTGAATTCTGTTTTCCGATCGGCTTGAAACTCGGGAAAGCCTGTTTTCTCTGCGCTCTCTGTTGTTTACGAGCTATTTTCGTTTTTCTATCGCCAATGAGAGAAAAGAGACGCAGAGAAGTTAGACAATTTGTTCTACTTCATTTAAAAATTAAGAGCCAAGTTGAAGACGAAAAAAACTTGAAAAAGTCTGATTTCTCTGCACCCTCTCGTATTCCGGTGCTGTTTCAGTTTTTCTATCTACGGTGAGAGAAAAGAGACGCAGATGAGTTAAACTATTTTTTTCTATTTTTATTTAATAGGATTCGACACGAAAGAAAAAGTGTTTCTATGGTTTCGCTAGTGAGAGAAAAGTGACGCAGAGAAGTTAGACTGTTAGACGATGTTCAGAAAAAAATTAGACAATTTATTCTACTTCATTTTAAAAAGGATTCGAAACGAAAAAAAGAAAAAAATTTAAAAAAATTCTGACTTCTCTGCGTCCTCTCAAGTCTACATGCTATTCTCATGTTTCTATGATTTCGTCGGTGAGAAAAAAAGACGCAGAGAAGTTAGACTATTTTTAATATATTAATAATATCGCATCAAAATTCATATCATATTAAATTATTTCTTCTTATTTCATTAAAACAACATAGACCAAACGATCTTCTGATATTTTAACTATATATTTCCAAACTGAAACCGCCTAATGAAGATTCAAGATTTTTCTCAAAAACCTTTAGAAGTAAAGCCGATTAACTAGAACCTCAAGCGGATTTTTTCAACAGGATAAAAATTTTTTGAAGTTTTTGAGAAACTTGTATTTTTTCTGTAATAGAGAGGTAAATTTTCAATCAATAAAAGGGACCGGACCGGCGATCTCCGGCTCCGAGTAGGGATGGCTTCCGGCGTAGATGTTCGAACAGGGCGACCGATTTATTCCGGCCTCGCCCCATCGGTAGCCCCAGTTGCGGTTGGCGTCGACTCCCGTGCACCACATGCTCACCGTCTTGTTGACTGATCGAGTTTTGCGCCAAAGACGGTCCTGGAACGAAAAGTGTGGCTCAGTGAGGGTGTACAGTAGGAGTGAAAAACTTGAGAAAAATGTTTTTTTTTGAAGAATTACTAGCTTAAGTTCATACAAACATACAAGATAGTGTCGAATTGATGGAGAGCGCAGACAGGCCACGCCCCTTTGCGGCTCAAGTTAACAGTGAAGCGGCTATACAATTAGGTACTTTAAGGACGTGATTACAAATTCTGGAAGTACTTGGAATTTTTATTTCTTTTTTAAAACATCCTTGAAACATAAAACCAAGCCTCAAAAGCAAAAAATTCTCGTGGCTACCAATCTCAATCTAGATCTAAAAAAGTGTAATTTTCCAAATTCCAAACACATTCCTATCTCATCAGAAGCTAAATAAGATCATCTTTCTGATTTTTCACCACGATATCTTCTCATTACCGTATTCCGGCTGTACTCGTAGCCGTCGGGGTTGACCTGCGGAATGATGTACCAATCGAACTTGTCGAGGCTCTTGGTCAGCAACGGGTTCTGGCCAAAGTCCACCACTAACTGAAAATCTTCTTTGAACTTCTTTTAGGAGTGCTGAACTGGTCCCTAGAGGTAGGCAGCGCAAAGCCACGCCCATTCACACCACCAAAATGACGATTTTTTTGGTTGCAAAAACGGTTTCGAGGCGTTTCTACCGGTTAAATAACGAACTAAAAAAAGAAGTTTTGACACAACCATATGTAATCGACAACGCTCTACAAAACTGTATAGCTAGAAATATTCATTCCATTCATATGTCGCTAAAAAAAATAGAAATGTCGGGAAAAAAACTGACTCGATTCACAAATAGACTGCGATACAGAAAACCAGATGAGGAACGCTTCTGATTTTTGACAATGTTACTCATGGAGACATTGTTCAGTTAATATGTCAAAACGAAAAAAATTCACCGACGCGAAAAAAAAAACGAAGCTTGTAAAGTGACAAAAATTTTCAAAGCTGAAAAGCGAAAAAAAATCAGCGACATGACATACTTTTTTTTGATTTAGAAATTGCGTAACATGATGAAAAACGATTTTAAAAAATGGAAAAAAAAATTGGATACCAAATGAAAAAGTTTTTGCAATTTTTAAAAATAGCGTATTTTTCTACTTGCCTTGTTGAGCTACCATAGATGAGGAACGCTCTTAAAATTTCGATATTTTTTTAAAGCATCAAAATATTGGCTGTTAGAAAAATTTAGAAAAAAATCGATCGACGCGAAAAATATAAAAACCAAATTAAGTGAAAAAAATAAGCTTTTTTAATTAAATTTTGCGCGGAAAATGGAATGTATAAGTGCACGCTTCGCGTGAACTAATTACGGACGCGTCAAATTTCGAAATATTTCGGTCCGATCGATTCTTCTTATTGTTTAACGTGTCTGCTTCGATTCTCTTCGGCCAGAAATTGGTAATTTAAATTATAGTTTTAATAATTTTAGTTGTTTTTTTAAGATTGTTTTCCGGCGATCATGGATGATGACGAGTCTGATGGAAACCCGAAAGCAAAAGAAAATGAAGTTTCAAGGTATTGATCAATAAACTAAAATATTCTTTTTTTGGATTCGGGAAATTTCATTTTGATACTGCTATCAACTCTTAGGGTGCGAAAATTTTTTTAGAAGAGAAAAAAAGGATATATAAGAATAAATCCAATAAGGATGCGTCCTCCAAAAAAATTTTTAATTTTTGTTATGGTTCGCGTGTCATATATTTTTTTCAAATATTTTTAAGAAAACTTATGAGCTTTTTATTTTTCGATTTATTTGTTTTCCAATACGTTTTCGAAGAGTATAAAAAAAGAAATTATTTTTGATTTTTAAAAAAATTTTTAGACCGTGAGCGTGTTGTTCTTGTTCCCCTAATTTTTAGATTTTTTTAAGATTATTTAATGGACATTATATACAGCTCAAGTTTCTTCAACGATTAATTTGGAAAACCTTTAAATTTGAGAGGTGAAATTTTCTCGTGTGCAAAAAAAAAATACGCAATTAAAGATTTTATTTCAGGAAATCCGAATTTTCTGCAAACCTCCAGCCATTTGGATAAATGCAAAAAATATTTGGTTGAATCAGGAGTGGACCCAAACCAGTTCACGGCTCTAATGCCACTCCGCGTTATGACTTACGGAGTTGTTCTGTGTTTGGCCGCACTGATTCCGAAAAAAAAGCATCTTTTCAAAGTGGTTGTGGAGTTGAGTGGAAATCGGATAGAAGACACGAGTTTGGCGATGCGCAGCAGGTTCTACCGGGATTTTTCTCGTATCAAGCAAGACCAAGAAGTACTACGAAAAAACGGCGAGTCAGAAGAATTTTTTTTTACTTTGAAGTTTGATTTGAATTTTTTGTCTCAAATCTTGGAATACGAACCTTCTCCACTAAAGTTCCCTAAACATTTTTCACCGCATTTTCTACTCAAAAAAACGGCAGAATTACCTTTTGAGATTTTTCGTATTGTTTCCAAAACTGTTTTCACTCAAACAAAAGAAAAAAATGAGAAAATCGATATAATAAATCTGCACAAATATTCTTTTTTGACCAAAACCTTGCACCAAAATTGCTACGATCAACTTTGGAGTTGGAGGTGCAAGTTCCTAGATTTGAAAAAGAGTCATGAGTTCGAAGCGCTAAAAAGTTCGAAAAAAACGTCCAAAATACTCGGTAACTCGAAGTTGAGTAAATTGAGACAGAAAGTTTCGAAACTGCGTCGAGAGATTGGGACCATAAAGCGCGAAAAATCAACACTGAGCACCAAGTTGAGCCAAGAGAAAGCTCTTTCCAAAAATCTTCGCGAGCGGTTGCGAAAAGCTGATTCGGCCTTAAATGAAGCGAAGCAAGAACTGGCTGATCAAAAGGCTGGGAAAGCTGAGCTAATGATCCGAGGTTGTTTCAGCAACAAGTGCAGAGGGGCGATCCTTGAGCTCATAAATCTTGGAACTGCTGATGCTAAGATTGGTAAGGTGATGGAGATAGTTGGTAACATGGTGGATTTGAAATTCAACAACTTACCGTCCGCTTCCACATGTCGCTTGCTAGCTTTATCATCTATCAATCTTGCTAAGCGTCATGTGAGAACAGTTTGCGATGAAGTGAAAAAGAACGATGAACCGCTTTGTCTCCATTCCGATGAGACCACCAAGAACAAGTCAAAGGTGCAAATGTTTGGGGTGTCAAGACCTGACGGTGGATCTTTGATTCTGGGAATTGAGCAAGTGGTGGAGAAGTCCGCCATCACTGCATTCAAGGCACTTGCAAACCAGTTCAAGACCCCAGGCGCCCCAAAGGACTGTTTTGATCAGTTCATTGCCCAAGTGACTTGCACGATGTCTGATAAGGCTGCCACGCAGCTGAAGTTCAACGAGTTAGTTGAACACTATCGTGCAACAGTTATTCCAGCCGTGGTGAGCGGTTGGAGTGACAGGTCTTTCGAAGAGCAGCAAAGGCTCATGACTTTTTCAAACTTTTTCTGCCAGCTTCATGTGATTGCGAATTTTGCTCGTGTTGCTCTTGATGGTCTTTCAGAGCACGAAGTTCTTGCCTCCGGGAAGAGCAAAGTCGACGAACCAGCGGTGCTGCGACTGGTGAAGGAAGTGGCTCGACTCTTCGGCGATCGCTCCGCCGGCCTGCACGGGATCGCGCCGATTTGGGAAGCCTGGATGGCAGAAAAAGGCTTGTTCCGTTTTTCTTTCCCATCTTTTCTTGGCCATCGCTTCAATATTTTGTTTGTTCTGGCTGCTCGTATTTTCTACCATCGCCAACACTTGCAAAAATTTATAAGCGAGTTCGTTTCCGAAAAGACCGAAATGGTAGTTATTTCGGAGCTTCTTGAAGACGAGCTTGCCACTTCTCATCTTCAAGTGTTGGGGCTCCTCGACCAACTGGTCACAGGTCCTCTCTGGCGTTTGGCGGAAAATTCTAGCCACATTTTCGACACTTGCGATTACGCAAGTCGTCTGAAATGCTGGTTAGAAGCGTGTTCGGGGTCTCCGGTGACTTTTTTCGATGGTGACTCACCAGTTGCTTCTCTTGAGTTGGAAGCTCCTGGTGGAGAAACTTCAGCTCGCCTTTTGGAGAGCCTCGTTTCTCAGTCTCCATCGGAAACAGCTCTGGAGGCTACATCAATAATGCTCGTAGCTTCACAAAAGTTTTTCTCAAAAAATTTTGCTGACTTCCTACCTGGTGGTCGGCTTTTTCATCAAAAAGATAAGCTACGAGAAGACACGCGATGTGCTCCAGCCACAAACAATCTTATTGAGAGCGCTTTTGGTTACTTTTCATACCTCAAACACAAAGCGCCAAATATGAGCATGACCAGGTGCGAAGCGGTAACCCTGATCAACAGGAACCACACCATGGAATGGTTCCGATCCCTTTCTCCAGAAGAACAGAATGAATGTTTGGATGGGATTAGAAAGGAGACGGGTGAAACTTTGAAATCAGCTGGTCAAAAGCGGAATGATTTGGCTAAAAGGTGCTTAGAGTACCATCGAGAAAAGTGCCAGAACGCTTCAAAAAAAATGGCCAAGGAGTCGCTCAGTAAGCGTCAACGGACGGAGACTCTTTTCAAACATGGCTTCTGGCAACAAAAGTCTGAAATGGAATCCTCCTTGTCGTCTTATAAGTGTGAAAAGGAAAAATGGGAAGCTCTGTCTGCACAACTTCGTTTCAGGCAACGTGTTCTCCTGCAGAAGCACGCCGACAAGAAGTTCTACGTTCTCACTGCTGGCGGCAAGAAGATCAGCTTGGCGGAAATGAAGCTCAAGCTTCTTTCTCTCTTCGAGAACGATCAGAAAGGTGATAATCTTGTGGTTTTAGCATACGAGCATGCCGGGAAGTTCATCGAACACACGTTCTTTGACGAGGAGGGAAAGAAGAACTCCTGGAAAGGCCGCGTCGTTGAAGTGCAAGTTCGAAATGGAGGCGAAAAGGCTGTATTGGTGCTGTACGAAAACGAAAAAAGCACTACAGCGCTAACTCTGGCCGAGTTTGAGCAAGCGATAGAAGACGGTCTGGTTGTTTTTCTTGTGAAATTGGTACCCTGTCAAATAAATGAATAGCTGGTCTTTTTATTATTTATCAAAAATTTTTTTCCTGTCAATTTGGTAAATAACGGAGCTTTTAAAAAAACCTCTTGTCAAAACTATTTTTTTCTTGCGATTAAAAAAAGAACTTTCAATCGTGTACTATCTTTCTTTAAAAATCTTGTTCAATCAAAAATTTCTTGTTTGAAGTTTTTTTCTGTTCAAAATTTATTCAATCGAGTAAAATACAGATTTAGAAATTTTTTTCGATACCCCATATTGTTCAAAAGTTTTCACAACAATTTCATCAAGTAATTTTGGTAACTCAATTATTTTTTTATTGCAAATATATCTTTCAGTGTGGTGAAAGTGATAGTTTCTCCCTTTTCATGTTCAGTTAGTTTATTATTCATTTAGTTTTTAGATTTTAGATGAAAAACTCGTTCTACGTTACATGTTCTACTGATATCTTGTAAATTATTCCTGTAAAAAAAGGTCTACAACCACTCCACGTGCTCGTTCGTGTAGACTGCACACAGGTTGGCATGAATAAGTGCCTTAATTCAATCAAAAAAAAAAATTGATGAAGAAAGTGGTGCGACAAAAAAAAAACTTACCAACCTGTGACCAAGCGAGTGGATTCTTGATTGATGTTTTTTTTTGAAATTGAATAAATTTTACTCTTCTTTGTTCTTGATTTTTTATTATTTCGTTGAATTTCCTCTTATCTATTTTTTTTTTGCAATGGAACTTTTGTCTACCAGTTTTCAATATTTCATCTATCGAAATATTTGTTCAATTTATCGTTTTTTTGCTGTGATATGCTCAATACCTGTGAAAAAAGTTTGTTAAACTTTCATTTCAAAAAGTTAGTGAAGTTTGAAACCTTTATAACTTTCTACAATTGTGAATTTGACGACTGAATTATGTTTTAATAAGAAAAGAGCGTGCTGTTTCGGGTCTTCTAACATCGTGTGAGAACAAATCGTGATATTCATTTTGAAAAATCTCTGAAAAGGTTGAAAATATAATGTTTTTATCAAAAAACCCGATTTCTTTTTTCAACAGCGTAATTCCACACAATTATGCAAAGGCGCCGCATGGTTTTGCAGACACGCCTTAAAAACTGTGAGAATTTGCCATCCTTCACAAAATTTTCGTTTTTTTTTCGCCTCTTTTTTTCCTTTAAACTTTTTTTTCCATTTTTTTTTTTTAAAACTCTATTGATATAGTGAAATGGACATCTCAAGCTGTCGATTGACACCAAGATCATGCGAATTGAATGGTTTTGAAAAGTACGCTTGCGGTACCTACCTAGAGGGCTTTAAGATTCCCTCTAGGGAGCACTTTACCTTCCCCTATAGGGGGCGTTTGAGTTTTTAAAAGTGACCACTCTAGGGGTTTTTAATTAAAAAGGGATAACACTCTCCGATTTTCATATCTATGAAAAGAAGCAATTTCATGCGAAAAACTAAATAAAAACAGCCTTTTTTTAAATGAAAAAAATATCAACAGAGGATTCATCGATCAATTTTTTTATAGAATACGCCTTTTTTTAGTTCTAAAAAGGTGAATTTCAAAATTTTGAGCTGTTTTTCCCCTCCATCTTCAAAACATCATCATTTTTTCGAAGAAAAAAAATCGGCAAAAATTCACCGAAGAGGGATCGAACCTGCGTCATGAGTCTACAGCGCCAGGCTTCTAGCCACTACACCACGCCACATGCTAGCAGGGGGAGTTAGCCGCCGCCACATATTCCCTCCTTCTATCCAATGCATTTTTCGCGTGCAAACTTTGAAGAGCCATAACTCGACTAGAACGCAAAAGGCGCCTTTTTTTTCAACATTTTTGAAATCAGGGGGTCCTAAAGTACCTATATACCAACTTTCATCGAATTCTCAACAAAAAACTTTTTGCTTCAGGGGACAGACCTCAAAACTCTTTCGGGAGCACTATTTAGCCCCTTATAGGCGGTTTTACCTCCTCTAACCCCTTTAGGGACTCTTCTAGTGTTGCTGAAAGATGAAAACCTTCTTGATCATGTAGAGGGCGACGGCCGGGGCGATCCATTCCCTGGCATGAACGCCGGCGTCGACGATTATCGAAGGTTTCTCCGGCATCGGGGCGCCGGCTCGCGAATGGATCTTTAAAGTTCCATTTCAAAATCACTCAAGGTTGTTGAGAACTACCTTGACCCCATAAATCTGCCTTCCTTCGAAAGATTTGGAGATGTTCAAGAAGGTGACCATGTCAGGCCGCTGTTGGGACAAGACACGCATAAAATCGACCATCTGGAAGGGATTTATGATGAAAAAAGGATAGTTTAGTTTTTTGAAACTGTTTCGAAAATTGACAGGAAGGTCAAAAGCTTGAATTTCAAAAAAAAAAAATGAAAACTAAGGGCAACCTGGCATAGGCAAAGTCGGAAGGACCATTTACGGGTCCTTTGAGGGTCCGTTATGGGTGCAAAAGGTTTCCTTTTTACTGCCCTTTTCCGTCCTTTCATCGGCCTTTTTCCACCCTTTTTGGACCTTTTTGATAAACACAAAATTCTGGGAAAATTTTTAGTGGCCACTCCAGGGTTTTGACGTTTTAATGGCCACTAAAGTAGTCAAATTAGTGGCCACTTAAGGGGTTAAAATCTTGTAGCCACTATAAAGGTCTAAGAGCTACTACTAGACCACTAAAAATTTTAGTGGCCACTTTAGGGGTCGATGGAACAACATAACTGGCCCAATCTGTTTGTTATGAAATTATCAGAGTTACTGGAAAGAATACTGGATGAAAAACTACTTAAGTGGCCACTAAACAGAGAACCTCTATAGTGGCCACTAAAACGGAAAATAGTGGCCACTATAGGGGTGGGTTAACCAAGAAAGAAAGGCTCAATAAAGGCCGCAAAACGGAACCCGTTTAGCGGCCATTTTGCACCCATTTTTCGCACTTTCGACTTTGGCAGTGTGGTAAGGATATCGTGACTGTGTATGAACGAAAATGGGCTACAGTAATACTCTTTTTTTTCTACTACTGCTTAAACCGAAAAAAAGGCCAAAATATTCACCTCCTGATAAGAATGATAGGCGCTTTCGTTGAAGGATTGCCAATTTCTGAGAGATCTTTTGTATCGTCGTTTGTCCAGTCCGAGTTGTTCTCGTTCTTCCGTGATTTTTCTGCAAGTCCCTCTTGAATTCTGTATTTCAGTCTTTTTTTTACAGTCAATCCTTCTCGACTTGGAAGGCGAAATGGATTAATTGACACAATAGTGAAGCGTTGCGTACGCGACGCGGCTTTTGGCATTTTCTACCTTTTTTGACAGTTTTTTAACAGCTCGATGAAGAGCTCAGGATTGCCAGAGTGGTCCCTATAGGGGATTGAGGGGGAACACAACCCCTACATATGATGAAAAAGTGCCCCCTATAGGGGTAAAATTCAAGTGGTCCTTATAAGGGTTTATCAAAAGTTCAATTGGTCTTTTTAGGGGTTTACCGAAAAATTCAAGTGGTCCTTATAGGGGTTTAAGGAAAAATTCAAGTGGCTATTATAGATATTTACGGAAGAATCAAGTGGTCCTTATAGGATTTTACCAATTACGGTCTGACGTTAAAGCCCCTGAACCTTGAGTAGTCCCTATAGGGGTCTTTTAATTCCTCGTTCCAGTTTGAAATTGAGAAGACGAACTTGATCAATTCGACCTCTGTCAATATTTTTACATTCAAGTGGTCACTAGAGGGGAATCTCTAAATGTTTGCCCCTATAGGAGCCACTCTGAAGTTCCTGAGAAAAGCGGGAAAGTGGAATTATTCGAAAAAGTACTCCTGTGCTTTTTTGGAACCTTTTTATTCAAGATTTTCCGGATTTTCGGACCAATGAACCTCTGAACGTCGTGTTCAACGACAGTGTGTTCGATGTCGATGAACTCCTTGAACTCGGTCAGAAGCCGTTGTAGAAACTCCGGGGCGACCAGGATCTCCGCGTAGGGGTTCTGTTTGGACGGCTCCAGCCAGACGTCGACCAGAAGACGTTCCTTGTCGCCGATCTGAATTTTCACCTTGGAAAATTGAAAAAAGGCGAAAAATCCACCTCATAGTTGAAGTTCTCAATCTTCTCGAGCAAGGCATCGGCCTCAGGCGACTTGATCCGTATCAACTTGTACCTAGGCGAGAAATCTACCGTAATCTGCTTTCAAAAGCTACAGTACCCCGTGTAGTCCCGTTTCGGTTCGGCGCCAAACTTCTCCGCCGCGACTAGCGCCACAAGAAATGACAATAGCGCTACCCGGGTCATATTACCTGCAAAAAAGGGTACTGTAAGGGGTACGGTAGAACATATTGGCTTTTTCGAGGGGCGAATCGCAATTGAAAGAAGATCTTATTGAATTTTGTTTCAACCGGGTTTGAAACAGGGATATCGCTTTTGGGATGAACTTCAAGGGGTAGGTGATTTTTCTAGGAAAAAACCGCAGCGCGACCGCAACGCGTTGAGCCATTCTGAATGCGACCAGAATATTTCAAAAGCTGGCCAATGGGGCCAGTTACATTGTTAGAATAAAAGGTTAATTTGAAAAAATACAGAAAAATCAAAGATAAAAAAAAAATTGGAAAGGTTTGGTCAGTTATTCAATAATCATTCAAATAATCTCCAGACGACAATTTTAGGTCAAAAAACAACAGAAAAATTGGAAAAACTTCAAAATCCTTTTCGAAAAGCTGAAGAAAATCGTACAGGAAGGAATCTCTCGCGATCTTTTTTTTCTTCCCTTCCCTTTCGATTAATTATAAATTCAATCAACTGAAACTTCCAGAAATGGAAAAGGAGAAGAACGTTTCAACTAGAAATATTTTTATCGGACCCGGCTCGGCAAAGGGAAAGAAGTGAAGACGTTGGGGACAGACGAAAATATTTGCGAACCGCTAATTATCACTGATAGTGGGGGGCGTGTCTGGCGAGCAGCCCCAGAAAGGACACAAATTCTAGGACATCCTTTTAGGGACACGGAATACCACGTGTTATTTTTTTCAAAACAAAAAAAGACAGTTTATGTGATTTTTTTTTGGTATTTAAAGATTATTTCGTTCATTTTTAGGTTCATTTTGAGTTAAAATACCTTTTAAAAATGGAAGTAACTTTAAAAAAACTATTTAAAGTTGAATTCAAAACTCGTAAATCCACAAAAAAGCGGCTCTCAATACCGCGCCCCTGTTGCGATAAACCGCGCCACCATTGCATAAAGCCACGCCCCTGGCCACAACCGCCAGAAAAAATCAGAAATTTTCTTCTGAAAAAATCCTTGAAGGGAGTTTTTGTAATTTTACCTTTTAATCAAATTGAAGGACTCAAAAACTGAAAAACTTTTTGTATTATTCAAAACTTCCAGCTTGAAAAAAACGTTGTCGCATTCAGAATGGCTCGAAGAGTCGCGGTTGAGATATTTTTTTACAGCTTTTTTTGACATATTTGAAAGCTCGCCATTATCCTTTTCTATTGAGCCGTGCGCAAGTCGTTTTCGGTCGGGTGCAACATGAAGGGATTACTTAAAATGATGTAAAGGCATTTTTTGGTTAATAATTCGAAGTAAGATTTAACATAAACCGAAAAAAAGGACTCTTTCTAGACTTTTCCATCATAATTCTGGAATTTTTTTCCTAAAATGAAAAATTTATGAGAATAAGCTCGAAAAAAATCAATAAATTGATCGTGAAAAATTAATCAATGGGATTTAAAAAAATCGTAAATTTCAGCAATCTTTTGAAGTTTCATAGGTTCTGAGAAACTGAAAAAAACGTCATATATTGCAAAATTCGAATATTTCAGCAAAAATAGTGAAGCTACGAGCCTTGGAAAAAATAGTACCAGCTTTCGAAAAACCAATGAAACCGTAATAATTTCATACTGCTTGTTGGTTTTTTTTAAATAAGAAATTTCTTCCGAAAAATGCCAGAAAATAATAGTTTTCTTAATAAATCTTCCCTGAAACGTTGATTCACAAAAACTGTAACTCAAAAAAAAAAATAAATAATATCAAGATTTGAAACGATGAAAATGGCAGAAAATGAAGGTTTTAAGGTTTTTGAACTTTTCCAACTCAACCTTTCACTTTTCATAACAATGGCGAACCCGTGAACCATGGAAAAATTTCTCAACTTGTATTAAAAATGACTTTCTGGTGGTAAATATTCCTTGCTGCCCAGTCTCTGTCCAAATTACATAATGAAAAAAAAAAAAAAAAAAAATATCAAATATTTATCGGTAGGGCGCGATAAAAGGGAAGAAACCGCCGTTGTTTCATTTTGAAAGGCTTTGAAGCATTTTTAAACACCCGAAACCTTATCAAAACTGGAAAACTCTTAAAGAAAAAAAAAGAAATATGATCCTTCACAATTTTCTTTACACACTCTCGGTGAACAACAAAGGGAACCTGGAAGAAAAAATATCATCTTAAAAGTTGTAAAAATCTGGAACTATTGTTAAGAAATCATAAAAAATTCAAAAAAAAAAGAAACTTCTAGGGAAAAACAACTAGGCGCGTATAGTCTGTTCAGATTTTAAATGTCAAGCAGCTAACTCCGCCCCTGCTGAGAGGGTATCTTTTCGCGTCGATGTTTTAACGCGCGGGACTAATTTTGATCTTTTTTGATCTAAAAGATAGAAAAAGAAGTCAAAAATGCAGCCTTATTAAAGGGACATCGTCATCTGTAGATAAAACATTGACGCGAAAGATATTGTAGCCTTGGGGGTGTAGTTAGCTGCTTGACATTCAAAATCTGAACAGACTATAGAGCGGCTGAAAAAGTCTAAAAAGTGCGCCAGACCTCAAACGACTTGCGCACGAGGTCATACAGAAAGAGCGCGCGACTGGATTTGCATTTGAATTCGAAAAACCGCGACGCTTCGAGCCATTCCAAGTGCGACCACAGGGTTCCGAGAACAGAGCAAAATATTTTACTAATTACAGACTTTCTAAAAAATCAAAAAACTGATCAGAATCGACAATGATTTTTTTCTAAATAAAAACGATTGCGCGAGTTCAAAATAACCGTCAGAGAGGGAAAAAGACAACTGAACTCCGGAGAGTCAGACATAATTTTGAATTTCGCGGAAATTCGAAGTTTACTGTTTCAACCTTGATTCATTTTTTTTCCCAGCAACAAGATAAAATATTATTCCGTGACAGAATTTTACCCATGAAGTTTTGAATGAACTGCAAAAATTTAACAAAATGAAATAATTATGAATACCTGGAAAAAATTTCAGTGGCCACTATAGGGTTTTGACGTTTTAGTAACCACTATGGTAGTCAAACTAGTGGCCGCTTAAGGGGTTAAAAAGTAGTGGCCACTATAGAGGTCGAAGTGCTACTACTAGACCACTAAAAGTTTTAGTGGCCACTTTAGAGGTCAATGGATCATCATAACTGGTCCAATCTGTTTGTTTTAAAATTATCAGAGTTACTGGAAGGGATACTGGATGAAAAACTACTGAAGTGGCCACTAAATAGAAAACCTCTATAGTGGCCACTAAAAAAACTTTCCCAGACTGTTAACTTTTTTTCCAAAAATAAAATTCGACTTTTTTTAAAAATGAAATAACGACTGTTATAAAAAAATCTGAAAAATTAATAAAATCAGAGTAAATTTACACAATATTCTCAAAATTTCGATTTATAATACTTTTTCGGCTCACTATAAAAATCTTTCAATAAAATAATCTCTTTTAAAAAATCTGAAGCTTCATTTCCAGGATCTCTACCATAAGTTTTACTTTCTCAACATTCAAAAAACCTGAAAATACCAATTGAATTACTGAGAACGTTCCAAAGACTACTTTAAAGTCAAAATGAAAAAAAGAAAAAAAGAAAAAAAAGAAAAAAAGACGTCCGGAGCCATCTGCTCGAACACGTGCGTCGCAGCAACTCGTTGGCAATAAAAATGGGTTTCCTTCTTTTTTTTTTCTTTTTCTTCCTGAGCTTCTACTTTTCGTCATAGTGATGAAAACAACTTTAAATCTCGAAGGGACTCACTAAAGTGGTCGAAAATCGTGTTTGAAGCAACATAAATAATTTTTTTGCCTTTTTGGACTTTAACTCTTTGAAATCTTTCGAATTCCTTCAGAAAAATTTTTTAAAAAAATTCTCCTCTACTACAGAAAAAAAGCAAGCTTAAAAAAACAGTTATAAACTCTTTTTGAGCTTCCAAATTTACATAGAAACCCTAAAAGAAAATATTTATTCAATGAAAATTCCCTTTAAACATGAATAAAATGATATTTTTCTATCATTTTTTTAAAAAAATTACAAGAGAAAGCTTGTTTTTTTCCCAGCTTTCGTGACGAAAAAAAGTTAAAAAAATCGAAAAAGCGCTGAAAATTCTGACCATTCAAAAAAATTCCAAAACCGAGAATATTTCCACATTTTTTTGGCCAGCTGAATCAACAAAACAACGAAAGTCCATAAAAATTTAAAAAAACACAAATATTAACTTAAAGTTATAAGAGTCCTAACCGAGAAAATTCGGTAAACCGCTTAAAAATAAATTGAAAAAAAACAGTAAAGTTGTGAAGAAAATAGGAGAGGAAGGTCAAAAAAATATTTGGCCTACGAATATGACCTCCCGGTGATCTCACCTACCTCATGCTATTTTTTTAACTCGAATACCCCTTACCAAAAATCTCTTGAGAAGATTTTTCTCACAAGGACAACAGAAACTGTGAACTCCGTTAATTAGATTTTAAAAAAATGGGGGTTTTTCCAAATCAATCTATATAAAAAGTTACACCTTAAAAATATGCAATTTCTAGGTGAATTTTTTTCGAATTTTTTTGTAAACTCCTAAAAAAAATTTTTTTAACTATTTAAAACGTCTCAAAAACACTTTTAAAAAAATTTTTATACTTTAAAAATCGACGAAAACCAATTAAAATAACTCAAAAATATTGCTGAACAATGCTTTTTTTGACAGCAATAATGGTTTCGAAATGCTTCACACTTAATTTTTTTAGCTATTCCCGTCAACCTCATTCATGCGAAAGGGTAGCAACGCGCGAAAACCGTTTCAAGTCGGTCGCGTTCTAAAAAAATCCGCCAGCAGTTCTAAGGGCGGCTTTTCAAATTCTAGAATCTAATCTCAAGTTATTTTTGCATTTTTTTCATAAAGTTATTTCATGTCAGTGCAAAAATTCTGCAAGAGAAACAGGTGGAAAACGTTTTTTTCAAACTTCCGCGCCATTTCGAAAGGTGACGAGAAATGACGATTTTACCGGTGAAAATTCGAAAAAAAGGGCTTGCCAGG